ATTTGTCCCATTTGGCCGGTACGCCAAAGATGAAGTTGCCCAGTTTGAGGTGATGCTTTACGCGAGAGAGGATAGACAATTTGGTCATTTTTTAGGCTAGATGAATACTGAGTTTTAATAATTATCGGTTTCAAACAATTTCAAGATAAGTTTAAAAATATGATTCGCAACCAAGTGGCAACTGCAAGGATTGATCAGATGTTGACATGCACTGACACGGACGGTATGAATTTCATTAGCACGAAGCAATTAGTAGCTCCTGTCGGGATAATTAATAATTTGCAATTAACGACTTCGTTCATATCTTTTGGTACAATACATACGTAAATTTTTAATTAGATACATATATAAGTAGGCTCGTGTGTAATTAAAACTTTCAATAGTTCCACATAATTAATAAATAGGTATATGTTATTTGTAATGCCGGAACCTATAGTTGTGTTCATGCATATATTGTCCTACGTAGTTCTTCAGTTATTTCAACTTGAAATTTGTAAGGTCCAATATTTTAATTCCTACGAGCTAAATATCATTTCATATTAATGTTGGGGGCCCAGGAAGAGGAATGAATGTATAAATTATTTATTGTCAGCGTCTATAATTCTCGTCAAATTAGTTAACGTCACTTCGCTTATCTTCGAAAGCTTGATATTTTCGAAAAGTGACAACACCATTCTTCCCGCCACAACTCGTCCTTGCATAAATTCGTTTCTAGGTTCCTCGTAACTTATCTTTCATTCAAACCGTTTGAAATTTTGAGCGTGCGTAGTTAGATACATTTAGCAAATTCTAAACAAATTTCAGATTTCTGAATTTATTTCTGAGTGTTTTGATCCCTCCCCCACTAAGATACCTAGTGTCTGAGTTTCTTGGGCGAGAACCTTAAATGCAAACCCTAAACCTATGTCAATATCTGGCGTCATATTCTTCTGCTTATCCCCAAATGGTTCCTGCTACTATGTAATTGAGACTTTGCGGAGGCTGAGAGCCGTGAATTGAGCTTGTTTCCTGTCCAGTGGTTAGAAAATCCGTCGTCATCAAATACCAAAATTTGGGAGTAAAATCATAAAAATTAGTGAAATCTTTATGAAAAACCCGTCTTACTTGGTAGGAAATTAAAACAATGGTATGGAAAAGCTTAAAGAATGGTGTCAGTTGTCGTTCCCCAATATGGTTCCCAACAGATATCTGATGGTAACTTGATTAACATTTACCAGATATCAGATCAGATATCAGATTCAATGTTAATCAATTTACCACCAGATATCTGGTCGGAACCATATTCCCCAATTTAAAGAATTTATCCAATAATTTAATTAAAATTTAGCCAGTTTATTTAGAAATTTATTATATGGAAAGAATAACGGAAACAAATTTCATTTTAATACGTAAATTACTGGTCAAATTTTTAATAATAAATGATTAAATCCCTTTATACTTTAATTTAAAATTGTTCAAGTCGGCACATTCTAACGTTCAGCTTCTTCAAACTTGTCTGTGTCGCCAATCCTATGAAATAAAAATTGTATCAAAAACTATCACGTACTTTGAAATCATTTCTGTAATTCTTTTACCTTTTCATGAGCTTAAACCTGTGTGGTCTGACATTGTAGGGTCCTTCGTAGTAGGTGTTGCCAAAAAGCTTCCAGTCCCAAGGCTCCGTCGAATTTTTATCCCACTTATCCTCGATAAGTCGGCAACCCTCGCACTTTTCGATAGTTCCCGCTTTCACGCCTATAGTTATCGATGGAATGCAAATTAAACATGCACATTAATCAAATCCTGCCGAGAGAAAAATGTAATGAGCGTACTCATGTCAACCTTCGCATATCTCGCATATCTCGCAAATTGAGCATAGCAACATAATTTGCGAAGTTTTGCGAGATATGCGAGATTTCGCAAAAATTTTGGTGCAAAACCATGGGATTTTTTCTCAAATTTACCCAGCAATTGGGCATGTTCTTATTTCGCAAAATTATTTCGCAAACGCCAGCAAGGGAAGTTACAGAAATCCATGGAAACTACATCAAAATAGATATTTTCAGTAGATTTGCGAGATTGGAGAGGAGATTTACGAAGTCATATTTTGCGAATCCCCTTACGACAGAAATATTTTTATATTCGCAAGTTTGCTAAAAGAGTTGCGATGCGAAATAAGACGGTCGTGAGTGTGCCCAATTATTATTTTAATCCCTACATCAACATTATATATTTTTAAATGTGTACAAATTTAAATCCAGTCTGATTTCTACAAAATATTTACCTTTCGCATATTCATCCCACTTGAGTCAAAGGTTCCCATGCATCATTGGCTGAGTGACGGCAGATTTGCAGGGCGTGTTTAGACAATTATTTGCCAAGACGGAGGCCTTCCCACCCTTCCCGTGGGGACAGTGGTACTCAGCATGGGGGAAGCAGGATGGACTGGTAGCTTGTAGCTCGTGGCCGCATAACAGATAAGTCTGGCCCTTGTCAGACGCTAAGGGACGGTCAAGGTTACAGGTGCAGTCCTCATCCATGTAAATTTTCCCGGAAACTAAAACGGGAAGCAGAAAACACAGGAGGATCATGACAAGTTGTGTGCAGACTAGACAGCTCTAAATTATGGCGAACAATGCCAAAATGGAAAGTACTTGAAAGTAAATGAAACTTGTTTAATAAAATACTTAACAATGAAACATTCTGTACTCTAGTTGCATTTCATTGTTTTATTCATTGTTTTCAATTCATTGTTTTATTTTCATTCTGCGATGGTCTTATTACAGAAAATTATATAAAGAGTTGACTGGATAATTACATAAAGTTAATGGCACGTGCCTTATTTGCACAGCCTTCGCACCCCTCAGCAAAATCAAGGTTTGGGTAGATTCCTTCTTGGACGAAGCCAATTTGTGAGATGCAAATCAGGTCATCGTACAAATTAAAGCTGCTGCCCATCGTATCAATTGAGACAAGCTTTCCATCCAGAGCTGGGGGCAGAGGGTGGCAAAACTCACTGTCGTCCATGTGGTCCAGCACGGTCTCCCCTACGAAAAATCCAAATTCAAATTTGGAAAGGTTTTTTATCACTTTTTGGACATTAATGTCTGTAAAATTTTATCCTAAATACTACTTTTTTGAGTTAACTTGCCTGAGAAATCCACCCCGGTGGACCCCGGGAGACTGCTCCCCTTGGACGCATGAAGACATGAGCAGCCCCACAATGACACAAATCCCGACAAGTAAGATAGTTTTCATTTTTGGAAAGGAAACTTTTCTGAGTTGTTGGACAATTTGGTGTAGAAAGTGTAATTGAATGAGGACATATGGATCCTTACGCTTCATTTAAATACACACCCATTATACACACACGGAACTTGAGCTTAGCAGATGCACATAAAATTGAAATGTTGTCAGTCTCAGGGACTCCTCTTAACCAAAATTTTTACTCCGGTCTAGGGCTTATGTAGCTGATTTGTCCGTCGTTTGTGTGTGTCTAGAAATAAATATGAAGCCGAATTTTTTATCTGACATGACCTAGGCTATTTTAATAAATTATGGTACCTGAAATTTGGTATACAGGTCCCAAATTTAAAGTTTACGGTGAGAATAATGTTCTGTTAGATGTTCCTATTGGCATTTAGTGGGATTTAGTAAATGTATTGTAAACAATTTTGCAGGATCATACACGTTACGATTTTTTCGAATAATTTTTCAAGGGTAGGTAGTTTTTTTGCTATATGTAAATGGTTAAAAAATTATTACTATGACGGTAACGGGTAATTATCAAGTCGTTACAACACAGTAGTGCTTTAAATTCCCATATTGCAGACTCATATACGTAACAACTTGATAATAATTTATTACCGAATTATTAACAGTACATATTTGTTGGACATTTGGTAGGACAATTTATTGTTGGTTCAGAACCGTCACACTCTAAATCCTGGCTCGGGCTCAGCAAACACGCTGTGGTACACTTTATTGTGTATGACGCAAATACTCCGAAATAAAGTTTATCGCTGAACTGTTCTTAAATTAGCATTTAATTTGATTGTAAATTATGCAGGTCTCACATTAAAACGTGATTGGGCTGACTTGATATCTTAATAAATCTGCAATTAAACTACACTGTACAAACTTTATTCAAAGTTTATATTTATTTTAGTCGTTCAATCTTTCAGTATCTTTCCTGCAAAACATTTAATGTAATTGTTCATATAAATTTTAAGCTGTTTTGTAAATATCAATTTTACAATTAATTATTTTATATAGACCACATAAAATTTGTTTTAAAACAGAAATTTAATAAAAGTTTCAAGACTTCCAGTAAATTTCCTGCTGATAATTTTCTGAAAATTATCGAAAATTTCTGAATGAATAGCCTGCTTGTTTTCACCTCTACTTATCAAGCACCTAAATTCTTTAGTATGTATTTCTTTCAGGTATACATGCATACCGTAAAACCTCTATTTATAGCCGGGGCTAAAATCCAAACCGGAGGGTCACGGACCCGGCTAAAATTGGAGACCGGCTATAATTAGAGACCCGGCTAAATTTTGTTGCTCCAAAAATTTTAGATGCTACAAAATCAAATATAATTCATGTTGACTCAATTTGAGTTTTCTAATTTAGCAAGATAAGCCATAAGTAACCCATTCTCTTTTAATCTACATCTTGAAACGAAGTTTAGCAGGTTTTTTAAATTGTCTGTCATGATTATATCCATTATTAACCTGAAATTAATATGAAAAAATTAGTAGTTCAGCTTATTCGTTGATTGGCATAATGTGCAACATTTTTCTTTAATGGACTATGAACAGGGACACAGCGGACAAGACAGGCCATAATTAGAGACCCGGCCATAATTGGGGACCCGGCTATAATTAGAGACCCGGCTAAAATTTGGTAATCTTGGTCCCTAGACCCGGCTATATTTGGAGACCGGCTATAATTAGAAGAGGGCTATAAATATAGGTTTTACGGTATGTATAGTCAGTACAATCTTAAATGAACCAAAATCCTTGTCAAAATTTTATTTTATTTTTGCTTCAATAATGAAGCTATTTACTTGGGAATCAATAATTTTATGTCCATTATTCTTATACAATTAAGTTTTGCTTATATTCATTAATTTTTGTTTGCATGTCGGCCCTAGCGTCCTTAACAGCCTGTCCCCATTGTTGGTTCAGATCTCCAAAAAAGTCGCCGTCCCTCCCTCCAATGGACTTCTTCAAAACGGGTTCAAACTCTTTCTTGACAGCGTCCGCGAGATGAAGAAAGTCTTCGAAATTGGCATTAACAACCTGCGCCAGTTCAGCCACGTACCCTTCAAACTTCTTCTTGAATTCGTCCATCAAGGCGGGTGCCCTTATTGTATAAATAAATACTGAGGTCATACAGTTAAACATAAGTTAAATATGTACTTTATGTATATATATACGGTGGTCAAAAAATGGTGTTTTTTAATATAAATAAATAAAGGAACAATAAAAGTGGCGTCATACGGTCAAATGCAAAATAATACCACACTAAAATTATGTATAAAGCCTTGACCTATTTAGTTCTCACGGTCATGGGTTAGTTCGAGGTCAAAAATATTTCGTGCCGAAATTTCCTTGAGAAAACGACGTTAGATTATGTTGAGACATTTTGGATATATCGCGCCACAGACGGACGGACGGACAAAGCGATAACATAAAGCTGCTGACGTCACTCAATAACCATAATACCACAAATTAAAGTCATAATTCAAATTTCATAGAAAAAACATTTAGTTCGGAAAGTAAAAATAGAATCTCCCCGTGAAATATCAACACCCTTTTTTGACCACCCTTTATTTACAACTTGGCTCACCTCGTATCTCCCATTTTGAAGGGAGGAAGTTTCTTCAATTGTTCTTGGTTGGCGGTGTAAAATTCGGCAAATGAGGCCAGCCCTTCCATACATCGTCCCGGAAATTGTCCGATTGCGAGTCCTGCAGGGGAGACGAATTGTCCAACCAGGGCGGCTGGACTAGCCATCCCGGCAGATGATTTGGCGTCCTTAAGGGCCAGTTTTATTTCCTTTTCTGACGAGGCAGCCAAAGGCTTCAAGGCGGCGACAATTCCCTCCTTGGCTTTTGGAAAGTTCCCATCCATAAATTTGAAAAACGCACCCTTCATCTCGTCAAACATGGCTTGGGGCATTTGACCCCCTCCATTTATTTGGCAGACTGGATAATAAATAGAGTTTAGTTAATGAGTGATTTAAAAATTATTTGCTTAAAGGTTACTTACCCAAGCCCAGCAATATGGTTATGGCGACGGAAACCCTCATAATTTTAGGTACGATTGAACAGATGGGGATTTATTTCCGGTGGCCTACTTTATTCGTTCAACTTGCCAGGTTGGCTGTGGTGATGGATCTGACCTACGTGACCCAGATTGTTATTTGATTGTATTTAATAATAAACATGTAGTATTGTTGGCATGGTTTGTTTTTGCGGATATTTAATTTTTGTAACATTTTACAGTCAGATTAACCTTTTGACTACCAAGATATTTCTGAAAGTTTGACTTTCTCCGATGTTTTACAACGTGATAAATAAACTCTGATTATTAAAAATATTGCGATATAATCGAACACATTTGTGTAACTGGTATGCAATCTCATGCATTTGTAATTAGTAGCTAAGAGATATAGTTTTGCTCCACAAATGTGTTTAATTGATAGGTATATATAGAAATACGTATTTCGAAAAATAGCTTCGTAACCAAGTGTTGAAACTTTTATACAACAACGTATATACACGTTGTTTAGTTCCAAATTATAAGTTTCAAATTATATATAATTTGACACAAAACGGAATACATATTTCTTAGAATTAACTGGTAGCTTAGAGGTTAATTTAAACATAATTAATTATTTAATGTGTTGCTCAAAGCACAAGTTCAGATGAGGGACCGTCCATAAATTATGTCATTCGGAAATGAGGAGTGGGGGCTAAGGCTCCAATGATAATATATTGTTCTTATGTGACACATGTTAAAGTGGGGTCAAGAAAATCCCTTTTTTTGGGTCACAATTTATGTATGTCCCCTTACCTCGGTCACATGTAGTATTCGGGGAGAATGGGACCAATTCATGCAAGGCGATAACATGCATGCATGTATTATACCCTTTTGACGCTCCTGTAGCACGGCCCGATACCAAATTTAAATGGATCCTAAATTACATATAAGAAAATAATCCTGCGACATACAGACGTTCACAATATGCATATATGTATTTTCCTTTCCACACGACACTAATTCTTTTCTGAACTATTTAATAATATAAATAATTAGTGTGCGCTCAAATAAATAGAGTCAAAAAGCCTGAGAGGCTATTCATGTACATGCTACCAAAAAAATCATTTAATGACTTTTTTCCCTATTTTTTGACGAACAGTAGTTGTTTCCAAAATAAATAAAATTAAGGTTCAATCATGATTTGGTGAATATATAAAATAATCAGCAGATATAGTTTTGTGGTTTGTTTCATCCATTCCTTGATGTAATAAACTCATGTATGATATTCAGAGACATGTGTACATAGGTATGTATGTACATATTTAAATGGATACCACGATATTTCTTTATAAATTGCTTGGAAAGTTTCGTGCAGAGAAGTGTGTCGTGTAAATTTTCCATAATGTGAAATTCTTACAAAGAGTTACAGCTAGTTCTTAATGGTGACAATTTCTTGCCAATCTTTAATATTCATTGAAATCGAATATTTTTAAAATTTGGGAATCAAACCAAATTCTTCATACTGACATGGATTATGTATGAAATGTGGCAACAAACAATGGGTGCAGTACATGAAGAATGACATTCTTTATTTCCTTCGTAACCATGGGTGGAAACAACCGAACAATAAATAATTCTTCATTAAATTTCCGAATTACAAGCACAATTCGACATCCCCAACTCCAAAGCGTTCCAAAACTGGGGGATTTTTCGCCGGAGTAACTTCACTCCAATTAATTCGGAATCTGAAACTGAATTCATCGCCTCTGGTCAATTCTCCATTGCTCGTCTTGTTCGTCATAATTGCGCTCCCTGCGTCACCATTCGTTTGAATGAAACCGTCCCACACCTAAGAAAAAGAAGTATAATTTAAATTCACTGTTTGAAGTCTGGCATAGTCAGGCAGGTATTTGTTTCTCGGAACTAAAGTTTGTACCATTTAGTATTAAAGTTATACCAGTCGGTAAAAATTTGGTACTGATATGGAAAAACTTTAACAAAGAGCTTTTACTGTTACTATTACTTCTCAATACTAACTTACGAGAGTTGTATATGAAAATCGCTTAGGATTTCTACAATATGAGTGTCATTTTCGGAAAAGTTCCCTCGCGAACCAAATAACACGGGTTTGTATTATCAAAATTATTTGTCGACATGACAACGAAAAAAGTACTTACCCCAATTCCAGTAAAATTCCGGTCGAATTGGAAATAGAACCTCCATCCGCTCGTCGTGTAGGGAACGGTAAATGTCACATTGGCCAAATAATTCAAAACTCCTTCAGACTCCTTGTAATGGATGTTACTGCAATCTAACGCGTATCCAATGGTTACCATGGATACGAGAAAAATTAGCAGGGAAGAGGATAATTTAGTTGGAGACATTTTTGCCAGCGACAATTTGTGACTTTTAGGGTTGCGGTGGATTGGTTTTATGTGATATTTTTCCGTTGTCATGGAGATTTTTGTGGTATAGAATTTAAATTCAACAGATGTGAATTAACATGATAATAAGATTTCGTAAGATGTTATCTGCATGGAAAAGTTTTATTGAACTGGATCAAGATCAAGGTCAATATACACTTAGAAATTTGGAATTGATTTATCGGTATTAAAGTTGCTATCGCTCGATATTAAAATTTTACCGGTCCCGAAAAAAATTCTACCAGTATGGTATAACCTTAATACCGAGCTATTACTACGCGGGATTACTTATCAATTCCACCTTGATATTGATGAATTCTTGGTAGAGTCATATAAATACGGCTTGGCAGTATTTTAATACTGGATTTTTAAGAGTGTATTAATAATAATGGTTGTTTTTTAAATTGTTATTTATTCATTTATTTTTTGCACAAAAATTGGACTGTCATTAAACTGTGAACTATTTTTTACCGTAATTATACATAATTTAATACAAGAATTATGAACAGACGCATCGGTTGCACCCATTTGCACCCGCTTGGCAGGCCCCACCCCCTAAACCCCCCGCTTTACATCCGGCAGCACAAGCGGCTGCTTTTAACGTACAAATTGGAGATTCACCGGACTGAAAAACAAAATTGATTATTGAATAATTTCCACTTTAAGAAACTTATTTTCATGAAAACCAAAATTTCTACTCACCACAACAGCAACCGCAACGAATGCGACGATTAGGAAAATCAAAATTGCGAAATTTCGATTCATTTTTATTAAATTTTTGTTGAGACTTTTTTTAAGTGCAAGATTGAGTACTAAATGATTTGGTACTAGTATGGGGACTGTGTATTTTTAGCTGCTTATATATGAATTCATCTCCTTGGAAACTGGATATTGTTAGATATGTTTAGTTTCAAATTGATTTTTTAGTATAATTTTTATCGCTATTTTTGGTTCGTAATTAAATTTACGGTGTTGTTATGGAATAATTCCAATGGTCATATAGACTTAATGATGTCATAATTATGTACTGTATGAATTATTAATTAGTCATGGGAGGTTGTTAGGTAAAAAGTTTAGGCAAGGTTTCGTAACTGTTTATGTGTTATCGTGGAAAGTTTAAAATATCTAATGGACACAGGAATATATACATACATGACAAATTTTTAAAATGTACAAATATGTATATGCATAGGGAAATATTTCAGGAACATATTTAAATTTGAGTAAAAATCTAGAGTTGTATGTAAATGTAAAGCAGAAAGAGAAATGTATGCACATATGTATGTAGAGCAGAACTTGAATTGTTTAGTAAATTTTATTAAAATTCGTTCTTTAAAATTTGCATCTGTGATGAATCGAGTTAGCCACGGATAAAATGTTTGACTATTGTTTGTAGACATTTTTATTGTATTCGCGAAAATTCGGTTTACATATCCAGGTAAAGTAAATTGTATATATTTAAATCCTTTTCATAAATACAAGAAATAAAAATCCCCTCGATGAAAGTCAAGGATTTTATCCGTGGCTAACTCGACTCATAACAAATGGAGATTTTAGATAACGATTTGTACATAATGACATTTTGTAGTCGCTTTGTTACTAAATATAATTCATTGTAAGATTTTTGGGCGTAATTTAAACCTCATTAACTCAATTTATTTATTGTCATGACTTCTGATACCCTGATCTTCTCAAAGTGTGCAAACATTTCAACAAAACGTTGTAAAGAATGAGAAAAAAATGAAAGTTTAACATGATTGATGAACGCGTAATTAATTTGTTGCATGCAAATTCTCACTCTCATCAGTTCCATCCCATCCCATTACCACCTTGAACTTGAGTGAGTAAATAAGTTTATACGTTACATTGAATTGGAGGACCAACTCCATTTCACGCGTCGAAGTTAAGCAAAGTATTATAGACACGGCGTCATTAGGGACCGAGCATAAAGTTTGTGATCCATTTTCAGAAAACCCTAACCAAATAGCGTGTATGCCTCGGAGGATTGGATATGCCTTCACCTCTGTAAAAACGGGTCACATGTTAACTGCACGGTCCTTATAGTTACAAACCAGCACTTATTTTGTAGCTGATGCTTGCCTGAATTTTAGCCAGCATAATAAAATAAAAATATAGGGAAAAGATTAGAAAGGTAGACCCACCGCAAATTCAGTCACCTTTAATTCGTAGTGAAATTCCTACGTCCAATTACATACAATGTATTTACCAAATGATACGAATTTTACACAGTTACCTGTAATCGTATCAATTCGGCTACCGGTATAATTACAAGGTATGCATGAAGATGATGTATGTAATTGTATACATACGCTAAGGATATGTAGCAGAAATGTCATTGTGTCCACATATTTCATAGGGATGGACATCACATTCTACGCAGAAAACCATACTAGGATATTATCCTTCGTTAGTTAGTTGGCTAACCCAAATTCCACATTTTGCAAAAGCGTGTGCCACCCAACACAGCCACGGGGCAGCGATACACTTAACGGAAGAAGGAAAAAAACAAAGTGACAGGGTTTCAAAAACTGGTTATTTATTTGCATACATACGTACATATTTGCGGTATGAAGGAAACCTGCAAAATTACGGCATGAATTTTGGCGAAACCCTGTTACAACTTAACTCTCAGTTTTACATAACCGGTAACTTTTTGTATGAATATGAATAAAGACTCGTCCTCTTGATCATGCTCATATGTACGATTTTCATCTCGCTAAAATGTTGTACTTTGTTGTTTTGTGGTCAACATTTGTGGTTGACACGTCGACCGAGTTTCATTAAGAAAAATTGTTGCTCTCATTTTTTTGTGAAACTTGGAATTTGAAATATTTATTAAGGATTATTTATTTTTGAAATGTCCGGAATTTTGAGTGGTAGTGGAGGTGGGGGTGGTTTTGGCGGTGGTGGAGGTGCGGATGGGGGTGGTCTTTGTGTCTTCTCGTGCGCCGCGGTGGTATCCGCATTTGGTGCGGTGGCGGCCTTGTATGGCTTGGATTTAGGACCGGAAACGACCTTTTTCGCGATTTCGGGTCTTGGAGCGTTGTGCTTTACGAAGTGTCAATATCTGAGATTGATCCAGCAGAGGAACTCGTTCAAGAAGAGGGGTGGTTTGGGCGAGAAGTGGGAGAATCCTGGTGAGTGAGATGCTTACATTTCAATTTTTACCATTTTTTTTTAGTTTTTATTTTAATCTATTGCGAATAAAGCAAACAAAACAATAAAAAGATTCTTGAGAAATTAATGAGATTGCTTTACGATTTTCAACTTGTACAAAATAGTCGCATATGTAAATGAAGCATATTGACAGAATTTATAAATTTGTATGTGTTTGGTTCAGTTAGTAAGCTAATTCACGCAGTCCATGGTAAAATTTGTAGGTCCGTAAATTATGTAAACCAATACAATTTTACCAATTTTTACAAAATTTTACAAATATTTCGAAAATTGGGAAATTAGGAAAATTAGCTTACGCATATTTTTCAAACTTGCTCAGATCAAGGGCGTCATTTTAGTTTGTAAAATTATTTTACAAACCTTACAAGTTACTAATGACTGGGTGAATTAAATACCTCATTGTTGGGGTTAGAAATTAGCATTAGATTTATTTCTGTTTTAAAAAAGTTGCAGATTTCCTGAGATTTTCAGGAACATTTGTCCCTCCGCAAATTTATTATGTTTTCTAAATGCTATCAAATTGACTACAAAATTCTGACTGTATTTATCACTGAAAATTATTACATTTCGTGGTATAAATTTCTGGAAATTTAACAATTTCATCACTCCATCAATTAGCCATGTGACATTCTATTTTCTATTTTTTTAATACAGACGAGAGAGAGTGGAACTTCTCCAACATCAGTGGTCAACTCGAAAAAGCAGAGCACAAATGGGGAGGGGCCACTGACCACGACGAGATTTACAGAGACTCCTCAAACCCATCGTCCAAACTGGGGTTAAAAATTAAGAATACTGAACACTTATGAAATTAAGGGTACAAAATGCTTCGGTGTGAACAATTTCGTCACAGTTTTGCACATTGCTTATACTGCCAAAGACATTTAAATATTTATTTTTTACCCCAAAAATTTACTACATACTTTTTACTACGCACTTGACCTGTTTGCCTTAAATTTTTGTTTATTTTAATTTAATAAGAGAAAGAAATAATAAATATTTTTTGTGAAGAAAATTCTACACAATTTTGCAGCGAAAGTGGAGCATTCTGCTAAACATTGAACGAGTGAGAGATCATGACAAAGTTCGCAGCAGAGAAGAATGAGATCAGATCAAGTCCGAATGAATAGTGTGAAAGAACTGGTGCATTCAGTCAGTCAGGTAAATTAATGCGTCTCACCGATGTATGTACAATGAACATGCATTTAAAAGATAACATCTCTCTCGGTGTAGCATTTTTGTATGAAGTTCGCCTTTAGACAGTGTGAGACGACTCGTTAGTTTGAGAATGAGTTAGACTGGGAGAAGTAAAAAGTGGAATCTGACGCGTGATGATGAAGATGCGTCGTTAAAGTGATTTAGAAATGGATTAGCCTTCTACTTAATATATGATTGCATACGTATTAGTGCAACGTTGACAGGGGTGTAATGAGCAGCAGAGTTGTACAATTGCTGGGGCATGCAAATATGGAAATAGGTACATGACAATTTGACCATTTTACTATGATAAGATTGACCTTTAACTTTAATGCTGGGCACATTGGACACAAAACATATGCAAAACTACATGAATATAACTCTATCGACCAATGGTTGAGAATTTGCTGATGTTAAGTGTATAAGTGGATTTAAATTGGGATGGCTGCGTTTCCTACAAAGAAAGTGAAAGCTTTACGAATTATTGATACTAAATTAGAAATTTCGATGCCAAAGGTTAACAATTTCACAAATTTCTTTAATGTCGATATTATTTTTAAATGTCCAAAGATCAAAAAATTCAAATGAGACGATGTCCATCCATTCCTAGTATAATAAAAACCTATAAAATCGAAATCAAATCATGCTTAAATACATGAATAAATGCGTTGTTCACCAAAACGATCTTTGTGCCAAATGTCGATTGACTCTTAACCAAAACGTAATACGCAAATCTTGTATGTGTAGACTGTATTACAGATACACACATATGTACGTATGCAAATATTTGCATTGGTAGGAAAGTGTAATGACGGTTATTTATTTAATTTGAGTTATTATACCGATGATAATAATTTAAATCGGGTTGCTTGTGGTGCTGGGTGATAATCGTTCTATGATGTGTATAATTATTTTGAGAGAGATGCGAGTTTAACTTAATGTTGGGTGCGTGTGTAATGCATTTTTTGATATCATACATATTTAAATTGGTTTATGAATATTGCTTACTGTAAGGATTTAGACTTTACAGTGTGCAATCTGAACACCCATTGCATATCAATTTTTAAGTAATCGACACGTATATAAATTAAACAATAATTATCTAAATACTCCTTGATATTGAAGGAAATCGAGGTCTGACAGTACTTTAGGTTCCCTTGTGAGATGCGATTCTTAACATATGTAATCCCTTGTAAAATTCATATGATAAATTTGTGCATCACAAATCTCCATAGAAGATTTATTATCAACCGAGTTATGTAATGTAAAATAAATACTGCAACGTATTCACCTCGTGATTGAATTTTCCTGTAAGCGAATCTCCTCCAAAAACTTCAAAATTAATCGCATGACTTATGTTTGCTTAATCCCAAGGGGTGAAGGGTTGGTTATTTTTATCCAGTAATTTGTCATGTCAGTTAGCACTCATTGAACAATGAGTGTAAACCAGTTTAACCATAATATTATGGTTTAAAATGCAACCTTTTTAACACGACGCGCACCAACATAACTTAACTTTACGTCTTAACTCAGTTAACTTAACTTACTCCAAAGGAACACCGAAGTAAATACATAATCACCGAAATTTAACACACCGCCGTAAATTCATAACTAAATAGTACAAATTTTTTGTTGGTGTTATAATCAAGCTTAATTATGTATTATTATTAGAAAATTCTGGACATGTGTTTCCTTTATTAATATTGTTAAAATGTATTAATTGCTGACCCATGCAATACTGTGTGAATATGAGCAAATTTGTTCTTATAAATATGTACAAAGTTAAATTTGCATGGGCATATTATTAATTTTTTGTAAATATATACACACACACACATACATATATATATTTAAATCTACAAACTGAACTATTACCGAATCAATATGGGTCTAAAGCCAGGAAAGAAATGGGATGTTTCAAAGTGCTCAGAAACGTTTAAGACCGATGACACGTTGACTAGACATATGGCAAAGCACAATCCTGGTGCGAAGGTGAAATGCGAGGTGAGGGTACTAATTTGCAAAATACAGTATGTAACAAAAGTATAGCTACGATGACATATTTTTTATCTCGACATGATGCCGCAATATTTCAACTTTGAAACTCCGTACAAAAATGTCAAAACTATCTGCCGACAATTTCCTCGTCGCCGATTATTAATGTCGCAGATAGGTCAAAGGTCAGGATTATTTTTCTAAAAAAATTTGAGGCGTCGAAAAAAAAACTTCGTGGATAATTTTTTTTGAACTTTGCAATATTTTTTACTAGATGCGGCATGCGTTTTGAAGAATAATGAGCTTTGGTCGGACCGTGTACGATTTTTTTGGCGCCCACAGGAATTTTTCGCCCAGGACAGGTTGGAGGTCTAAAATCGCCGCCTTGGCGAAAATTAAAAAACTGAAATATACGTTTGCATATCCGGACCCTCTATATGCAAACGTATATTTCAGTTTTTTAATTTTCGCCAAGGCGGCGATTTTAGACCTCCAACCTGTCCTGGGCGAAAAATTCCTGTGGGCGCCAAAAAAATCGTACACGGTCCGACCAAAGCTCATTATTCTTCAAAACGCATGCCGCATCTAGTAAAAAATATTGCAAAGTTCAAAAAAAATTATCCACGAAGTTTTTTTTTCGACGCCTCAAATTTTTTTAGAAAAATAATCCTGACCTTTGACCTATCTGCGACATTAATAATCGGCGACGAGGAAATTGTCGGCAGATAGTTTTGACATTTTTGTACGGAGTTTCAAAGTTGAAATATTGCGGCATCATGTCGAGATAAAAAATATGTCATCGTAGCTATACTTTTGTTACATACTGTATAAGCTAATTTTACAATCCACATTTTACCACTTCTGTCTAAAATAGGTTTGCGGGGAAATTTCCAAAAGTAGACGGGCTTTGTCTCACCACGTGTGGTATTTTCACACCAACCGGAAGCGACCAAGTTGTGACACCTGTCACCGAGTATTTGGCACCCTTGCAGATTTACGTCGGCATATTAAAGCCGTCCACAGCACGGCGGAACGACCCCGTTTCCCATGCACGTTTCTCGAATGTGAGAAAATCTACCAAACAAGGAGTGGTCTTCAGCAGCACTTCAAAACGGAACATGCTGAGAATCCGGTCCGATTTCCGTGCACACTTTGCCGAAAGGAGTTCAAAACAAGGGACCAACTCCAGGGACACATTTTCACCCACACGACGGAAAAGATGTACACTTGTGCCACTTGTGGAAAGAGTCTCGCTTACAGGACAAACATTGAAAGCCACGAGGTAAATAAAGCATGTTGTCGGAAAGATTTGTGTATAAGGTGAAAAATTACAAATGTATTCATTTTACAGAAGACGCATTTGGAAAAATCTGTCCGAGAAGTGTCAAAGTGTCACATCTGCCCTCAGACCTTCTTAAGTAGAGGTGCTCTACAACGCCACATCCGAGCTGTGCATGAAAACCAGAGGAATTATCCGTGCGAACTTTGTGACAAGAGATTCTCCAACGCATCCACATTGAGGGTTCACGTGGAGGCAAGGCACCCCACGAATAAGGAGCTGATCCATTCCTGCGACAAGTGCGAGTACAAGAGTCACTCGAAAGCCAATTTTACCGCTCACAGAAAACGTCACAATGCAGCGAAGCATGAATGTTACTTTTGTCAAAAGAAATTTTTCAATTTTTGCGAATTGGTCAGACATTGTGGTACAGTTCACACGCTGGAAAAGTAAAAATACTTACGTATGTAATTGACTTATCAATAATTTGCAAATTTTTTTTTTACTAAATTTACGACATTTGGGAAAAAATTTTGGTGGGAAACTATGGGATTATCGTTACAGAGATTGTGGACACGTCGTTGTGGGTGCACATCCACTTATGTACATAAACGCGTTGAGCTTGTGTAAAATTGAAAGCTAATTATCATAGGGTTGAACGGCTTAAATTAATAAACCAGTTTTTTTACAAAAAAATAACTCCATTTTTTGTCTTATTTATTCAATGTCATTATATATCAAACTAAAAATAATCTGCATGTTGGTAGCATTACTACGGGCGGATTGGCTGTTAAAAATGCAAAAGAAATCAAGCGCTGATAATTTTAATACTATATATTAATGAATGACATGGGCGATTATTTGAGCTATGGGATTTTTAAAGAAAATTGAAGGGCTAAAAATTACAACTGTTTAAAATTTATAACCTCAAAACAACTAATACGGTATTTAATTATATTATTATTATTTTTTGAATTATACAACTAAAAAGCTCTAAGCTATATTAATCATTGAATGATGTGATAAAAGTGTAAGATCAAGTATTTCCTACTAGATAGGGTTTGATCTTATTTGAAAATGTAATGGACTGACTAATGGAATGAATAAATCCTTATTATTATTATACATATGTACATATGTATAATGACAGCAAATATATGTATAGGAATTGGTGGTGGTTGGTGTTACCTGTGTGTCGGTGATAATGTTTCTCACCTAATAGTGATAAAATTAACACCAACCAGTGACAATTTGTCTCCATCCCGGCTAGATTGTTTACCCTGCGGTGAAAGACGTTAGCACAATTTGGTGAAGTCACATATGCACACCGTTCGGTGACGATTAACACCGAGTTTTTAAGAGTGTGCCAGCTGGTGAGAATATTTCATCAAACGGTAGCAAAATTTAAATGAAGAAATTCTTATGTTCGTGGCTCATCAGATTATTAGGAGTGCAGTGGAATGCAAGGAATCGTGCGGAATCAAAAGGTATTTTTGAATTAAAGTCGCTTATCTGTGTACTAGAAGAGTTCTTAACTTACAGTATCTATTTTTTCAGATCACTGTCAAATCATATCCTGAAGGACGACCATTTGAAACCATGTAAATCAACTTTGATTACTTGTTGACACGAATATTTATGGACGTAGGAATATGCATACATATATATGTGCTTAGGGGGTAAACTAGATATATTTGGGACAGTTGGATTACTAAAAGAGTTGACAAGCTTGAAAAGAAAACAAATACCCCTGCAATGGCACGCCATACGACAGGATTCAGAATTTTTATGAATCTGTGTATTGACAAGTATATTTATCGCCATGGTATGTACATAACGCGTTTTATTACGAAGGTTGAAGACGTACCAACAATTACATAACGCAAGTATTTAATTACAAGTAAACATATTTAAATATTACAATCATTACTAATCAGTGCATAACATAAAACAATATATGTATGTAAAATATGATATTTGCGTAGATAAATAGATATTATAAATATGTATCTACATCACAAAATTAAATTAAATATACAAATTTAAATGCTCATGTTTTGCATCGACTCTTCCAAGTCTGAAGTCCGACAGGATCTGGGACTCGATTCATCAGATGTGGCTATTAGAATAAACATCATTTTTTTTAAACAAGGCACAAATTCATGGTTTATTAAGTCACCAATTTTTAAGGTTGGTCTTCTTACCAGAATCGTACATAAACCACAAGTCGTATGGATAACTTGACCAAGACCGGAACTGTAGATTACGGCGACGGATCTCAAACATTCCTCTTGGAAAGCAGTAAACATTCCCGACCTAACAAGCAACCCAGAAATGTCATCAAATTTTAATTTGTGTTCACAATTTCGGAAAATTCGCATCACAATCAGCTCATTTTGATGTTATTAATTACAAATGTAATGTACCTGATATAGGATTTTTGCCACGTAGTAAAAATTCCCGATAGCTATTGCCACCATAATTGTCGCCCCGTCATCCTGCGTCAGCATGACGCGAAGGTATGGCGTGTGGCGATCAGATTGCAAAACTCCCTCCTCCATGCAACAAACTTCAGCAAGGAAGCTGGACCTGGATTTAAAATAGTACATAAATAAATGCAATATTTAGTATTTCACAAAAATGTAAATACTGAATTTGTCTAAAATTATTACAGATAAAGGACATAAATAAAAAAACTTTCCAAATTTGAGTAAAATGCAAATAATTGAGAATACTCACTCTAGACGTCCAACATAATTTGCTTGGTTAAAGGTGAAAATTGATTCCATTTCACAAGATAACTTATTCACGTACTTTTACAGATAATTCCACAAATTAGATAAAATGTGCTATTTTATTTAGGTTGTAAATATTTAAGTTTGATTTAGTATTGTTTTTAGTAAATGTTGGATTATACAAGTTTGCGTGTAACGTAGCGAGATGCTAAAAATATGGAGTTGTTTAAAGTCGAGAATGCAGAGTGGTAATGAGAACTGAAGTCGAGAGGAGAAATGTTAAAGGGTTGAAATCCGAGGCTTTATGGTCACTCGAAATACAATTCCCGGAAATCCCTTTCTATTTATGTTGGTGAAAAATTGTGTGCAGCGAATAAAGTATCTAACATGACATAAAAACATTCGTAGTATTTTTCCACTACGATTTTTATGAACGGGTTGCATAACTCTATATATTTAGCAACTTATCAAATGAAAGATAATTCCGAGGTTTCTATTACGCATTAAGAAAATAGTCTGACCCGTTGGAAAAATAAATGCACTCAAATTACAAGGTAAATATGTCCACATGAAATTGTTTTAAGGACAAAACTAACACGTACAACTCCTTAGATTTTATATACATACGTATGCATAATTTAGTTTATCTGAACTAAATTAAGTTTACATTGCATGCATCAGAACGTAATAATTTTTTAAATAATTTATTATTGTAGCAAAAATATTTGTCTCGTTGATGATGCTAATAGCCAGTAAATAACAAATAAAGATAAATATCAGCAATACTGCTCCACATTTTATTAAATATTTATTACATAATTCACACAAAAATTGCCACTTAATGTTTTTGCAACATCGATCTAGAATGTTAGTAACAAATTGATCGTTAACCCCATTGTGTTGGATATGAATGTAAGTGGAGAACTTCTCTTCAGAAAGTACAAACTCCCAATGTGTGCTTTTAATGGTGCAAAACTTTGAACTAGTCTCATTCTCTTCATAATCTTACACTTCCTCCACTCTGTAATCAAATATCTGGACCCCTCAAAAAGCAATTGTCCTTCAGAATTAATACAGAATGCCATAATGCTCAAGGCAAAAGTCCCAAGAGGGAAGATAAACGACGAAGGTTGAGAAACCGTCAGTACACCATTTTTTGACAACTTAAACGTCGCAAAACTCATCCAGGACACAAGAAATAGTAAAACTGAATTTGCCATCGGTATAATATAAGCCCCATAACAGGAGTGATACAACTTATCAACGATTTGTAGCTGCCGATAGGATAACGAATAAGTCCGACATGCTTTCAAATTTGATGATACCAGGATTTCTCGTTTCTTTCTGCAAAATGTAAAGAAGTCAAGCTGAGATGAACTACTGTTCGTCCAGTATTATTAGTCGCAAAAAATTCTGAAAGGTTACCTGGTGGATTATTTATTTTTCAATTAACAACCAAATAACCTCTCAGAAAATTTTCCAAGAAATTGCGACTATTAATATTGGATGAGCAGTAGTAAACAATTTTCTTTAGCACATTACCCAAATTTCTTCAAATGCACTCCAAGATAATGCGTGTAAGACGAGTATGTGAAGAAAACAAATAGCACGACATTCCATGAATTCATAGGTATCAGAAATTCGTATAGCATATGGATCGCAAAAGTTGTGCTCGTTTGCCACGCCAGGTCCAACATCCCCCAGATATACTGCACCCCGTGATGTCTTCTCACAAAGAGCAGAATATTGCAGAGGGATTGTCCATACACGGCTGGAATTAGCCAGGGAATCATTTTGGAGAAAGTACTCTCCAACTTTTCTTTCGGTTTGGCAGGGTTCATCACTAATAAATTGAGAAATGCCAAATATTCGTCATGTTTTCTCCAAACTGTGATCAGAAAAACGGCAGCAATTCCAAACCCGACGGATTGATAGGTAACAAAACCTGAAGGACATGGACATGGTTAAATACGCGTGTTCACAGATATGTCAAAATGGTGTTCCGGAAGTCATAACACATTTAAGCTTGACACTTGAGTGAAACTTATTGGCATGTCAGGCCTTTAAAAAGTACTTCCAGAAGACATTAATTAGCTTAGTGATGGCCACCCACCTATGTCAAGGACAGATACGTGCTCAAACCCTCCGAGAAAGAACATGGCCCAAATCATGCGATACGTTGAAAACGATCCTCCAAACAGTTGAAAGAGTAAATTCATCCAGCACAAGAACATCCGAACGGGAACGCCCCCTTTAAGAGAAGGACGGCGAATACATGTCTTGTAAATTGATACATTCCCAACCTAAAAGACATTTTCGAGAGAAATTAATATGCTTTACACATCCTTGAATATACTTAATATCACCTGGATCCTCTGAAATGGGAGGGTTTTGCAAATCAAGGAAAATTTAACGCTCCGTTGAATAAGTTTCAGACTTTTTTGTGGCACAATGTTCATTTTTCTGCTATAATTTTCAAAGGTAGCATTAAGTTTTTCTGCAGAAATGACACCTCCAAGTCATTAGTCCAATTTCTATAGATTGGTCCAAATGCATGACGACAATGTGAAGGGTCAGTAGCAAATAGGTACATAAATCTATGTAAGCTCAACTAAAATTGAATATGAAACAGTGTCCGTCTTGGACAAAAGGATTGGTTTAAACAACTGAAAGATTGCATAAATTGTGCTAAGATATGATCGGCCAGTTTACATACGTATATGTAAACTGATAAACTGATCGATCCTTTATTAAGGGGTGAAAACCCCTTTATGGAAATGTCTTGTCTGTCTGTCCGTCCGTCCGTCTGTCCGTCTGTCCGTCTGTATCCACGATAACTTTAGAACGGATTCGAATTTCGACATCCGGTTTTCGCCAACGTGTTTCTAATTTTTAAAGTATGGATGAGTTCGAAGATGGGCGTCGTAGGTCATAAGGTCACGGCGCCACGGTGATGACGCCAACGGTCAAAGATGTCGAATTTTTCGTTTCCACCGTTTTAGACGTATGTTTGGATGGGGATTTCAGAAATCGCCATCATTTCGACATGAGATGACCGTGTGACCGTGTAGACGACGCCAAAGTCGAAAATTGTCGAATTTTTTGTTGCCACCGTTTTAGACGTGTTTTTTTGCGGGGATTTCAGAAATCATCATCATTTCGACGTGCGACGACTCCATGACCTTGTGGGAGGTGTCGAATGTCGAAAAAATGACTTTTGTCATGTGGGATGTCTATTGAAAGGTACTGTCGTGTACGTTTGAAGTACGCGGGTGGGGGTGTCAACGGAGCAAAATGAGACGTGGGGTAATGCGAGACAATGACGGAAAAGTGCTGAAAGACGTTGTGGGCGTGTCACAAAGACAATTCCGTGTGTTTTCACCCCTTTGCTACATTTCGTTTGCAACGGTTTATTATACTTTCAGGCACATAATGACATTTGTACATACATACCTACGTGCATGTACGGCGAATGAGTGATATCAATATCAAATCGCTTTCATGACAGCATTGAATATCTCTCATAGCATAATTCCAGGGTCCGAAATAATATGAACTTAATGAGCTAATATCCTTGACTTCGTAATTATAAGGTTGTAATGCCTGGTAAATATCTATGTTACTGCAGCCTCTATATAAATATGTACACATGTATCGTATCGCTATGTGTTTGTATATGTATTACACATGTACATTTCTAGGTAAGCGTATTTCTTTATTTGTGCTGCATAACAGATCAATTAGTAGAGCAAAGAGTTAGTCAAGAAGTAATCGGGTAATATACCTACATTATGTACATATATATTAAGCGGTAAAAAGCTCTTTATGAAAGTGTTTTGTCCATCCGTCCGTCCGCATCCAGAACAGATTCGAACTTTGAAATTGAGGTTTTCATCAATGTATTTAGAAAATTTGGGATGGACTTACGTCCGAATATGGCTTAGGGTCCGGGCGTCATGGCAATCAGGTCAACAGTCAAGAAAAATATCTCATTTTTTTGTTTGGGATAGGTTTGGACTAGTTTTTTTGGCGTTTCAGAAACCCACATAATTTAATCACGATGACCCCGTGACAGTTTAGATAAATGAGGCCAGACTCGGCCAGAGGTTGAAAATTCAAAATTTTTAGTTTCGAAGTCGTTAAGGGAAGGCGACGTAAAGCACGGTCACCCTATTTGCCTTCACCCCCTTGCAACATTTCGTTTGCAACAGTTTACTTGTTCTGTTTACATATGTAACAGATCAATTAGTGGAGCAAAAAGTTAGTGAGTCAAGACCAAGTATTTGCGTAATGTACATGCATCAGAGGGGTAAATAAAACGGTCAAATCAGAATAAAAAAGTACAAAGCCGTGGATACGATGATCATACGTCAGCCTTTTTAACATTTCTCGAAAAAAACTTTTAATTGGATCCCAAATGCTATGCGTACTCTTATTCAGAAATTTGCAAAGAGCATCTAACTGAACAGTGTCTCTAAAAGCGACAACAAATTAAACCCTCTTGTATTTAAAGTTTTTTCCCGACCATGGAGTACTTTTTTATGTCCGACAATGTCTTGGATAAATCATAAACATTTAATTTCAAGGTGTATCCAGCACATCAATTTAAAATGACATGTTGTAATTAAAGAGACCCTGATACTTCTAATTGTTTTCTTAAACTTTTGCATGGCTATCACTTTTATGTCTATTTGTATGTGGGTCATACATATACTTAAACATTTTTACGATTGATTGCCGAAAAATTACCGGTTATGTATACGACATAAATCGAACAAGAAGCTACGGGTTTTGGCCTCCTCAATATATTTATGTATGTACAAATGAAGGAAACGATTCGAAGCAGTAGTCATCATGTAATTAGGCCTCTGTACTTCGATATTGGCCGTTGGAGGAAAGTAGCATCAGTTTCAGAGCGGTTTTGAACTTACATAGAGGTATGTAATTTCCAAGATTGAGGTCATTCCAAGAGTTGACCAGCTTGAAGGGGAAAAAATTCGCCTCGGAGGCCACGCAATATGAGTAAAAAGATAGTGAATTTGGAATAAAACTCTACCAAGTTCTTAATTATATAATTATTATATTAATTCGACCCACACCCTAAACCACCCACCCAAAACCCACCTAAAACCAAAAATCCCCTACTCGTCAGATTTGTGGTCCGAGTACCCTTGTTGTGAATGCATGGTTTAAGGTGGTCGACTTGAATTACGAATGGTTAAAAAACAGGAAAGGTTTGAAGTCTGTTAAGTGGTTTTGATGGAAATAAAATTCCTGGAAAATCCCACCTAATTTTATGTCGGCGAAAAAATGGGCAATCGAATGTACGTCATGCCAATAACATCAACGGGAAGTAATATTTACTACATACTTATTTATGCATGGTGCATGTACATGTACTATACATATATTTTTATATTCTTAAAAATGTGCTTAAGATTTCTATCTATTTATATTTTGTTCTTATTGTAATATTCAATCTCTTGAGCAGAATTTCGATTGCGGCGAGAATTATAAAATAGACATTAGCTCGTGCGTTAGAACGGAAACACTAAAAGCTGTAACACACAGTTTTCTCAATTTTAGCAGATACTAATTCATACATCTAAAAAAAATGCACCATGGGACTCATAAATATATTTGTTAGTAACTCCTTCATGTGCTTAAAAATTACATGCATTTTCAGAATAAATAAATAATCATGTTCTCTGTAGTACACAATTTAACGAAATATATAATTGAACATTTTAAAATGTTGTCATTACATGTGCAAAAAATTCACATGTCCAAGGTAACAAAATTATATCCTTAAAGTACATTTTGAAACATCTATTACATATATATGAAACAAACAACGCAACATATTCAACTCATTATTGAATCGTCCCTTGGGCGAAAGTCCTACAAAAAATATAAAATTAACCACATGACTTATGTTTAGTCCCATAGTGGAAAATGGGTTATTTTTATCCAGGAATTTGTCAAGTCTTCACTCGTTACTATATAAATACATACATATGGTACCAAAAATGCAACCCTTTTTACCCCACGCGAACCATCATGGCTATTTACCCTTAAGTACCACACGCATAGGTACTTAATAAATACACAATTATCCACTCCAACACAAAACACGGTAAGAAACGAAGAACCACATACACATATTTTGCTTTTCAAAAATTTCTGTAAATGTGTTTCTTGTTCGTGATTTTTTAATGTTTTAATTGACGGCAAAAAATGGTTGAAATATAAGCGATTTTTTTACAGATTTTTATCTAACAATGCGAAGACGCCAGCAGTCTCGCTCCGATTTTGATGTAACAGCAATAATTTCATATGTAGCTTTACATAAACAATTAAACATACGTTTCAGGTTTTTTAATATTGTATTTAAACGACATTATGATGGGATCCGTACTCGAGAATTTGCATTTTTCTCGTCAGCGAGTAAATATAAATTTTCGAGTACGGATCTCATCATACATAATTTCGTTTAAACTGGGCATCTTTAAAAATCCTGAAACATGTGTTTAATAATTTACGTATGTAAAGCTGCATATGTAACTAGTGTAGTTTCATCAAAATCGGAGCGAGACCGCTGGCGCATTTCAACCACATTTGTTTAAGCAGATCAATTTTTTGTGGATATATACGTATATGTATCAGTCTACCAACTGAAGAAATACCAAATCCACATGGATCTGAAACAAGGAAATAAATGGGAGTGCCCAAAGTGCTTAAAACAGTTTAAAACCAATAGATCGTTGACTCGACTCATGGTCACGCACGATCCGGATGCCAAGGTCAAATGTGAGGTGAGGGTGTAAATCTGAAAAAGTGAAATGATAACAAAATTTTTCATATTTTTCCATTTCTAATTTGTATAGGTTTGCCACAAAATTTTCAAAAACAGAGGCACCTTATCTATCCACATATCGAGAATTCACGGCAACCGGAAGAGAAGTAGTTGTGACATTTGTCACCGACAGTTTTACCACGTGGCTTATTTACGACGACATATTGACGTCATCCACAGCACGAAGGTACGATCCCGTTTGCCGTGTGGATTTTCTGGCTGTGAGAAAACATTCCTAAACAAATACCTAGTTTCTACCAACGTGAAGACCGAACATGCCGAGAATCCGATCCGATTTCCGTGCACACTTTGCGGAAAGGACTTCAAAACGAGGGGTAACCTTGAGCGACACATTCTCAGCCACACGACGTAGAAGACGTACAATTGTGCCACTTGTGGAAGGATTTTCGCCCAGATGGTTAACATGAAAAGCCATGAGGTAAATAAGCATGGTTTGCGAAAACTACATTGATGCAAAAATTTTAATGTGCATATGGTCGCTGTTCGTGCAAAACTTGTCGGTTGAGAACTAATGAGGACCCAGTTGCAAACATAAGTTGTCAGATTAAAATTCGGACGCCATGTCGTGCAGTTATAAAATCTCGTGTGCATTAAAAATCCATCCGAAAACTTCTGTTTCCGAGTGGAATCTGAACCGACAAGTTTTCCAAGAACAGTGACGATATTTATACGGATTACAGATGACGCATTTGGAAAAATCTGCCCGAGACGTGCTCCAGTGTCACGTCTGTTCTCAGACCTTCTTAAGCAGACAAGGTCTACAATCCCACATTCGAACTGTACATGAAAATGCCAGGAATTATCCTTGCGCCTTTTGTGACAAGAGATTCACGACAGGCGATTCTTTGAAGCGTCACGTGGAGGCGATACATGTCACGAATAAAGAGCGGATCCACTCCTGCGACAAATGCGAGTACATGAGCCACTCAAAAGTCTATTTGGATGCCCACAGAAAACGTCACGATGCAGCGAGATATGAATGTTACTTCTGTGGGAAGAAATTCCTCGCTTTTTACGAATTGACCAGACATTGTCGAGTTCACACTTTAGAAAAGTAAAAATATTTATGTGTATAATGAACGTTTCAATATGTAATTTGCGGATTTTTACTAAATTTTCGATATTTCGCAAACCTTTTTCAGAGAAAATTATGGGATTTTAGTTAATGGACAAGTTCCAATTTCGCTATTTGACTAAATACATACTCTATGTAAAATATTTCAAACTGTTTACAACCATCATGTCAAATTTAGGGTTAAATTTAATGCACCACCGAATTAGCTGAAATTTACCATAAATTTTAGCTGAATTCGCCACCGGATGAATTTTTTCCAACTTTAGCCTTTTTAGCCACCGATTTAGATGGTGGTTACCACAAATTTAGATGAGCTGCCATTACCATATTTAATGAGCATAGGATTACAAAATCAATAAAATTTACATGAATATGATTTATTTATTTGTATAACACGTCTATATACATGTTTTTTTTAAAATACACCTGAAATTAAATAACAATGAGCGCTTTTTAGCCTTCGCAACCCTACCATTCTTACGCTTTTGACCAAATGGAACGGTTTTGGCTTCCGGTCTAACATCATAAAGCGTATTCTGAATTTCTAAACCAATTATTTCCTTTCGTCCTCTATTTCAGGAATTCCAACAGAAATTTAAAATTGCTACATTCCTCTCTAGCCATGACGGCAATACTGGTTGGGTGAAAAGTTCGGTTTTTTAAGAGACACCCACTACTAGCACAGGAAACTAGAGTGTAGTCGGATCGATGTTTTTTTAAAAATTCGATCTGATCCGACTTGGTCGGATCCTTAAAAAATTCGATCCAATCCGACCTGGTAGGATCCTAAAATAATCCGACCCAATCCGAGTCTGTCGGATTCGGATTGGATTAATCGGATTAAATTCGACTTCCTACTGCTTTCTACATATACATAGTGTAGTTGGATTTATGTTTTTTGATATCCTATCCGATCCGATCCGACTTCGTCGGGTCATAAAAAATCCAATCAGATTCGATCCGATCCAACTAATCCATTTAAGCCTGATATCCCACTACTCTCTAAAGGAATATTAGACGCAACTGGTCTTGAGCTTCTAAAATTTGGGAGAATTTTCCTCAGAAAGAGAGAATACGGTATCACTGGTCCAATTAATAACTTGCGAACACGTCATTTCTTTGGTTTTAAAAAACGTTGTTCAGATAGATATATTTTAACTGCACAACTGTGGGAGTAGTGATGACCAGCCGAAAGGTAATACATACTTCTCCTACCCAGTCTTGTCAATGATATACAAATATATACATATGTATACCCATGTTTTATCATGAAATATGGTGATGGCAGTTCATTTAAATTTGTGGTAACCACCATCTAAATCGGTGGCTGAAAAGGCTAAAATTGGAAAAAATTCATCCGGTGGCGAATTCAGCTAAAATTTATGGTTAATTTCAGCTAATTCGGTGGTGCATTAAATTTAACCCTCAAATTTACACAATGGTTGGATACGATTTATCATATTGGCATATTTTATTCCTTTTGGTTGAAGTGACAAATCTATTGATCAACATAGTTATGTTTTATAATAAAACTTTTATTATGAACTCATATGAATAGTTAACAAAAATATTTAACTGTGTGTAAGATAAATATCACAATAAATAGATACATAGTTAATATATTTACTTAATTCTAATTAATCAAAAATAAAAAAAAACATTATACTTAAAATATGATATGTGTGTAGATAAAAAGATATAAATGGGTGAGTACGCAATAAAATGTAATCTAACTAAATACACATACAAATTTAGAAAATGCTCATGTTTTGCATCGAGTCTTCCAAGTTTGAAATGCGGCAAGATTTGTCATTCGTTTGGGTAGATGTGGCTATGGGAATAAATATCAAGTTATTAAAAATATAAGACATGAATTCATCAGATCAATGTTTTACTCAAGGGAGTCCTGCTTACCAGAATCGTGCAGGACCCACAAGTCGTATAGATAACTTGAGCACGAGTCTTGCGATGTACGAGGACGGATCTCGAACATGCCACGTGGAAAACGGTAAACGTTCCCGACCTAAAAAGCAACCCAGAAATGTCATAAAGGGTTACTCCATGAGTTATGGTAATGGACCTGATGTCAAAAATTGATTTTTTTAAAATCCTTCAAGTATGTGTTAGAGGTTCTTAAAATATGCATAAAAATAATTTTCTCCGAATTTTTGCGGTTTCAATGGGGCTGATAGTAGGGGGTGTGGCTTCCCTTGAGATACCACCTTTACGCAGCCGCTATTGCACGCAGGGGCGCCAAATTTCAAATCAACCTACAATGGGCAAATACAATTGCTGGTCTTTTTCTCTTTTTTGAAATTAGGTCACAGTGACCGTTTTTAGGTCCAAATGTGCATTATTTCAAATTTTTTCGAAAATCGTCTCACATAACCCCATTAATGGGGCATCGTTAGATAGGTCTAGTCAAGAGGATTCTAAATATATATACTTTGTCGGGTATATGACCACCCCCTGATCTTCTAGAGGCAGAATATGTGAATTTTCAGTCTCCACAGATTTCAACACAGCAGCAGATTGGGGATCTAACAGAAATAGATGGGACAAACTCAAAAATATTGTTCTGACTCTGGAACACCAAGGAGTGGTCATACACCCCACAAAGTATATATATTCTTAATCCTCTTGTCAAGACCTTTCCAACGATACCCCATTTATGGGGCATGCGAGACTTTGACTTCTCAGGCAAATTTAACATGCTGTGGAGTTTGACCTAAAAACGGTCACCGTGACCTAATTTCCAAAAAAGAGAAGACCCGCAATTGTATTGGCCCATGGTAAGTTGATGTGAAATTTGGAGCCCCTACGCGCAATAGCGGCTGCGAAAAGGTGGTATCTCAACGGAAGCCACACCCCCTCCTATCAGCCCCATTGAAACCGCAAAAACTCGGAGAAAATGACTTTTCTGCATATTTTAAGGTCCTCTAACACATACTTGAAGGATTTCAAAAAAATCAATTTTTGACATTAGGTCCATTACCATAACTCATGGAGTAACCCAAAGTGTTAATTTCTATTTAAAACTTTGCACACCTCGCTACGCAATCATTTATTTCATTTAGATTTTACCAATTAAATATATAAATATGTACCTGATAACGATTTTTTGCCACGTGGTAAAAATTGCCGGTCGCAATGGCCACCATAACTGTCTCCCCGTCGTCCTGTGTCAGCATGACGCGAAGGTATGGCGTCGGTCGAGTAGATTGCAAAACTCCCTCCTCCATCCAACAAACTTCGGCAAGGAAGCTGGATCTGAATTTAAAATTGTAAATGCAATATTTAGTACTTAGCGAAAAACGTACGAAATTTTTCCAAAATTATTACATATCTAGAACACAAATTTTTTCAAAATTTTTAATGAAAATCATAAAAAAATTACTCACTCTAAACGTCCAACATAGTTTGCTTGGTGAAAAGTGAAGATGGATTCCATTTTAGAAGAGTTAATTTATAATGTTAATTTATGTATTTACTAGCTTGTAATTTCACAAGTTAAATAATATTTAGGTTTTATTATTTACTTTTAAGTTTCGGTAAGTTTTCTAAAATTGGGCTTGAATTATGAAAACTGACTTGTTAAATGGCGTTAAGTGAAAATGTTGAAATGTTTAAAGTACAGAATACTAGGCAGTAATGAGAACCGAAGGGGAGAAACATTCACATTATGAAAGAATTGGCCAGTGGTGAAGGGTTGAGTTCGACGCTGGAAATAAAATTCCTGGAAATACATATTCGCCTCTCTCATTCTTGTCATTTGTATTAGTGGAAAATTTTGCAATGTGATCGTGCAACGAACGAGGTAACCTAGATTTAAAATAAATGTAGCATTTTCCCAGTATGATGTTTCATAAGGCTATTTAGCATTTAATATCGTATGGAAAATAATTACGAGATTCGTATTTATGATGCCATATTGTTATTTAAATTTAGCATACCTAAATGGAAACGATGGAAATAAAATTCCTGGAAATTCCTCTCCAATTTTGTGCAGAGGAAAAATTGGATAATCGAATCCATCGAGTCTTCACACCACACAAACCAACATTAACTCCACGTGGTAACTTATCCTTAGTGCTAATAGCACCTGCATAAGTAACATTCACACAATCCAGCAGAACACCCGGTAAGAAACGAAAGATGACACGCTGTAATAGTAGTGCGATATACCGTAGTTTTTATAATAAATGTTATTACTGGTAAAAATTTTGTACATTTTTTTCAAATTTATTATATTATTTATAAATTAAAAAACGCAACATATTCACATCGTGATTGAATCGTCCAATAGGCGAAATTCCTCCTCAAAATTCAAAATTAACGACATGACTTGTGTCTGGTCCCCAATGAATGGTTGGTTATTTTTATCCAGGAATTTGACAAGTCTTCGCTCGTTACTAAGGTTACAAAAATGCGACCCTTTTTACACCACGAGGACCATCATTAAGCTTACGTGGTTACTTACTCTTAAGTACCACCCGCATAAGTAATAATTAAGCACTCCTACCTAACACACGGTAAGAAGCGAAGAACCAAATACACACATTTTGCTTTGCAAAAATTGCTGTAAATGTGTGTCTAGTTCGTGATTTTTTTAACGTTTGATTGAATTGCTGGCAAAAAGTGGTTGTAATATTGTGTGAATACGGGTAAGGGATTTTTTTACAGATCCTTAACTATAATAGTGCGAAGTCTCGCTCCGATTTTGATGAAACAGCAATAATTATGTATGTAACTTTGCATTAATAATTAAACACATGTTTCAGGTTTTTCATAATGCTCTGCATAAACGAAGTTATGTATGATGGGATTCGTACTCAAGAATTTGCATTTTTCTCGTGAAATTTTTGTCGTAAGCGAGTAAATGCAAATTTTCGAGTACCGATCTCATCATACATAATTTCGATTAAACTGAGGATATGAAAAATCCTGAAACACGTGTTTAATTATTTATGTAAAGCTACATACTTAATTATTGCTGTTACATCAAAATCGGAGCGAGACCGCTGGCGTCATCGCATTTTAAGCCCATTTGTTTAAGCAGATCAATTTTTTGTGGACATATGCACATCAGTTTACCACCTCAAGAAATACCGAATCCACATGGATCTGAAACAAGGAAAGAAACGGGAATGTTCAAAGCCCTCAAGAACGTATAGCGACTTGTCAAGACACGTGGTCACGCACGATCCCGATGCTCAGGTCAAATGTGAGGTGAGGGTGTAAATTTGAAAAAGTGAAATGATAACAAAATTGTCCACATTTTTCCATTTCTAATTTGTATAGGTTTGCCGCAAAATTTTCAAAAACAGAGACACCTTATCTGGTCACATATCGAGAATTCACGGCAACCGGAAGAGACCAAGTTGTGACACTTGTCACCGCGTGTTTTCCAATTCATGTAACTTACGGCGACATATTGACGACGCCCACGGCACGAGTGAACGACCCCGTTTCCCATGTGGATTTTCCGGCTGTGAGAAAACCTTCGTAAATAAATATCTAGTTTCCACCCACATGAAGACTGAACATGTCGAGAATCCGATCCGATTTCCGTGTACACTTTGCGGAAAGGACTTCAAAACAAGGACAGAACTTGGGAAACACATTCGCGCCCACACGACGGAGAAGCCGTACACTTGTGCCAGTTGTGGGAGGAGTTTCGCCCAGATGGGAACCATGAAACGTCATGAGGTAAATAAGCACGGTTTGCGAAGAATAGATGGAAAAATATCAATATGGTCGCTATTTAACTCTGTTGGAAACAGAAGTTGTCAGATTAAAATTCGGAAAGGCACCATGTTATGTAGTTCGAAAATCTTATATGAATTAAAAATTCATCCTAAAACTCATGTTTCCGAGTGGGTTCTCAATCGACAACTTTTCCAACAACTGCGACGATATTTATACTGATTACAGATGACTCATTTGGAAAAATCTGCCCGAGACATGTTCCAGTGTCACGTCTGTCCTCAGACCTTCTTAAATAGAACGTCGCTACAACACCACATCCGAGTTGGACATGAAAATCAGAGGAATTATCCGTGCTCATCTTGTGACAAAAGATTTTCCACCTCAAGAGACTTGATGCGTCACGTGGAGGCGGTGCATGCCACAAATAAAGAGAAGATCCATTCCTGCGACAAATGCGAGTACAAGAGTCACTCGAAAGCCAATCTGGCCAATCATCGAGTTCGTCACAACACAATGGCAAGGAGGCATGGATGTTACTTCTGTGGGAAGAAATTCTACACTTTTTTCGAATTGGTCTCACATTGTCAAGTTCATACTTTTGAAAAGTTAAAATACTTATCTATGTAACGGGGATTTCAGTATTTGTAATTTGCGAATTTTTCTAAATTTTCCACATTTGACAAAACCATGCAGTATGCAAAATAAATTATACAAATCAACCAGAGGCCTTAGTAACCTTACAAGTTCCTAGATATTTCGCTTGAATGTGTATTTTGCAAACTATTTATCCAACGGTTGACGGTTGGATAAATTTTACCAGCTTTTGTGCCATCCTCTTTTTTCTGCTCAACCATCATGCAACCTTGTGCAAATTATAATGAGAATACCAATAAATTGCGGATTTTTACTAAATTTTCGATATTGCACAAACCTTTTCATAGAAAGTCATGAGATTTCAGTTAATGAATAGGTTCCAATTTCGCTGACTGAATTAATATTCTAAAATATTCGCACTGTTTAAACTCATTTACACAATGGTTGGATAAGATTCATCCCGTTATTGTATCATTCTCTTTTATACGCAACGCTTGGCATATTTTATTCGTTTTAAGTTTTAAATAAATTTTAAATTTTACTCTTATTAAGTTGAAGTGACAAACATATTGATCAACATAGTTATGTTTTATTATGAACTCATTTGAATAGTTAACAAAAATATTTAGCTGTATGTAAGATAAATATCACAATAAATAGTTAATATACTTAGAGTGCGATTACAAAAGAAAGAAACTTTTGAAAAAAAGCCTGTAAACTCCAAAAAAATTAATTAATTCCAATGAAATTTTCAGGGATTATAAACAAGGTCTCTACTATTCAATTTTTTGCTTCATACGAGCCATAGACCCCCATCCTTCATATCTGGCGAATTTGTTCTCTCGCGGTCGCCAGAAGTGCTTTGCCACTCTTTCTCGCAACCTCTTTTGAGGTGTGTGACAAAATCTGACGGAATCCTCTCAAGTTTCTGGCTGGTTTTGTTGGACAACTATATTCTATCTTGCATAATGCCCAAAATCGTTCAATTGGTCTTGCCCGAGGGACGTAGGGAGCATATTCCTTTTTTGCAACAAAATCGATTTTTTTCGACCGCATGTAGTCCAGAACAACTTTGGAATAATGAAATGTTGCTGTGTCCGGTCAGAAAAGTACATTACGATTATTGTTAAAGGGGATCAAGATCTTCTTTACACAATCGTTCAGATATCTCCCCGAGGTCATGGTGGCTGTGGTCACGAACGGCTTAGAGACGTCCCCCAATGAGTCCAATGCTTGCCAGATTATGTGCTATGTGGGGAATTTTGACTTCGGTGTGTATTTGAAGGAATCTTTAAACGTGTTCTTATTAGTACACGAGTAGTACTTCCTCGCAAGGACTTCATCTGGATCAGTTGAGCACTTGGTCTCATCATTCATGACCAGAATCAGGGGCATGTTTTGCTTGACTCGTTTTTCAGCAATCTGCCGAGAGTTGGGCTTTGCTCTTTTTTGCTGACCTTGGTTGTACTTTGGTGCAGGTGTCGCCTTATAGGATTTGACCCCCAACTTCGTAGGGTTAATGACATGTAAACTTAATTTAGCTATTTTCAATTTGTAGCACAAATTACCATCTGATATCCCAAGGTTATTTTGGCATTCCTGCTGAAGTCTACGTATCACTTTGGGGGTCGCTACACGAGCAGGACGATTTTTTTATTTTTTGAATTCCGCATTCCTGCTCTCCTCATACATATCTAAAACTCTGCAAATTGTCCCATTATAAATTTTTTCTCTTTCGAAGTGGCTATTAACCATTATCCGGGCGCGCTCGCACACTTTTACGTAGTAGTGGCAAATTTTTTTTGCGAGTTGCTCTGAATTTTTTGTTATCATTTTGGAACTAGTCGAGATATCGACTTCCGGTTTTCTGATTTGGGTAACTAATCGTATGGACTACAAAACTACGGCGTTTCAATTCAGTGGCAATTTTTCTTCCATATGAATAAATACATTTTCAAAAAGTTTCTTTCTTTTGTAATCGCACTCTAATTCTAGTTAATCAATAATAAAAAACGTTATACTTCAAATATGATATTTGTGTAGATAAAAAGATATTATAAATGGGTGAGTACATAATAAAATAAAACAAAATATAAAATAAAATATACAAAAATTTTAGAATATGCTCATGTTTTGCATTGACTCTTCCAAGGTTGAAGTGCGGCAGGATATGTCATTCGTTTGAGCAGATGTGGCTATCGGAAAAAATAATCAAATTATTAAAAACATAAGGCAGGAATTCATCAGATATTATGAGATCAATGTTTTATTCAAGGGAGTCCTGCTTACCAGAATCGTTCAGGAACCACAAGTCGTATGGATAACTTGAGCACGAGTCCTGCAATGTACTCTCTTTCCACGGCAAGTTGAACCCGGAGATATGGGAGACTAACTCAGTTCAACGTTAATAAGCATGGGCCGGGATTTAGTCTTCCATATCTCCGAGTTCAACTTGCCGTGGATAGACTATACGAGGACGGATCTCAAACATGCCACTTGGAAAGCAGTATACGTTCCCGACCTAACAAGCAACCCAGAAATATATGATGAAGTATTTGTTTGCATTTAAAACTTTGCAAACTTTGCTCCGCAATCATTTATTTCATTTAGATTTTACCAATTAAATATCTAAACATGTACCTGATAAAGTCTTTTAGCCACGTGGTAAAAGTTCCCGGTCGCAATGGCCACCATAATTGTCTCCCCGTCATCCTGTGTCAGCATGACTCGAAGGTATGGCGTTGGTCGGGCAGATTGCTCGAAAACTACCTCCTCCATCCAACAAACTTCAGCAAGGAAGCTGGATCTGAATTTAAAATTGTAAATGCAATATTTAGTATTTAGCGAGAAACATACGAAATTTCTCCAGAATTATTACATATCTACAACATATTTTCGATATTTTTAATGAAAATCATAAAAAAAATTACTCACTCTAAACGTCCAACATAGTTTGCTTGGTGAAAAGTGAAGATGGGTTCCATTTTAGAATTTATAATGTTAATTTATGTATTTACTAGCTTGTAATTTCACAAGTTATATAATATTATTTAGGTTTTAATTATTTTAGTTTGGCTTAGTTTGTTCAAAGTATGAAAATTTACTAGTTAAGTGAAAATGGTGAGATGGTTAAAGTGCAGAAGGCAGAGTGGTATAATGAGAACCGAAGGAGAGAAGCATTGACATTATGAAAGGCATGGCCAGTGGTGAAGGGTTGAAGTTCGACGCTGGAAATAAAATTCCTGGAAATATTCACCTCTTTCTTTTTGTATTGGTGAGTAATTTTTCATGTCATGCGATCGTGCAGCGACTGAAGTAATCCGAATATTAAAAATAAGTGTAGTATTTTTCCATTATGATGCTTCATAGGTTTAAGTATTTACATAATTTCATATGGAAAGTAATTACGGGGTTCCTATTTATGTAATTGGCGCATCAATAATTTTCGAATTTGGCAAACATTGTTGGTAGAAAATCAAGGGATCTGAGTACTGGACAAGCTCTTATGTCCCTAGAACGCTTCGTCAACTGTGGTGTTATGCAAATAAACAGCTTTTTGTGCCTACATCCACTTAAATAAGTTCAGGTTAATTAAAATTGAAAACTACCGAATTGATTAGTTTAATTAAGCATCAAAAAGCTCAGTTTTTTAGCAAATAATAATTTTATATTTTTTAATCGGCGTATTTATGTATGTACGTTTCTACGTACATTAGGGGTAAAATATATTCTGCATCGTTCGATTACTAAAATAGTTGACAAGTTTAGAAGGATTAAAATAGGGTTCGAAAGCCACGTGAAAAAACATGATACTAAATTTGGAGTAAAAATATCAATTACCAATTATGCGTGATTATGTGAGAATTTTACATAGCGACAACTATATTTTTAACTTTTTATGTATTTGATTATGAGCGCATACATGTGAATTATTTAATTGTATGTAGGAGTAAATATGAAAATACAGAACGGGAATTGAATTACTAATTAATTTTATAATATTAAAGATGATGTAATACGATATTTGTGTATTAAATAACATGGAAGTACATACATAATAATTTAAAAAATTAAATTAAATACACGAATTTATAAAATGCTCATATCTTGCATCGACTCTTCCAATTGCGATGTCCAGCTTGATTTGGGTCTCGTTTCATCAGACGTGGCTATCGGAATAAATATAAAGTTGTTAAAAAGAGAAAGCAAAAATTCATCGGAAATTAAGAAATCAATTTTTTTAAGGAAGCTTTTCTTACCAGAATCGTTCAGAAACCACAAGTCGTACGGATAAGTTGACAACGTGTCGTTCGATGTACGAGGACGAATCTCGAACATGCCACGTGGAAAGCAGTAAACCTTTCCGAGCTAACGAACAACACAGAAATGTCGTCAAGTTGTAAGTTGTATACAAAATTCACGTCACAATCAGTTACATAAATTAAATACATACCTTATAAAAATTTTTCACCACGTGGTAAGAATTCCCGAAGGCAATGGCATCCATATGTGACACCCCGTCATCCTGCGTCATCGTGACGCGCAGGTAAGGTATTGGTCGACCAAATTGCTCGAAAAAGTTCTCCTGTGTCCACCAAACTTCGGCGAGGAAGCTGGATCTGAATTAAGAATTATAATGCAATAATTAATTAGCATGTGTGGAAAAACGTACTAAGTTTTTTCTAAAATAATTATTATTACAGACAACATATATATTTTAGAACTTTTTAATGAAAATCATAAAAAAATTACTCACTCTAAACGTCCAACATAGTTTGCTTGGTCAAATGTGAACACGGATTCCATTGCAGAAGAGGTATTCATGTTTATTTATTCACGAACTGGTAATTTCACAGGTTAATATTATTTAGGTTGCAAATATTGAAGTTTGACTTAGTCTTTTATAAGGCAGCTTTAATTTCGGAAATTTACTTGTTAAGTCGTGTTAAGTGAAAATGTTGAGATGGTTAAAGTGCAGAATGCGGAGTGGTAGTGAGAACCGAAATCGAGAAACATTTACATTATAAATGGTTTGACCAGTGGTGAAGGGTTCAAGTCGACGCTGGAAATAAGATTCCTGGAAATATTCATCTCTCTCCTTTGGTGTTGCGGAAAACTTTGTAATGTGATCGTGCAACGAGTGAGGTACATTTATTTTTAAAATAAATATGGTATTTTTCCACCATGCTGTTTCATAGGGCTTAATATCGTATGGAAAATAATTACGAGGTTCACATAGATATTTATGATACCACACTATTATTTAAAATTGGCATGAATAATGGTGTGTATGTATATATGTAAGTATGTGTGGAATCATGCATGTTTACTTACACCGTTACATATTCCCATTATGAGGTCTTAATTTGATACGAAAAAATATGAGCATATTTACGTGTAATCATAAATTTAGTGTTGTTTCGTAATATTCAATATATTGTCATTTGTTCTACCAATAATATCAACTGGGAAATAAAGGCTTATTTAGGCAGCCTGCCTAGCCTAAGCAAACATTTATTTAGACTTATTTAACTAAACATAGTAATAAATAAACGAATTTTAAAATTCGATTTTTATTTTCAAAATTAATCCCATGATTTATTTACGGACCATACATAAATAAATCGTTGGTTCTTTGGAATTTGTCAATTGTCACTCGTTTCTTTGGTAAACAACGCAACCTTTTCCACGCCAAGAATAAAATTCGTCACAATCCAGGAAGGCGTGGATGTTACTTCTGCGGGAAGAAATTCTTCACTTCTTACGAATTGATGTCATTGTCGAGTTCATACTTTAGAAAAGTTAAAAGACTTAAATATGTTCGTAATGGGCATATCAATAATTTGGGAATTGTTGGCAAAAATGTTTGGTAGAAAACCTGAGGATTTTAGTTACAAGTTTATATATTAAATCGTTCAGCATTTATATATTAATTTCATTATTGGTGTAATTTTAGATAATATTAAGTGGTCGAAACCAATCATCCGCCAAATAACCTTTCAGATTTTTTACTGCATATTAATTTTGAATGAATAATGGTGACTGGGCATGTCCATACATATTTAACCAAAATAATTCGCAAACGGTTACGGTGCGAATACAGCATGCTGTGCATTTTGTTATGAAGGCATAATTTGTACAGATATTCAATTACAAGCAAGAAGAAAATCATAATAGTTATTAAATAATTAGTAAATATGTAATATAAAACAAAATACGATATTTGTGTAGATAAAAAATGTACAATTGTTTATTCATTGTGGTACAAATTGTATTCGCAGAGATGTAAAAAATGTTACCAGTACATAGTACATGTGCATACGTCGGATATGAATGAAAAATGACTTTTTCCATTTATTGACCTACAGTCGCCAAACTTTCTGAGAATGTTTATGGTCACTAGTAGGTCACGTAGGTCAAAGCATATTTTCTCATATTGGTCATATTTTCGGGTTTTGGGACATATTCATATTCCCGATCATATTTCGGGGTTTTTTCGTGCATTTTATCATTTTTGCCCAAATTCTAAGATTTGGCAACCAAATCGACAGAAAATGACAAAAAATTCAGTTTTCTCACAATGAACCATTATGAAAAACTTGCAGAAATTTACATTCATTTTCGCCTAAGGTGATTTAATTCATTGGGAATGAGTTAAAGCACCCCAGAACTTGTTTAATTGATAAAAATTGAGCACTACAAGAAAATATACCAAACAATTAAGCCAAAAATTAAAAAAATAAAGTCATTTTTATGTTCATATATTGGGGATTTTTGCGGTCATTTTTCATTCATATTTTGAGGCTTTATCGGTCATTCATATACGACGTCTGTACATGTGTAATAAAATTCACGTTAGTTTAATATCCATATTTAGAAAATGCCCATGTCTTGCATCGACTCGTCCCATTCTGAAGTCTGGCAGGATTTATCACTCGTCTCCTCAACTGTGCCTACCAAAACAAATATCATGAAAAAGCAAAAAATCATCGAATAATATTCCATCAAATTTTTAAGGGAAGATTTCTTACCGGAATCGTTCAGAAACCACAACTCGTACGGATAAGTTGACCACGAGTCTTGCGATGTACGAGGACGGATCTCGAACATGCCGCGTGGAAACCAGGAAGCCTTCCCGACCTACCCAAAAATATCAAAAAACTTGTAATTTATATATATTCCAAAATTTTGGAAACTTTACATCAGAATTAATTCATTCATTTAAATATCTATTTTAATTTTCCAATTAAGTATGTATGAACCTCATAGAGACTTTTTGCCACGTCGTAAAAATCTCCGGTCGCTATAGCAACCATAACTGTCGCCCCGTCATTCTGCGTCAGCATGATTCGAAGGTATGGCGTCGGTCGAGCAGATTCCAAAAATCCCTCCTCCATGCAACAAACTTCGGCTAGGAAGCTGGATCTAAGGTAAAAATTGTAAATTCAATAATTAATATTTAGCGAGAATCGTACCTAAAATTATTTCAGATCAATAACAAACTTTGAATATTTGCAATGAAACTCAAAAACTACTCACTCTAAACGTCCAGCCGAATTTATTTGTGGAAAGGTGAAAGTGCGTTTCATTTTAGAAGAGGTAATTTATTTACTGGCTTGTAATTTCACTAATTAGTATTATTTAGGTTTAAAATATTTAAGTTTCCCTTAGTTTTTCAAAATGCAGTTTGAATTATGCAAATTTATTTGTTAAGTGGCGTTAAGCGAGGTTGAAAATGTTGAGATGTTTAAAGTGCAGAATGCTTAGTGCCAATGAGAACCGAAGGAGAAAAACATTCACTGGGTGAAGGGTTGAATTTCGATGCTGGAAATAAAATTCCTAGAAATATTCACCTCTCTCTCCCTTTTTAGCGAAACATTGCGGAATTTGAGAGTGCGCTGAATGAGTACCCTAAATTAAAAATAAATGTGCCCTTTTACCACTACGGGGTTTCGTCAGACTAGTATTTATGTACATAAACAAAATAAATAACGCAGCATATTCACTGGATCAACCTCCTCCCAAAGCTTCAAAATGAATCGCATGATATCAACTATAGTCATCCATGATATATTTACATATGTATGCAAATGTTTGATCCCCAAGGGTGCACAGTTGGTTATTTTTATCCAGGAATTCGTCACTTTGAGGTCGTCGCTCCGGTTACAAAAAGCAACCTTTTTTAATTAACACGACGCGAACCACTATACAATAACAAAACTTATGCATTTACTTCTAAGAAACAACTGCATACATGTGTAAGTACACAAGATACAAGACATGGTAAGCAACGATATTTGACTGTCAAATTTCGTGTGCCAAATGTGTCAAATTTTGACACATTTCGGTAAATGAATATTTAAATAGTACAACTTTTTGTTGGTGTTAGAATCAAGATAAATTATTATCACTAAAAATTTCTAGGCATATGAATCCTTTTAAAACGTGTGTGTGACTTATTGGCATAAAATTTTTGAAATATTGTATGATAAGAAAATATTTCCTAACAGGTATCAAATTAAATTTGGATAACCACATCAATTTTTTGTGGATACACAAATATTTAAATCCACACGCTCAACAAATACCGAGAATAAGCATGGATCTGAATCCAGGAAAGAAATGGGAATATTCAAAGTGCTCAAAAACGTTTAAAACCAATGACAAGTTGACTACACACATGGTCACTCACGAGCCCGATGCCAAGGTCAAATGTGAGGTAAGCGTGTAAATTTGCATAAATGAAACTAAACTAGATAATATTACAAGATGCATTTACTCACCTCTGTCTTGTCTAGGTTTGCGGTAAAACTTACAAAGACAGGCGTGCCTTATCTTTCCACATGTCGAGACTTCATACTAACCGGAAGCGACCGAAATGTGACACTTGTCACCGGGTGTTTTTCGATTCGAAAAAGTTACGCCGACATATTAACACCATTCACAGCACGAAGGAACGATCTCGATTCCCATGTACGTTTCCTGGATGTGAGAAAACCTACCTAAACAAAAGTGATGTTGTGAAACACGTGAAAACTGAACATGCCGAAAATCCCGTCCAATTTCCGTGCACGCTTTGCGGATACGAGTTTAAAACGAGGGATAGCCTTGAGCGACACATTCTCAGCCACACGACGGAGAAGACGTATAATTGTGCCACTTGTGGGAGAAGTTTCGCCCAGAAGGGAACCATGAAGCGTCACGAAGTAAATACTTCGTAAGCATGTTGTGGGAAAAAGTTAGTTGACAAATTACCAATATGCATATTAACTTTACAGATGACGCACCTGGACAAATTTGTCCGAGACGTGTTACAGTGCGACCTCTGTCCTCAGACCTTCTTAACTAAAAATGGCCTGCAAGGCCACATCCGAGTTGCACATGAAAATCGGAGGAATTATCCGTGCGCATTTTGTGACAAGAGATTCTCCAAGTCAGCAAATTTGAGAAGTCACGTGGAGGCGATACATGTCACGAATAAAGAGCGGATCCACTCCTGCGACAAATGCGAGTACAGGAGCCACTCGAAACACAATTTGACCAGGCACAGAATGCGTCACGATGCAGCGAGATATGGATGTTACTTCTGTGGGAAGAAATTCGTCACTTCTCACGAATTGGTCAGACATTGTCGAGTTCATACTTTAGAAAAGTTACGTGTGTGATGGGCATAGCCAAGATTACTAAACTTTTTAGCTTGTAGCTTGTTTCCGTGGAGTGAATTAGGAATGTATTAGGATTATGTAATTAGGACATTACATAATTTTAATAAATTCACTCCACGGAAACAAGCTAAAAAGTTTAGGAATCTTGGGGCATACCAATAATTTGTGAATTTTTATTAAATTTGCGACATTGGGCAAAATGTAAAAATAATAATTACAAATAACAATTTTCACTTGTCTTTATAATCCGCTCATTTTTAATCACTTTGCGACTTTAGGATTTTATTTAAATACATAAAAGGACACAATTTTACAGTGCAGGACGTCACCAATTTATTATAAATATATACTCCAGACTTCCACAATTTTTGAAGGAGGAGAGAGGCCACTTTAATAAACTTCATAATTTGAAGATATATATTATATATATCTTCAAATTATATATAATATATATACATTCAGTTGTTTTCACTACATATGTACGCATGTACCAATTTTGAATATATCATGATAAAATACATATGTAGATAAGTAATAAACTTCTATTTATAATGCAGGATTTTATGTCACACAATTTTTTGTGAAAGTGAATTACAGATTAACTCTTTAACTTTCCATCAAGCTAAAGAGTAACAAAGATTTGTAGACGGTAATAAAGCGATACTAAAATGGCTTGATGAATGAGCGGAGATTGAAGATGAAAGGTGAAGAAAAAAGTGCTCTTATGAGGTGTATACCCTTACAAAACTGTAAGAGATATGGTAGTTCAGGGGCAAGTGTCAAGTCGGCCAATATATAAATCAATTTTTAACGAGAAGTTATCCAATTTCGATGTTTTGTAAATAAATACTTAGAAGCCAGCCCCGCTCGTTAAACGGGGTACATCATGCGTCGCACAGTGAATTCCACCCCCACCAGACGCCAAATACGGGATATTCACCTGAACCACACTTCTCCCGGGGTATTGCAGCCCCAAAATTGTTTTAGCCTCCTCATCAGCTTTCCTATCACCAAACTGTGTCATGATCACGGCCCTATTGACCACCAAGTAGTTGACGTATGATATTGAGGACAGAAAGTCGTCTTTGTCAAGCAAGGTGGATGATTCTCCCATGCGACTCTGAGAGGTCGGCTGAAGCCCCCAATGTTAACTAAATGGCAAACTCACAGAGTTAACTCGATATGCATTCGATCATCTCGAGACTGAAGAATCATATGGTCTGAAACTCCACCCTGGATCCATTTATCTCAATAGGGGGTCATCCATATGTTACGTCATCAAAAATTTTCGATTTACCACCCACCCAAAGTAAACAACATCAAGGGATAGGGAATTTTAACATGGGAAAGATAGGAAGACCGAAACCTAAACCACCCACCTACTAAAATAAACTAAACCCTAAAAAGGATTGCTTAGGTGAGACTGGAGTATGTGCGACTAAAAGTTTGAAATAACCCCCTCTCTCCTCCCACCCTGGAGAGAAAGTGTTGGTAAAATGAGCATCACCGCCCTGGAATAATTTCATCACGGTTAAATAATTTCGTCCCAAAATATCATGTACTTGGTCTACATTAAATCAATTCTAGCAGTTTACGCATCTACTAGTTTTATCGTTGGAATGACCATTGGCGGCTGTTGATTTTTCGTTAATAATGTACTGTAATATTATTGAAGACAAGTTCATTCGGTAAGTAAAATAAGACATGGGCTGTGGCTTATATATTTCACTTTGAATGCGCAGTCAAGTAACAGATAATCAGCCATTCTTTGGGTATGTTTACGTAAATTCTATGTTAATCCTTTGTTATATTTGCACTGCAAAAACTTGCACAATTCAAAAATTATTCCCAGGGCGGTGATGCTCATTTTACCATCACTTTCTCTCGAGGGTGGGAGGAGGGAGGGGGTTATTTCAAACTTTTAATCGCACATACTCCAGTCTAACCTACCCAGTACCCGCAAAAGAACTGTTATAAGGAAAAGCCATTGTAGCGAACCCAGTTTATTGAATTTCGAAAAAATAAGTACATAAGTGAAAAGCCAATGAAATTTCGTATAAGAAACACTGTTCACTTTTCAAAATGTCAATCTTTTAAGGCGACACGAGCCAGGAGTCTTGGTATCCACCACTCGATCGGAGTACGCTCGCGTTCCAGGGGAGACTGGACTCATTTCTATACCGTTGAATTTTTTATGGATTCCAAACTTGTGTGGGGTTTAGCACACACATCTAGCTCCAGTTTGGAAAATATTTCATAGTTCAGAAGCCTAAGCTTCTGCGACAGTGAATTTTTTTCTTGATCCGAAACGGAGTCAGGAATTTGGGATTTCAACCACCCAATTACCATCTTGACCACTTGAGCAGGACCTGAGCCCTGCTTGAATGTCACTTCGCTCTTTTTTAACAGGTTATGGTTCACGGGTGTCACAATTCACTTGAAAACTGAAAAAAATAATTTTTGATACCAAATTTCACCCCCAGAGTAAGAAAATTCACTTTTTCGACCCAGTCCAACCTATGTCCAATAAAAAAATCATAAAATCGGAATGGTAAGTACGATGAACATTTTTGAAACTTTTACGAATAGTCAAGACTGATGGGGTGTAGAAACGGTATTTTTGCTATTTTATTTGGCATCACCCATAAAGTTTGGCTCATTTGTTGAAAATATCCGTTTCCATTTTTCAAACGCGTACCGCATCATCAGCGCCCGGGTTCTGTCGGGCCTGTTTTTCCTTGCCATGTAGTTAGGGAGTATTTCTCCTCATGTCTTTATGGGATAAGTCCAAGGTCCAGTTTATGGGCCCGGGAAATGGTTTTCAACTCGTCAACTCATCACCAGAGTTATATGGTGAGAAGGACAGTCATAGATTGGAAACCAGTTTGCTTTTAACTGATATCTGTTGACTTTAAAGGATTATTTTATTTTTTATTTTATTTTTACTTGATCCATTCATTTGCGAGGGAAATTTTCTTAGGGCTCGGCATTGATTTTAGCGAATCCAGTTTTTTCGCGCCTTGGTGAATTTTGGCTGTTCCCTTCCACTCCTTTTGCGGTCGTCGACGCTGCCACTGGCTGCCAGTGTCACTGCATCATTTTATGGTACGGTCGACCATCTTGCAATCGATTCCGAATTTTATTGAACAATTTAAAATTGTCGATTTTTTATGTTCACTAAAATGTTGCTGAAAAATTGAAACAGGCCATGTTCGCTGCTCTATCATTTTGACACCTTGGGTCACAAAAATTTTTGTAACATGGTTTCTGACTGACAATTGCATGGAGATTTCAATAAAAAATACTACAACTTTCTAAAAAATTGGTTTGCCTGCTTAATTTACCCGGGAAATCTTATAACAGAATTTTAGCGGGTACTAGGTAAGCAATCCTTTTTAGGGTTTAGTTTATTTTAAGCTTTTAATTGGTAATATCGCGATGAATCAGTAACAAAAGTTTGGTTCAAATATTTGAGATAGGTGCTGAAAATTTGTTAACAAAATTGATTTGAGTTGATTATGAAAATTATCTGACGGATGCCAAATTGTAAAATGTCCTAACCCGGGCCATATATGTTAAGACATTTTAAATGATATTTACACCTGCACTTTTTAAAAATTTGAATCAAAGCTTTTCAATTGCTAGGGAACCTGACCCCTTCAGTTACCGCGGCCCTGAACCCAAAGGTTCATTTTTCGTCAAAGGGAAAACTTTTTCATTTCTCAACCGATTTTGATGATTAAAATTTTAAATGAAAGATAGCTATTTGTCTCACATTTCCATCCACGCACATTTTCTGTTAAATGCTTCACTTCCGTATAATAAGGCAAAATGTTGTCATAGAAGTGGTTTTTGGACGATTAAACACAAAATAAGAACAGTTCATGCATGGCAGCTGAGAATTAGATTCTTCATGATTATAATTGACTCTGGGTTTTTATTTGATCGAAATCGGTTGAGAAATAATAAAGTTATGGGCTTTGGTCACTTTTTAGAACCCGACTGAATGCTTAGTTAAGCTGTATCCATAGTCCATGATTTGTTCGTGATTTGGTGATGCTTTCACGGGTTCATAATTACAGCATGTTAATCACCATAACAATTAAAAAATCGACCAATCAGAAAATCGGAATAAAATAATTTTTGGAAAGTTATGGAGTATGGATGCGATAAACCATCAAATCATGACGAAATCATGAACAAATCACGGACTATGGATACAGCTTTAGGTATTTTTTAGTAACTATAGCCTCACCTAAGAATGATGATGTAATATATGGACGTTCCCTACTAGGACTACTCAACTTTTGTTCCCAAATGTAAACAAAATAAAATTGCGCGATCGACTTGAAATTCAAAATTTAAGCTCCCTTTCGATGACGTAGTTGTCTCAAAAAAATCTCACAGGAAAAATACGGCGCGAAATCTTTTCACCATGCTTTACTTTTCCCAAAACCCATATGTTTTTTGTTTACAAAGGAAAGTGGGGGGACACGCATTCACTATGTACTGTATTGCATTTCTTGTAAAACCATTTTAATTCATGTTTTTACTCAATTCACTAAAATCGAATGCAATACGCAGTTAGTGGACGGCCCTCGCACAACAAGTCTGGATCACACCAGTTATTTCAATTTTTTTCAATTTTTAAAACTATTTTCTGAGACTTTGAAATTGAATTTTGAAATTCTTTCTACCGCTATTGTAGATAATTAGCTGCTTAATAAGATTCTTTTGAAATTTTTCAATTTCGATTGGCCAATTTTGCTGAGGTACAAATTTAATATAACGTTTGGTCTTATGCTTTTTACATACTTTTTGTACCTCAGCTTTCAAAACCTACCGAAATATTGAATTTCTTCTTCGAGTATGACCACAACGGAATTATCTAAAATAGCCGTAGAAAGAATTCCAAAATTCCTTCTGGTAGCTGAGAAATAATTGAAAATGTAGGGTTATAACGTCATTGTTATGACGTTGGTAGTGACGACACGAGTCTCACGTTAAGGGTCTGGTGACCTTAAAAATTTATTTTTACTTTATTTTTGTCACTGGCACCGGTTTTCGACCTAATCCACGTAATAAATTTGGAAATAGAAGGTTTCAAATTATCCAGTCAAGTCCAAGGCTTTTGTGTGCAGTCTTTCTGAGCTGCAGTTTTCGTCACGTGATTGCCCGAAGTGCACCCGAGTCATAGCTCGGGTGCGCCACCACCGCACGAAACCCGTTCCTATTGGTGCTCGTCGGATCACATGACGAAAACTGCAGCTGGGAAAGACTACACACAAAAGCCTTGATCTGAAGCCAGGAAGGAAATAGGAATGTTGAAAGTGCTCGAAAACGTTTAAAACCGATAACGAGTTCACTAGACACATGGTCAAGCACGATTCGGATGCCAAGGTCAAGTTGTGTGAGGTGAGGGTGCAAATTTGCAAAAATGAAACTATTTATACAACTCTAATTTGCTCACTTCTGTCTTTCACACATAGGTTTCCGGCTTAATTTCCAAAAGTAGGCGCGCCTTATCTTCCCACATGTGGAAACTTCACAGAAACCGGATGCGACCAACTGGGCCAAGTTGTGACACGTGTCACCGGGTGTTTTCCAGCCTTACCAGTTTACGGCGACATAGCGACACGGTCCACAGCAGGTCGGCTCCCCCTCGTTTCCCATGCACATTTCCCGGCTGTAAGAAAACCTACAGCTACAAGTACGCTGTGGCGAATCACGTGAAAACTGAACACGTCGAAAATCCGGTCCGATATCCGTGCACACTTTGTGGGAAAGAATTCAAAACGAAGTTTGAACTTGAGCAACACATTCCCACGCACACGACCGAGAAGCCGTACAATTGTGCCACCTGTGGGAGGAGTTTCGCACACAGGGGAAGCTTAACACGTCACGAGGTTAATCAGCATGTTGTGTGACAAATTAATGGAAAAATTACAAATAAGCTTATTCATTTACAGAAGACGCATTTGGAAAAATCTACCCGTGCCAGGTTAAAATGTCACCTCTGTCCACAGACCTTTTTACGCCGGAATAACCTAGAATACCACATCCGGGCTGCGCATGAAAATCGGAGGGATCACCAGTGCGCAATTTGTGACAAGAGATTCTCCAAATCGTCGAACTTGAAGAGGCACGTGGAGGAGATACACAAGGCGGACAGGGAAAAGATTCATTCCTGCGACAAATGCGAGTACATGAGTCACTCGAAATCCAATTTGGCCAGTCACAAAGTCCGTCACAATGCAGCGAGGCATGGATGTTACTTCTGTCAAAAGAAATTCTTCAGTTTTCACGAATTGGTCAGACATTGTAGAGTTCATACTTTAGAATAGCTAAAATACTTATGTTGTATGTGTAATGGACATGTCAATAATTTGCGAATTTTCATTAAATTTGCGACATTTGGCAAAATTTAAAAATAATAATTTTCACTTGTCTTTATAATCAGCTACTTTTTAATCACTTTGCGACTTTAAGATTTTATTTAAATACATAAAAGGACACAATTTTGTAGTGCAGGACGTCACCAATTTATCACAAATATACACTCCAGACTTCCACAATTTTTGAAGGAGGAGAGAGGCCACTTTAACTTCATAATTTGAAGATATATATATATATATTAAGTTGTTTTCACTACATACATATGTACGCATGTACCAATTTTGAATACATCATGATGACATACATATGTAGATAAGTGATAAAAACTTCAATTTAAAATGCAGGATTTTATTTCACACTATTTTTTGTGAAAGTGAATTACAGATTAAGTCTTCAACTTTCCATCAAGCAAAGTTAAAGCATAACAAAGATTTGTCGACGGTAATAAAGCGATACTAAAATGGCTTGATGAATGAGCGGAGAATGAAGATGAAAGGTGAAGAAAAAAGTGCTCAGGTAAAATTATGAAGCGTGTACCCTTGCAAAAGTGTAAGTGATATGGTAAATAGTTCAGAGGCAAGTAAAGTCGGTCAATATCAATCAATTTTTACCGAGAAGTAAGGTCGAAAAGTTCTCCAATTTCGATGTTTTGTGGATATCTAGACGCCCGTTCTTCCAGCCACACTCGGCACATCATGCGTCGCCCAGTGAATGCCACCCCCACCAGACGCCAAATACGGGATATTCACCTGAACCACATTTCTCCCAGGGTATTGCAGCCCCAAAATTGTTTTAGCCTCCTCATCTGCTTGCCTATCTCCAAACTGCGGCATAATCACGGCCCCATTGACCACCAAGTAGTTGACGTATGAGGCAGAGCTGGGATAATCCTGATTAAGGATTATGGATTTTAATCCCGGATTATGGATTATTAATCCATAATCCCTAATCCAGCAATGAGAGTTTTTTGTAAAGTAATCTCAATCCATAATCCCGATTTTTCTGGAATTAGAATTAATCCGGGAATAATCCCATTAGATGTCATAATCCGTAATCGTGATTACGGATTACTAATCCTGATTAATCCCAATCATGATTACTAATCATGATTACTTATTCATGATTAATTCTCAATCTGGATTACTCAGTTCAATTTCCACAGTTCCATTTTATCCCACTGTGTAGCTTGAAGTCTCAAGTTCTCACATCTTTGTCCTGTCAGCTACTATTTGAAGAGTCAACATGTCCTCGCTGCCTTGTGCTACATACTTCTATTTTTTTAACCATACGATCCTCGACGTCATCACTCTCATTACTAAAAGCATTGCAGTGGTGACGTCGAGGGTCGTATCGTAAATAAATGGACTGTATATCAATTGAAACTGGCGTTTTAAATATTTTATGTGGAACCACATAGTTGAAATTTGTTGCGCTTGATATATCTGTAGGTAGTGTAAAATCATTAATCACCAAATTAATCCGGATTATTAATCCATAATCCTGAAATTTCCAGAATTTATGGATTAATCCGGATTAATCCTGACATGAATTAATCTGACGAAAATAATTTAATCACAATCCACATTATTTTGTGGTTAATCCATAATCCTTAATCCACCCTCAAAAACCAATAATCACCCAGCTCTGGTATGAGGACAGAAAGTCGTCCTCTGTCCCCGGAGGAACGACAATCTTGTAGGGATCGGGTTCATAGAGTTCGACGATGGTGAAAGGTCGTCCTTTGGCATCCGTGGAATTTTTTAGGACAGCTTTTGCTTCGTCGGAAGATTTCGACCATACGTCCTAGCGAACGATTACTCGATTGTGATATTTATTAGATACGTTCATATAAATAAAACTGACAATGGGGACGCAAACCATGTTCAGCCCAGATAATGTTTTGGTCATCCCAATTCGAAAGAAAGCTTTTTAGGGACAAGATTTAGTGCGGAACTTGCGCAGATGCGAAAAACTCAGCAAGTTACGGGGTCCGCCAGTTTGACAAAAAGTCTGAGGTGCTGCCGCAAAACACAGCCTCTGCTGTAAAACCGAGCATTTTTGCGAACTTGCGGCGCTCATAAGCTTGCTTAATTTTCGCATCTGAATTTTCGTATCCAAATGTCGCATTAAATGTTGTTTCTAAAGAGTTAGCGTTCAATCGACGCTGACGTCGTGAGACTGGTGAGACGATCAAAAAAATAATCTGGGTTGAACAAGGTTTCGCTCCCCATTGTAAGATTTTTAATTGTATGGCCTTACCTTAACGTACTCCCTTTCGGTGGCCGGTTCAATATGACGACGCCAGGGCGGACAAACCTGACCAAAGAATCGACATGGGCGTCCGTAATGTCCTGGTTGACAACTCCTTTGAACCAGATGACTTTCTCCAACCCGAAAACCGATATTAGATCCAGTTCGAGGTCTCGTCTCGTTTTATAGCCCGGATTCCTGTTCGAATTGAAGATGCTGCTCTCCGTTACTAACAAGGTTCCATCCCCGTCAAACTCGAGACTTCCTCCTTCTCCCACGATTTTAGACGTCAGCCTCGTAATGTTGTAGTACTTCAAGAAAGTTTCAGCCAGTTTGGCATCCTTTGTATGGACCTACATGCATATTTCAATATTTCGGGTGTAAAATATCCACTTGCAAGAAATAACCGTAAGAAAAAGAAAAAGGGTTATTGCAACTAATTGCAAGTATTTTGCCATGCAAGAAATGCAAGGTTCAAGAAACTACTTCCCACCGCTATAAATATTTCTTGCCTTTTTTGCAGTTTTTTGCACCTCGCATTTCTTACGTTTTTTGCTTTGCAGTGTAAGAAACAGAGTCCGGATATGTATGTATTTTAAACTTTTTCAATAATAACCCGATCGGATTGAAACTTTGGGATATTGTTCCTGGTCAGGCATAGGTCACACGGTCAAAAAAATGTTTTCACATATTTTACATATTTCCAGGTTTTGGTACATATAAATATGTTTTAACATATTTCGAGGTTTTTACCGAAAATGCGCATTTTTTGATACACATAAATATGTTTTTACATATTTCGGCGATTTTTTCGAAAATATATATATTATTTTTAATACGCATAAATATGTTTTTACATATTTCAGCGATTTTTTCGAAAAAAAATATATTCTTTTAGAGAAACCTCAGAAATTCACAATTCATAAAAAATTCCGATCATCGTAGAAATAATACCAGAGCATACAGAGCGTGAATCAAGATACAAAACTCACTTTTATTTTTGAGATAACAAGTGTTAGAGACACTTGGGATTATTGAAATTTGCACGTGTCGTACCCAGATAGTCAAGGAACAGTTTGCAAAATCACTCTTAGTTCTGTGCAGCAACATGCCCCCACTCCCCCCCACGGAGTGCGAGGTAGCCGTAAAAGAGGTTTCCAAAGATGAATTGTACCATAAATTTTTTTTAAGAAACTGGCGACAACTGAATTCAAGTACCAGTCAAAGCCATGTTTCCATTGTATTAAATGGCACTATCATAAAGAGGCAGAAATCATTGGCTGGAGTTCCACCTCCACCAAAGTGGGGTTCAAGATCAGTCAGGATCGAGCATGAGTTATACTAGATTGCAAATTTCATCAATAAGGAACATCCGTCACCACAGAAAAGTATGCAAAATGTTGGGGGTGAGTCAGGCAATAGTTTTTAGGATCAGTCACTTTGACCTAAATATATTAACGCGGAGGAGGACCCGCTGTACGCCCCCACGCCGTCTTACATCGCGTTTTTCGAAACAAATTCGCGATAACTGCATGAAAACTTATTTTCCAGAAATAAATTTTTAACTGCAATTACTCTTGGCGAGTCGCATGACATTATTCGGATGGATTATTTTAGATTTGAGTACTTGAAGCAGAGATTTTCAAGCTGACGGCTCGGGCGCTAAGTGGGTTTTGGAAAACTTTTCAAAACGGGTAGAACAAAATCACTCCAAAAAAGTGTCAAAGGTGATAATGGCGTAGAAAAAGCGATTGCACCTCGTTAGACAAACTAATGGGCTACCCATTGAAGCAATTTATAAAATTCACAAACGAAAAATAAAGCTGTAGAAAAATAAACAAAAGTGAGTTTTGTATCTTGATTCACTCTCTGTATTCAAATGTTTTTAGTTTGTCACTTTGAAATGTAAAAGCATTTTTTGGCATTTCTGAAGTCAAATAAGCTAAATTTGGGGCAATTTAAAGCGAATTAAAAATATGTTTTATATACATATTTTGGCGATTTGATTGAACATTTTACATAAATATTTCGGGGTTTTTAAGAACATATTTAGCCGGACTCTGGTAAGAAATGTAGCAAACTCACCAGGAAGAAACGAAACACTTACCTGTTTGTTTCCCCAGCCATTAAAGTTGAAGTCAATCCCGACCAAGGTATTTGACCCAGGTGACGAACTCCCATCCTGTTGGATTCCAAATACCGGAAGCGTGTCCCTCGCCCACAAATCATCCACGGGCATTGGTACGATTGAAATTCTTTTCAAGTCAGTCGTCGTGAAAGCCGACTTTGCTGAGGATACTTGATCCGGGTTGACAATCAGAGTGACCGGTTCGTAGGGCGATATTGCCTTCGCAATGCGGGCAATGTCCTGGCGAACTTTGTCCAGGTAGCTGGACGACCTCCAAATTCTCGCGGATGCCGGCCAAACCATGCAAGTATGTGAGTGAGGTTCCCATTCAGGAGGAATATGAATCTTAGGAGATGACATTCCTGGAAATTAATTATTTTTTTAAATGGAAATTTAAAGAATTTCGAAATCTGTGTAAGTGTTTTTTAAAAATAAATGATAATATTACCTGTGCACAACAGAAAGCTAACGACGATACCAATACTTGTCTGGAAAAGGTTGGAAATTATCATTTTTGCGAATTACACTTTAGTTTTGCTAAGTTGCTAAATACTGTAAGAACGGAGAGGATACTGGGTTTGTAGTCGATGAGTCAAATTATATAGCTAACTTTTTAATAGTTTTTGGTCACCATATTTTCGTACATCGTATGAATGCACATTTGTGTACAAACTACAAAGTACATACGTACTACAAAGGAGATGTCCATAAATTATGGCAGGGCTGAAGGGGATTTGAGAGTAGCAGTTTTTCCTGATAGGCCGACTTGCGCCACGTGTAGAAAATGGGTGTGAAAAGCGTAACAAGGGTGGAGGGAAGGACTGAAAAATTGGGATTTTTGCATGACATAATTTATGAATGTTCCCAGGAGAGGAGAGACGGAGCCACAAAAACAAGGCATGCAATTAAGAAAAGTAACGACAATAGTTTAGACAGCATAATAGGTTAGTTTTTCATCCGCTACATTAAAGTGTCAGTCCAAACATGCACATATTTACATACATAATTGTGCATCCGGCTCATTTAAAAACTAATTAAACCACAGAATTATGTGGAATACTGCACGAAACAAGGTGGTATGTACATATGTATGTATTTTTTGCACACGGTAAGCAATACGCGTACATATTTATCCTATGCAATTCACTTCACGAGCAACGAACCATCTTAAATCCAGTTTATTCTGCATCACGTATTGACGAAAATGGCACGGCGTCATTTTATTTGTTTCAATTTTAAATATCTTGCTTGATACAAATAAACATGCATATCATGCCTAATGTGCTTGCTATTTCTAATCCAAACATGAAAACGCGTTCGCCAAAAAAACGGATTTCCCCAAAACTGCGGAGAATTTCGCGACAATAATATGATCTTCCAAATATTTCCCATGTCGAAATTGTAATAGAAAAGATATACATGTTTATGTACGTAAATACTTCTTGTATTTTGTTCATTAACGTGTTATTACATATTTAGGAGTACAAATATGACATACAATAATTTTTGGAAATAAGTAATATCGAAAAATGCGTATTAATTTTCCACATAATGTTAACTAATTTTTATGTTACAGATAATGCATACTTAAAATGTTTCAAACATTTAAATATTTATAGTAATTACCTAGACTTAAAAAATTAATACCATTATCATAAGATTTTTTTTATAAAGTAAGTATAATAGTAAAGCAATACAAAAGAATAGTAGACAATTCATGTAAAAAAATATAAAATAAAGTATGTAATATCGCAAAAAAATCTAAATCTTTGCAAATCTAAAAAAAGCAAAATTTCTCTATCATCGTGAAGAATTTAATGGTGTAAATTGAACAAAACTCAACAAACTTCCTACTTCTCCATGGTACGAAGCCGACCACAGTGTCTTACCAAATCAGAAAAAGTGACGAATTTCTTTCCACAAAAGTAACATTCATGAGTCGCACCCTTGTGTCTAACGTGTTGAGCAAAATAGACTTTAGAATGGCTCTTGTACTCGCATTTGTCGCAGGAATGGACCCGCTCTTTATTCGTGACGTGTACCGCCTCCACGTGAACCTTCAAGGTTGATGAGGTGGAAATGAAGATTGGTTGATGAGGAGAAACTCTTGTCACAAAATTGGCACGTATAATTCTTCCGACTTTCATGAATCACCCGGATGTGTGTCTGGAAGCTTCTTCTATTGATGAAAGTCTGCAGACAAAGCTGACATTGGAAGGTTTCTCGGCTGGACTTTTGAATATGTGTCATCTGTACAATAAATACACATAGATATTTTGTTTACGAATTATTTCCCTACAAAATAAGTACCTCATGACGCGTCACGCTCGATTTCTGGCTGAAAGCCCTCCCACAGGTGGCACATTTAAAAGGCTTCTCCGTCGTGTGGGTGAAAATATGGTACTTAAGATCACCTTTGCTTTTAAATTCTTTGCCACAAAGTGAACACGGAAATCGGATTGGATTCTCGGCATGTTCAGTTTTCACGTGTTTCGAAACGGCATCCTTGTTCAAGTAGGTTTTTTCACAACCAGGAAATTCACAATGTAAACGAGATCGTTCCTTCTTGTTGTGGACGGCGTCAATGTGTCTCCGTAAATGGGAACGGGTCGAAAACGGCTTGACGCAAATATTGCAAGCAGGATGGATCCGGTTGGTGTGCATGTGTGACACGTGGGAAGATAAGGAAGGAGGATTCTTGAAAATCCTGTTACAAACCTAAATAAATAGTCAACAAAGGAGGAGGATTTATTTATTTGTAGATTTGTAAGTAGAATTTGTCTTAAAAACCTACTCACCTCGCATTTGACTTTTGCGTTTGGGTCGTGTGTCACGAGATGAAGGTCCATTTGACCTTTGTATTTAAACGTCGACGAACAATGAAGGCATTTCCACTTCTTTTCTAGGTTTGAATCCATTTTGTGTGACGTTGAACTACGAAAAAATAGTTTTTCAATTCCGAAGACAAGAATTCAACTGCAAAATTTTGGGTTGTTCACTTGTTCAGGAAGCGCTGATTTATTTCTGAGTTTGGCTCTGACCTGGAAATAATGGGGAAAAATGATACAAGATTCATAAAAATAATTTTAAAATTCTTGCGACGACAAATGCTGTGAAGATTAAGGTCACACGTATCAATGCAGTGTGAAGGTCATCATGGTTGTCAAATTTATTTCATATTATTGGGATAAGCGAGATTTACTAAACGTTTCTTCTAAACCGTTTTCTCAATATCATGAAAAAGCGATGTGATGCATTTCCGAGGTCTTCCTTGAAGCAAATGGGCCACAGAAGTGAAATCCTTGGAAACATTGTAAGTTCCAAAGTTTCATTTTATGAGATAGGATACTTTTTGTAATTTCCACAGACGGAGGAGCAAAAAAAACGAAATTTGAAGGTGATTTGAAAAAGCAACAAGCTGAAGCGCGACAATACTTAAGACTTGTAATTATGACTTGGTCGGGTTGATAACGAAATTTCACCACTACATGCGTCGATAACACGTTAATCCACATTTGACTGGTCGAAATTCTAATAAAAAAGATACACAGATTTGGATGCCTCTTTGATTTTGTTTATTAATGTGCTATCAAATATTTAGGAATACAAAGCGAATAGAATAATTTTTAATTTGTAAAAATAACTAATACCGAAAAACATGTAATAATTTTCTAAATAATTTTAAAACTAAATAACTAGTACATTATGTTACCTATAGTTCAAAATATAACTAATTATAGTAATTACCTAGACTTAAAAAATTACTATTAAGATTTTTATAGCTTAATTATAATAGTAAAGCAGTACAAAAGAATAGTACGTAACTCGTATAAAAAAATGTAGGAGAAAATATTTAGTGTTAAAGATTTTAGACGAGCGTGCCTCAACGATATGAACTTTAGGGCTCAATTTCCCACAAACTGTTTGAAAAGTAGAAAACAATTGCAATCACTAACGATCATGTAACTCAATGGATCTGGGGGCAAAATTGTTTTTCATTTCCGCATTAACAAAGTTCACCATTTTGTATAGTAAATTTTTGGCGTAGCAAATTTTCAGACAAAAATTGGCTCGGAATTCAATAAATTATTCATCATTACCATGATAAATAAGTATAAAAATAGTGGCCACAGATGTTACAAATTTCGGACGGAGACCTGATTTTTCAAAATATCTAATGCATAAATTTGTGTCATGATTTCTGCGATAATTTGATTCGTTACAAAGCTTGTAACAATGACAGCGTTTGACCCTTCCATCAAAAGGGATTCATTAAGTTGGCCCTTAGCCTACAATAAGATTGAACAATTGGAAAGAATGCATTCAACTAGAGATCCTAAAATTAATTTTTGAGGATGTCATGCCCTGAGCTAAGCTATGTGCAGAATTGTCATTATTGGGTTCTACTTATTCACCGATACATTTGGTAGAACAGTAATAAATTGATGAAGATTTTAAGAAATAGTTAAGATAAACAGTGTTGAAAAATATTAACGGGATCACAGCTCAGTACATGCGGGATATATCAATTCCCCATATGCAACCTACCAATTTTAGCAACCACATAAATCCCTGTTAAATAATGATTTCTGAGAGACATTACAATTGTCTAAGGAATAGTTGTACGGATAATTTGACAAATGTTAAATCATTCCCATTTTAGGATAAAGATTTTCTAAAATTAATTACTACAACAATATTGTTAATTATACATTCCTTGACTTCATTCTAGTTTCTAGATTATATTAGACCTACCTTTATTGTGGCGTGATGTTTTTGAATAATAAATATCAAATCAATTCAATTCAAACATTACAAAACGTGGAAACATTACAAAGTTTCATATGAATATGTACATTCTAACCGTACACTTAATTTGTTTACACTACTAGCTAATTATTACTACGAAAGCTAAATGTCCAATTACAAACCAAAGATTACGGAAGTCAATAGAGCCAAAAATGTTGATAAGAAAATGCAAATTACAAATTGCAGCAAAATTGATTAAAATAAATTCACTCGTTTTTCATTCGAAATTTAGCCTAAGCTCGATTGGAGACAAAATAATGAAACACAAGCAGAAAATATATTCTAGTAATAAATTATCCGTTAACGTTCTAAACCCGGTCAGAAAACTCATTTTTGCAATCAACGGGAGTTTGTCATAAATAAATGACGCAAGAAAGTATTTCTTGAGGAATCTGGAATAGGCATATTTTAGTCACAAATAATGCCGACCTATCCAACTGTTATATGAACAAGATAAAATATATTTTGGTTTTAAATAATTTTGAACTTCGTCTCTCCAAACCATATTTTCATACCAGTACATTTGGCTTACAAAATAATAATAAAAACCATCGCTCTCTTCCCACTGAGATTTATATTCAGGCAAAAAAATTATGAGGAACCTCTTAAATTTCAGATCGATAATATATTATACAATTGGAAATGAAATGTTTCTGTGAAAAACTTACTATACAAATTTACCATTCTTGTACAATTCAGTTTCTGAACAGTGCGTCGTTTGATTGCTATTTCTCCTATAGATAAAATACGCATGCAAATATTGGGGGACTAGTAAAGACCAACGTAATTAAAGTAAGTTTTATCAGTTTTCAGTTATGTACAAAATCAGAGAACCTTAACTGGGACAACCAACTTGGGCTTTACAAGTTCCCCAAATTTTGCACCATTATTTCTAAGGGTCTACTTCACTGCTTTGACATCCAGCTTAAGTTCAAAATTGATAAGCAAGATTTGCATCTTTTTTCTACATCCCGATATCTTGAAATATGTAGAATAATAACTTACATTGTTATTTTCTAAAATGACTTTAAGGGCTCTCGAACGAAAATTATTGCTTGATTAATAAAGATATCTAACCATGCACCGAACTTCATTTCGTTAAGGCATACTTATGTGAATTGAACTAAAAAACGAAGTATACGAAAGAAGCCATAGTTTAGAAAGACGAAATAGAAGAAGAAATTCACAAATGTGTTAAAATTAGGATCATTGGATAACATAGACTGGATAGTAAACAGACTGACCAACGAAATGTGAAGATTGTGAGAAAGTTTAAAGGATTGAATAATTTTAACATAAATTTCACTGCGAAGAGAATTTGGACTTAAAAAATAGTAGAATTTCTAAACTGAAAGTTACACGTTAAATACATTAGCTTATAGATTATTATGAAACGATGTCAACTCAATGTGGACGAGAGGAGGTTACTTATCGATGTGGCGACGAGGTCGACAAACTTGGCGGAGGGATGTCCAGTTGCGATGATTGCAATAGAATAGAGTTGTAAATTTGGGAGAATATTGGATTCCACATCGCAGAAAATAAGATTCCATTAAAAGTTCGCCAAGGCTGAACAGTAAATAAAAACAAAGCTATACAAATATGTTAATAATGTTTCATATTTCATACATAATTTATTAAACCATGTGATCCATATGCACTATTTACCTGTGTCGTCGAGTAGAATGGAACGGTGGAAGGAAGCTGACGAGGTCGAGGCTGAAGGGCAGTCCGGTCATGATGACGGAAATTGAGGCTACAGTTGTAAATTTAGGAGAATATTTGATCCTCCCCGTGGTAGAAGTTCCATTGCAATTCGTGGAGACTAAAAGTGCATTGCGGGCTATACAAAAAGTAACGAAAATACTAAAATTAGATAAATACATAAATACATCGATCCATACATAAATAAAACAGGTGATCTACTTACTGGGAATAATAATTTAGGAAAGTGTCCAGAATCAAACGGTTAGATAAGAAATTAGAAAAAACTCGGAAGCAGGAAATTTTGACGACCTAAAAAACAAACAAAATGATGTAAATTAACTACTTTTGTGACATGTTGTGTTGGGCAAAATGATATAATCGAATGGGGGAAGGTGGGGGGGGAGAGGATTAAAATAAGTCGATAAATAAATCTTGTGCTCTATTATAAACCTTCTTAATTAATAATGAAATGTAGAATTTACTTACCTGCTCCAAGAAACCAAGTAAAATTGGAACAACTGTTCGCCATCAGGAAAAATTGAAGTGTAAACAATCAGTTAATTGATCGGTGCAGTGCAGAGTTTTCTGTAATTACAAAGACATTTAGAATCCGCCCATTTATAATCATAATTTGATTAAGTCTTAAATAAATATCGTGACTTGATTCTCACTCGACGAGAAATATTGGATTTAAAAAACACCTTTAATTATTTATTCTTCACTGGATAAGACCAAATAATTATTGAAATACTTACTTGTCTAATGAATTGCAGCTGATTTATGTCGATGTGTTTCTTTTCCAAATCTTTGGTTGCAGTTTAAATTAAGTTTAGTTTAATGCGATATCAAGGCTTTTGTGTGTAGTCTTTCCCAGCTGCAGTTTTCGTCATGTGATCCGACGAGCACCAATAGGAACGGGTTTCGTGCGGTGGTGGCGCACCCGAGCTATGACTCGGGTGCACTTCGGGCAATCACGTGACGAAAACTGCAGCTCAGAAAGACTGCACACAAAAGCCTTGAATGCGATGTAAATCTAACGTAGTTTAGCAAATTCCCTTATTTAATCTAAACAATTTACTTTATCGCAACTTACTCAACGTTAGCTATCAAATTTTTAAATTCCAATCGGCCTTATTTCAAATTAAATGTGTAAGGAAATTCAGTTTTATAAAATTTTAAACCAGAACTGAGCCAGCCCAAGTGTACTACAAAACTCGTTTCCATATTTAGCATGAGACAGAGTGAGAATCGGATTCTGGTGGGTATCCACCACCACCGCTGGCTGTCGTTGTGACAGTGCCGTATAAATTCACGAAACACACGTTCGTATAAATTCAAAAAAACTTAAGTTTTAAATTTGGGGTGATTAGGTAATTAAAATATCACAAATTTTAGTAAGTTGGGTAATTGACTTACATATCTCATTAGTACCCAGAGTTTGTTACGGCTCTTGCAAAATAAGTCCCTCCCTCAGAAACTTTGACCTCAAATTTCTCATGGTACCAGCGTTTCCCTTCGGACGACAAAAGCTGAAAATGTAGCTCTTCTCAAGGAGAAAAATCTGGCATCAGGTTGTCCGAAGTGAATGGCTGGTACCATGCGTTTTTTAATGATTCGTGCGTACGTAAAAAAACCGCCAATTTTCGAATTTTGAAACTTTTGATGCATCAAAATGTTCGTTTTCAAGGGGGAAGTCAAATGTCAAATGCAAGTTGAGGTCTTATTCTTATTGTACCAAAGGTACATTTGATTTCTCATTTTTCCCGATTTTATTCCCCAATTTTTAAAGGGGGAGTGGTTGCACATAGTTCAAAAATAGCTATGTCATATCAATCCTTTCTCCCAAAATTAAATTTGGAGTTTTGTTTATTAAATTCGGTGACATCGATGCGAAAAAGATTTGTACAGTACACTTGGCCTTCCTCACCATTCCCTTCCTGCATCAAACACGGAGAGAGGTTCGACTCGGACTGAATAAGAAATCGCGAAGTAGTGAGTGGCAGCTTTTTCTTGTGTAAATCCCTCCAATGCAAACAAAGAAGGAAGCGACGCACTGTGGGCCATGTATAAAAATTTTCAGCCAAAAATACAATTCGGCCTGAAATAAGTTAATTAGCCGTCCAAAATTCAATTTCGATTAAAAAAATACTTAATAATATCTGAGAGCGGTACCGTTACGGTATGCATTTAATAATTCGACCTATTTATTGGTTTATACATAATAGCAGAACTGCCTTAATGGCATATTTTCAGATCCCTGGCCCACCGTGCGACGTGGAAAAGATATGCTTCCTGACGAAAGAGCGCGTGGGGTGTGCGGAATGAAAACGTGAGGCAAACACACTAGTTTAGGCAACATATAAACCGCTGATTTTGATGAAAGCTTTCACAAATAAATTCAACTTTTCTCGAAGTAATTATTCTCGTAATTTTCATGGTATTTTGAAATCGTATACATTTAGCTTGAGGGTTTTCGAGATTAGTCCTTCTCTGAGGTCAACATTTCTATTTGTAAGTTGTATTTCGTATTTTGAGAAGAAATTGCACTGCAGTCTTATTTAAAAAATGATGTAACCTATTTGACAAGTAGATAATACACTCTTTCTAAATAAAGTAAGCAGTTTAGTAAATATGAATAATTACATATGTACAAATTAGTTTTGCTAAAAATTTCTGGGAATGTGTTCGGGAATCTTTTTCAATTCATGAATTGTTACAAAAATTGATGAAATATTGTGTAAGCATTTCTTACAGGTACCAAATTAGATTTGTTTAAGGACCTCAAATCTACAAACTCAACAGATGCCGAATCCTCCCTCATGGATGTGAAGCCAGAGAAGAAATACGAATGCTCAAAGTGCTCAAAAGCGTTTAAAGCCAATTACGAGTTGACTCAACACATGGTCACGCACGACCCCGGTGCCGAGGTCAAATGTGAAGTGAGCTTGTAAACCTGCAAAGGTGTCACTAATTTTATGATCCACTTCTTTCCACTTCTATAATACGTAGGTTTGCGGTAAAATTTACAGAAACAAATTCGCCTTATCTACCCACAAGTCAAAACTTCATAACACAATGGTGGGTCGCCGTCGTTTCCCATGCACGCTGTACGGAAAAGAATTCCAAACGAAGGCTGAACTTGACCAACACATTCTCACCCATCCGACGGAGAAGCCGCATAAGTGTTCCACTTGTGGGAGAAGTTTCACCCACAATTCAGGCATGAGACTTCACGAGGTATGTAAAAAAAATAGCATTTTGTGAGGAAGACTTGGTGACTCAAGGACATAATAATTTTACAGATGACGCATTTAGAAAAATCTGTCCGAGACGTGTTCCAGTGTGACGTTTGTCCTCAGACTTTCTTTGGGAGGAGTGAGCAACAACGCCACATCCGACGTGTGCATGAAAATCAGAGGAATTGTCCATGCACAGTTTGTGACAAGAGATTCTCCAACTCGTATCATTTGAAGCGTCACGTGGAGGCGGTGCATGAGACGGATAAAGAGAGGATCCACGCCTGCGACAAATGCTGGTACAGAAGTCACTCGAAACACAATTTGGCCAATCACAGCATTAGGCACAATCCAGCGAGGTATGGATGCTACTTCTGTGGGAAGAAATTCATCAAATTTTACAAATTGGTGGAACATTGTGGAATTCATACTCGCGAAGGGTCAAAATAATTATGCATGTAATGGACATCTATAGGGCTTAATTCTTAATTGCTCAAGTGCAAATTTAGAAATCCTAATAAACATTCTGCAAGAAAATCATTCTTATTATATGTAGCTCGCGTACAAGAGCAGAACAAATTTCTTATGCATTCACAAATATATCTTTCACATGTTCTAATAGGTATTGTAATTAATACACGTTATACATTGTTATAAGTGCATGACTCAGGTGTGCAAAAATTTGACAGATTGCACTGAATAAACATTAGGTTTAAAAGGCTGGGTTAAGTGAGTTTTGCAGGATTATCATGGATCAAATTACAGGCGTCACATTGTTGAAGAGTTATACTAATCGATCCAAAATTGTCATGGTGTGATTGCACTCTGTGCAGCAGTGTAAATAAATTCGTTAAATCCACGACACGTGGGCACTTGAAATAATGTAGGATCAATTTTTTCGGGTTAACAAATAACGCAAATTTTAATTTTGGGGGCAATATTGGATGATTACATTGAACTCCAGGGAAACTTTGCTTTGCGTAACTCGCAATTTAAGCGTATCCCCTCCCTATTAGATAGATAAGGGCATTTGCGGAATTAATTTTGATAACAGAAATGAATAGCATGCAGCCATTTTTACCAACTTCATGAGGATGTCAATTAGTTATGTACCTAATTTTACCACTGTTTTATTTAGAGTGTATCCCGAACTAATTAAGTAAGTGGTATTACAGTGTGCAATAAAACGATAAAAGTTTGTGAAACCTGTGCAAAAATAAGTTGTATTATACAACTTATTACAACGGAACGATTTGCATATGTACAAGTTGTATATGCAAATCATTCCGTTTATGGAACCGACAATGGAGGTCTCCCAACGTATGCTCACAGATTTGAACCAAACTAGTGTCAATCGATCACAAATTTAATTAATATGCAATTTTCAAATGGCACTATCTGCCAATGCGCAGGTTGGGCCAGGATATTTGCAAAAAAGAGGATAGAATTCGCCCCAAACGTGACAAATTTTTCTAAATTTACTGGACGTTTTCTCCTCTTTGGAATGCAAATATATCTGCTAAAACTTGCACATTCGCAGACGGTGGAACTTGAAAATTTCATACAATTAAATTTGTGATCGATTGATACCAGTTTGGTCCAAGTCGTGAGCATATGTTGGGAAACCTCCATTGTAAGTTCCATTAGAACTAATCCTAAGTTATCCACAGTGGTAACAATGATATCACTGTAATCCTCAGAAAAACAAATCTGTATAGTTTGTTAAATCTCGAGGCGAGACAAACGGATTAAGCGGCCAAGTTGTAAAATTAAAATGCTTATAAAGATACTACATACACACTTTGGACAAGTATTCATTTTTGGGTGACATTCGGTTGCTACAACTTTGCAAATTTAATTTGCAAATTGCGCCAAAATATGTTTCTGAAAATCGCCTCCCTATTTCTCGCCGGTTTCGTGGCGTCGTGTCGTTGTGACCAGTATGGCGTATCCAGCGATGTGAACACCTTGAAATTCTACTATTTCCGGTAAGTCAGAAAATATTTTCTAAGAAATTTTGGTTTATGAATTTCCTAAAACTTGTACAAATGTAAATTTTGCAGGAATGCGAATGAAAAAGTTGAAATCGTTTACGGAGATACCAACTCCTTAAAGGCGTCAAAGCTGAAGAAAGGACGCCCCACGACGCTGCTTATCGATGGATTCTTGTCATCTTATCCGTCCAACATGTCCGTCACTTTGATGGAATGTAAATAGAAGAATTATTTACATGAAAAATGAAGTGGAAATTTGAAAATATTTAAAAATCCTTCAAATTTTCAGCACTCGTGGGAGAAAATTGGGGTAAAAGTCAAACCAACGTAATCGTGCTCGACTGGGGGTCCATGTCGGGGGGTCATTCGCCCCTTTTGGCGGGGAATTTGCCCTACGCGATGTACGTCTTGGCGCCCATCGTGGCAGCAAACGTTCCCCCCGTAGGCGTCCGAGTTGCCGAATTTGTGGAATTTCTTCGCGTTAATAAGCGCATCGAGAGGAAAAACGTCCACATCATTGGTCACAGTATGGGAGCACATATCGGTAATTAATTTGATAACATAATTAGTTACAGCGTATGCAAGAAAACCATTACAAATTTCCGTCGTTGGTGTGAAATTACAAAAAAAAATTGTTAAAAAGGAGTGTCAAACTTCAGAATTATATTTACTTATTTTGATGCCATGAATTTGGTCTCATCAATTTATAAAAGTTACAAAAAGTCATTGGATTTCTATATTTGGTAGCAGTGGCGACGGAAGTTGACGTCATCGGGGGGACATTGGTATTCTGTCAATGTTAAGAAGTCCCGCCTTCTTATATCCTGCAACGCTAATGTCCCCCCGATGACGTCATCTTCCGCCGCCATTGTTTGGTAGAAACAATTTCAATCATAATTTCCTCATTTTTGGGTAATTATTTGTGCATATTTGGGTGAGGATATGATAGAGAAATAGACGCTTGTCGAATTTTTATGACAAAATATAGCAATTTGACTTAAGTTTTATGGAGTTCAATAAGAAACAAATATTATTACTGAATTATAAATGGGGAAAAACGTTACAGAACTATAACCTATTTAATTTTGTATAAAGCTGGGAATGCGGGAAAATATTCTAACGTCGTTTACACCCCAATCGGCCGTCTGACGGGTCTCGATCCCGCCAACGCGGACACCTATCCCACCTCTCTAGTTCTCTACAAAACAGACGCTGACCTTGTCGATCTTTACCATACGAATCGTGGCGGTTTAGGAGAGGCGAGAACGGGATCGGGCGATTTGGATGTGTACATCAACGGGGGGAATAATCAACCTGGATGCAATTTTGTGGAGATCGTCCCAGGTAAAAAAAGGAGCTTAAATATTGGGGGGTTTTCGATATAGGGAAAATGAGACTATTTTCATTGTTTGCAGGATATTGCAGCCATTCGTATTCCTGGAAATTTTATGCGGCTACAATTTCCGGCTTGAAATTTGGCTGTCCATGTTCAACTACGGATCCTGCGGCAAGCCCGACATGTTTCTGTAACCCTAGTTGCAACGATTTTTGTTGGTGGAAGATGGCAAGTTTCGGACATTACGTGTTCCCAAGGTGGGTAGTTTAATTGCATATTTTTATGAAATTATTCATAATTTTATTTACTAACTACGATTTATTCTTTAGAACGACTGGGAGCTATCACGTCACCGTTACGGATACATTCCAATAATTATGGATGATCACGATTTTAGTTATTTAGTTGAAACCTCAAAAAATTGGCAATGTTACTTGATTAAAATTAAATCGAAATAAACTACTTAAACCTGCAAGCAAAATCGTGACAATGTGTAGAAATTCAATATTCAATGCGGTGTCAATTTGGTCTGGTCAGTTTGTCCCTCTTTTCCTCCATTTTTCTAAATATGCAATCCTACAAAATAAATTTTACTCTGCTGCTTGTTTCTTTGTGTATTATTTTTTCTGTAATTTTATCAGCATAATTAACATGTTACATACAAATGTGTACTTATCTATTATCGTGGTGGATAGATAGATTATGCAAGATTATTTCGTTTAAAAAATCAGGCTTACTTGTTCATCTTAAATTATTTCGTACTGATAACAAATGAATTAAATCAGTACTAACAATGGAACCTCTTTTCAAGCTATACCGGGATCGAGTAGCGAGTTATGCCAAAAAATCAAACTAAAAATCAGAAGTCACGTGACACTTCTCTTTCCGTTGAATGGCCCCTTTGAAGAAAAATATTGGCGGTTAAGTTCGATTTTTGAGCAAATTTTCTCTTGCTTTTTCCTCCACGGGGCAAAAACCAAGGCGCTCGTGTGAACTTTGACCTCTAATATTTTTCTTCAAAAGGGCCATTCAACGGAAAGATAAGCGTCATGTAACTCCTAATTTTTAGCTTGATTTTTTGACATAACTCGCTAATCGATCCCGGTGTAGCTTGAAAAAAGGTTCCATTGTAAGTAAGTAATTGTAATCATTTTTAGTCAACATTCTTGTATTTTATTTATTACAAGTTTGGAAATGGATAAAACAATTTGTCGAAAAAAAATTCTCATCGCTCATTGAAACGCAGGGTAATAAAATATAAGTTAGTCATCAATTATCAAAACAACGCTTCACAAATTACTACAACTACAGGTAACAAGAGTACACATAATTTTAAAACCGGGAACAGATTTCATCGGGAAATTGCTGTCAATTACATTTTTACTTCTCTAGAGTATGAATTCGACTACAGTGCCTGGCTAATGCTTGGAAATATACAAACCGTTCTCCACAGAAGTAACAATCCATTCGATTCGAGACATTGTGACGTCTCGCGTGTTGAGCTAAATTGCCTTTTGAGTGACTCTTGTACTCGCAATTGTCGCAGGCATAAATCTTGACCTTCTTATCCGTGTGTCTCGCTTCCACGTGACGCTTCAAACCTGAGGCACTTGCGAAACTCTTGTCGCAAAATGAGCACCGATAATTCCTCTGATTTCCATGAACAATCCGAATGTGTCTCTGCAAGCTTCCTCTAATGATGAAGGTCTGCAGACAAAGTTGACATTGGAAGGTTTCTCTGCTAGACTTTTGAATGTGTGTCATCTGTAAAATAAATGCACATGAATATCTTGTTTACGGTCCGTAAATGTTCTCTGCTATGTCTCTCCGTTGCGAAACGCAGCCAGGTTGCCGTACCGGAACTATGAACTTGGACCCTTGCCGGGCCAAAATTCATAATTTTGGCTGTAGGCACCTGTCTCTGGCTTAATTGACAATTCTTAATAAAATAATACAATTTTGTAGTGTGTAAAAAGTATAAACTTCGAAATTTGAGAACAATTTTTTTAATTCGAAAAAAAATAAATAAAAAAATAGCAGTTAGTGTTTAAAAATATGTTTTAAACACTACAAAAGTGTATTATTTTAATAAGAATTGTCAATTAAGCCAGAGACAGGTGCCTACAGCCAAAATTATGAATGTTTCCCGGCAAGGGTACAAGTTCATAGTTCCGGTACGGCAACTTTGGCTGCGTTTCGCAACGGAGAGACATAGTAGAGAACACCCTTGTTTACGGATTATTTTCCTACAAAATAAGTACCTCGTGAGTTTTCAAGCCTTTCCTTAAGGCGAAACTCCTCCAACAAGTGGTACACTTAAAAGGCTTCTCAGTCGTGTGGGTGGAAATGTGGTGTCCAAGGTCCCCTCTGCTTTTAAATTCTTTGCCACAAAGTGAACACGGAAATCGGGCAGCATTCTCGGCATGTTCAGTTTTCACGTGTTTCGACATAGCATCCTTGTCCAGGTAGGTTTTTTCACAACCAGGAAATTCACAATGTGAACGAGGTCGTTCCTTCTTGCTGTGGACGGTGTCAATGTGTCTCCGTAAATGGGCAAGGTTCGAAAACGGCTTGTCACAAATATTGCAAGCAGGTTGGATCCGGTTGGTGTGCATGTATGACACGTGGGCAGATAAGGTGGCAGGATTCTTTGAAATCTTCCCACAAATCTAAATACACAGTCAACAAAGGAGGATTTCATTCTTAACTTGTACTTTTGTAATTAGAATTAAGGAACACATTTACCTTGCATTTGACTTTTGTGTTAGGGTCGTGTGTCACGAGATGACGATCCAATTGACCTTCGTATTTAAACGTTGACGAACAATGAATACATTTCCACTTATTTTCTTGGCTTGAAGCCATTTGGTAATGGTAAAACTACTTCAAAATTATAATTTCAATTCCAGAGGGCAAGAATGAGAACTCAACAGCCAAATTTTGGAAGAAGAGCTCACAAATTCTGAGTTTGGCTCTCGGGGAAACGCGATACAACATTTGTAAAAAAAATATTCTGAATGATAAAGTTCTGCGTCTATTTTATTTTATTACAATTTTGGAAAAGCATTATAAAATTTGTCACATATATCTCTCACTGAAATGCTGGGTAATAGAATCTAAGCTAACCATCAATTATCTTAACAACGCGTCACAATTACTACGACTACTACAGGTACCAAGAAAGAACATACATAATTTTTAGGGAACAGATTTCATCAGAGGTTATTAATTTTTACTTCTCTAAAGTATGAACTCTACTGTGCTGCACTAATTCCTGGAAACGGACAAACTGCTTCGCACAAAAGTAGCAATCAATCCGATTCTCGATATTATGACGTCCCATGTGTTTTGCTAGATACCGTTTCAAATGACTCTTGTACTCGCATTTGTCGCAGGCATAAATCTTGACATCCTTATCCGTGTTGTGTTTTACTTCCACGTGGCGCTTCAAATCTGTAGCACCCCCGAAACTCTTGTCGCAAAATGTGCAGCGATAATTCCTCCGATTTTGATGAATAACAAGATCGTGGCCCTGCAATCCGTTTCTAGTGAGGAAAGTCTGCAGACAAAGCTGACATTTGAGTGTTTCTCGGCTGGACTTTTGAATATGCGTCCTCTATAAAATAAATATGCATTATAAATATTTTGTTTACTATTTTTTTCCAACGAAACAAATACCTTGTGATTTCTCAAGACTTTCCTGAAGGCGAAACTCTTCCCACAAGTGGCACACTTAAAAGGCTTCTCAGTCGTGTGGGTGTAAATGTGCTGCCCAAGGTCAGTCCTCGTTTTGAAATCTTTTCCACAAAGTGTGCACGGATATCGGACCGGATTCTCGGCATGTTCAGCTCTCACGTGTTTCAAAACATCACTCTTGTAAAGATAGGTTATTTCACAGCCAGGAAACCCACAAGGAAAACGAGGTTGTTCCTTCTTGTTGTGGACGAAGTCAATGTGGTTCCGTAAATTTTTCTGGTTCGACAAAGTCTTGTTACAAATATTGCAAGCAGGTCGGATCCGGTTGGTGTGCATTAGTGCCACGTGACGAGACAACATGTAAGGGGTCTTCAAAATCTTACTACAAACCTAAAAAACATAATCAGAAAAAGGGGGGAATTATAATAATCGCAAATATACAAATTGATAAATAATCCGATTATTTATCAATTTGCATATTTGCGAGTACAGTTTGTTTGTCAAAATCACTTTTGTATTTAAACGTCAATGAGCAATGAAGGCACTTGAACTTATTTGCTGGGCTTGAATCCATTTTGTGTGACGTGATAATAGTAAAACTACTTCAAAATAATAATTTAAATTCCAGAGGACAAGAACAGAAACTCAACAGCTAAAATTTTGGCTCGTTCAGGAAGAGCCGACAAGTAAATAGTTTGGCTCTGGCCGGGGTGCAATGCGATACAAGGTTTGTAAAAGTACCTAATATGTATTTTCTCCGTAAAGTTTGTGCGTTGAGATTTTGAGACGACGGGTCATCATCATGGTCGATCAATTTATTTCGGATGTTTCATGTTAGATGGATTTTAGATTTTGGAATTAGATTTTATTGGAAAAAGTGGGATTAGCTACTTAAGTAATTCTACACCTCTTTCCCACAATCATGCAGTGGTAGAGCTAGGTTTTAAGACGTCCGTACTTACTACAGGGGGAGCTCGCTCCGCTGGATACGAATTTGACCTTGAATAACCCCGGAACGGTTTGTCGTAGCGGGTCAAAATTTTGAACAGAGGAGCATGTTATTCTCAAATACGTGTGTGCAAAAATTCAACTCTCTACTTTCAAAAATGCCTCCCCCACAGCCCACAGAAGTTGAGACACTCGTTTCAACTCTTTCCAAACTCCGTCTAAAAAATCCGGTCTCCCAGAAAATTTTTTCTTTTCAAGTATCCGACCCCAAAGAAGTCCATTTGACTTACATCGGGGGATTGTACAGGTATTTCACTATTCGAAATGATTTTTATTCCGAATCTAGCTTCAAGGTTCTTTGCATTATCTTGGGTGAACTTTGCCGTCTGGGAAGACATTGCGTGATCATGAAAAATCACCTGATTTATTTTTTTTACCACGCAAATTAGGAGACTGTTGTTCTAAAAGTGGTTTCAATACACGGTCAACATAATACTTTACAGATTCCTTCACTTTTTTGGGTACTTTGATAAGTGGGAGGACACCACGACCGGACATTGCACACACAACCATAAACTGTTTACAAAAGTTCTCCTCACGGGAAAGCACCAAATTTCGTGAATTTTTTTTCGGCATTTGTCGTATAGTAAGCTCTTCGAACCCAATTAGTAACTTGTAGACAAATTAGTTCTTCGTCAAATGGCACTAATAACTCACTCTCATTCCTCAACAGAAAATTTGAATAAATTTTTTTGCAAACACGGGTGAGATTTTTGTTGGAACAAGTTGAAATGACTCTCTCAACTTCTAGGGGCTGTGGGGGAGGCATTTTTGAAAGTAGAGGGTTGGTCTTTTGCACAAAAGTTGTTGAGGACAACATGCTCGTCTGTTCAAAATTTTGACCCTCTACGACAAACCGTTCCGGGGTTATCTAAGGTCAAATTCGTATCCAGCGGAGCGAGCTCCCCATCTGTATAACTTACTTATTTCGCTCAAACCCCCAAAAAATTGGCAATGTTACGTCCTTCATTAAAATTAAGCTGCAGTAAATAAACTAAATCTTCCAACAAAATCATGATAATGTGTGTGAAGGGTATAAGATGAATTTATAAGCATGCTTCTGCTTCATATATTTGTACTAGCGTATAAGCCGTCTCCCGCCGGGCAACAGTATATTTAATTTTCAAAATTCCACCAATTAAATTTTTGAAAATATTAACTGCAACTCTTTGTCGCCTGTGGAAGTGAAAGGAATTTGAGACGAACGTTAAAGTGAAAAAAATCAAGATTCCCCTCGTCTGCGGTCGTATACTACTCACTACCTAGCTTTTGGCTATTATTATGGAATAAATGATCGCAGGATATTTTCGCGCGAAAATCACGTGCCCACTTGATTACATTGGGCGGGATGAAATTCAATTTAAATCTGCGATCAGTTATTCCTTACTAAACTATTCAATTCTGGTGATTGCAGCGGGAAAGTCACGTGCCCATGTTAAGTAACTGGGCATGTGGCTTTCCCGCTGCAATTACCAGAATTGAAACAGAGTTTACTCAATATTAGCGATTGGGCTGGGCTGAAGCCTTGCATGACTCGTGATCCGATCCCTCAATATACGACCCGAATATCTAGGAGTCCTAATTCCAATATCCTAGTATCCTTAGATCCAAAAAGAGTTGAACCACGGAAGTACCCCAGTATTTTAAGATCGGATAATATATTCGAATACGGGGACATGGGACGGGATATTGAAATATTGGTCGGGATATTAGGATATCGAGTTGGGAGGCTTACCTAACCTAGTTAACCACAATGCCCAGATAACAACCACCCCCATATCCCAATATCTCGGTATCTTGATACCCTTGATATAATACTGGGATATTGGTCGAGATATCAAGATATTGGGATATCGAGGTATGGGGGCTTACCAAATCCAGTTAACGACCACCGCCATATCTCAATATCCCTGCCGATATCCCAATATCCCAGCTGATATTCCGATATCCTAATACAGCGATATCCCAACCGATATCACGATATCCGAATATCCCTACCGATATCCCAATATCCCTACCGATATCCCAATACCCCGATATCCCAATATCCCTACCGATATCCCGATATCCCAATATCCCTACCGATATCCCGATATCCCAATATCCCTACCGATATCCCGATATCCCAATATCCCAATATCCCTACCGATATCCCGAATCAGTTGAGACAGTCCTAATTGTATTAATCCTCGTCGCTGAATGCGATGTCACTGAAGATGGTCTTCATTTGGATCAATGCCGTGGCTATCTTTAGTCCACCCGAGTCTTGCTACTTCGGGCTTCTCAGTTAGGGGTGATTTTGTTTTCATATGTCAATTATTTAACAGTTTTGGCCATGTCAAAACCCTTAAAACACTCCCACGAGATTATGAAAGTCTTGATTTGTCAATGCTTTGTTTGGATGGGTTCAAAGCAGTGATTCCTTCAGCAAAAACTCCTCATTTGACGATGTCACTTACCGATCCCTCCCCCTTTTTGTACAACTTGAAGCCATAATCTTAACCTAATTCCTGGTAACTTTGACTACACAACGAGGCCTTCCAATGGCGAAAGAAATTTGATTTAAATTTTTGCCATTTTCCCATAAGACATCGATTTTGACACTTCCATAAATCATTAAAGTAGTTTTCTATTAAATCGCTCCATAAATACGTAAAACCGGAAACCTACAAATACATGATGCATTATAATATGTAATATGGGCTGTAGTTTTGCATAAAAAAATCCGCACATGGCTAAGTTTTCTAGAAATTTTCAAATCAAGTTTTGAAGCGTAACGGGTTTTAGGTGTCGTAATTTCGTGTCCAACCTGAAAATTGGAATTTCGCTCCTAACTCTAGAGATACATAATTGTCAGAAATAAATGAATTGTTTGACATACCCCAGACACAAAATCTCCATTTTCTGAAAATTTTAGATTTTTTGGTCTGCAGGTTCGCAAAATGATCATAAAAACTTTAGGTGTCGTAATTTCGTGGCCAGCACTGTATGTAATGGTTACATAAATTTTCTACAGTTTCTAAATTATTACCTATACTTAATTGCTTAATAAATGGTTTCAAGATTGTGTATCTGAAAACAAACTTTCCGTCCTGTGAATAACTTTAATTTGTTATTCACTAAAAAATTAACCCAGCAAAATTCAAGTCTCTAGTAAGAAAATTGGGAAATTATGCAGGTAAACTGGTTTAAATCAATATGTGATTAATTTAATTCATTTTTATTCCATTTTAAAAACTTGATCCATAGAAACATATTCACAAGACATCGAGATGTAATTTTATCTACGTAAATTGGCTTACTCTGAAACAATGTCAGAAGAACTTCTTCTGCAGAAGCTATGAAAGCAAATTAGTACAAGAATCATAATTATTTAGGAAACAACCTAAATCACTCGTTACAAGTTATTTTACCACTCTTTTTGGTCGCACAATTATTTATGTGCTTGAATTTAAATATACGTACACTTGAATTCTGGCAAACTTTCGAGCGATAGACACACCCAAATCTTTAGCCACTTTACGAAACCATTCTACCCACCTGGTCAGAAAATTGCCAAAAATTGTTTTCAACTTTGCAAAAATCTTGGAAATTTTGACCCTCCACTCGGCTACAAAAATGATCACGCTTGCACACAAAACCGTCCCACATATGGCGAACGCGTACTTCAAGGCTTCCAAGGAGACTAGCTCGTCAAACTCTGGTTGAAACTGAATATCACTGGTAATTTGGGCGTAGTACCTTTTAAACATTTCACTTCCATACTTTCTCATTCGCTTTAGTCGACGTGATCTCCAGTATAAGTTCTTCCATGTCTCAATTAACCCTGATTCCACCAGTTTATTGTATGTAGAGTAAAACTGGGGAAATATGAAATTTCTGTACCCGCGTATTACAATGATCGTTTGAAACCTTGCGTCACCCTGACCATCGATGACAAACCGCTTACCCAGAAATCTAATCGGCTCCGAAAAAAATCTTAAATCTTCTGCGTCATTCAATATTGCAAATGTTTCACTCGTTTCGAAATTTTTCTGTAGAGGTTTTGAATTTGAAATATTTCGAATAATTTCTTCTACTAAGGTTTTCATGAGGTTGATAAAGGTAAGTCTCTTATCCAAGGAATCGAGTGGCCTTTGATACGTTGGATTTGCCGCCATTGCCGACTTCAATTCTGGTATCAGGATACCCTTAAGGATCGAGGCGTATACAACGGTGCGCGTCGATCGGTTCAGGGGAATGATATAGTCTTCGAAACCGCTCGTCGTTAATACTGGGACCCTGGAAGATATCAGCTCTTCCATCGTTCGGGGTACTTTGGGCATCTCAGGAACCGTCAAAAATGAAAACATTGCCCCCTGGTATAAGTTTTCCATTAGAATGTAACACCCAAACAACCAAACGGTCGAAATAATCCGAGTGACGCTTTTATTACCAAGTATTGTTGTGGCATCACCCCTTCCACTTTGCCCCAAAAGCATTGCGGCAACTTCAAATAGGTCTTTGGAAATGTATTCATTCAACCCAAACCGATAACTGAATCCAGAATCATAAACCGAAATCGAAATTAAGCTTGAAATTAGTATGCACGAAATGACAGTGAGAATCCACGTTGCTGAATCAAATGGTAGCAAATATGTTGCAAAGCTATTCGTCACCGATGGAAATACGGCAACGACGGAAAATTTGAATATTTTAATATTCACGTTATAAATCCCTAAATTATTTTTTAGCATATGGCGCAAAGTTTTATCGGCAAGAATTGTGCTGAAGCTAATAGTTCCGATCATATCTGTGCTAACTGTCTTGTTGATTAGCTTCCAGTAAGAATAAGTAAAGTTGAATTTTTGTCGGAGAATGGACAACGGGCAAAAGTCAGATGAATCTATGGTATAGAAATGTCTTAAAGCTGGGCTGCATTCACCCTTCTGCTGGATACTTTTTGAACCTAACTGCTGCATTATTCTCCCCTGAAGATTCAAATTTAGCGCGTCCCACGCCACGTCAATTTGACGGAGGGTGACCGCCGGGGTTAATTTTTCTTCAGTGTGTACACCAACCTTGGAAGGACAGAGTAAACATGGGATAAACACCGAATCGGGGTGATTGTAGCTGAAAAGGACTAATTTTGAAGGCCCGTTTCCTTGAATGTAACCCTCGTAAATATCTTTGTTATGTGGATTGTCGACATGTGCGAATATAGACTAAAATCTAAATCTTCAGCCCGAATTAAAATCGGCGCCAAATTTTACTCGGCGACGGCGTAACGAGAATTTTACCCAGCAGGGTCGGCGCCTAAAGTAGTACCGTGTGTGTGTGTAGTAGATGGCGTCGACCTCTGTGCACAAGTTGGCAAAACAATTGACACTTGAAATTACAAATACTCAAAACATTTACGAAAGTTCGATTATACCTGCGACGTGGGTCCGCTTGCTAAATTCCTAAATTTTGGATAGGTCCTAGTCCTAAAGTTGACCCCAAAGTGTTCCGCACTGTGAAAGCTGTTTGCAAGGCTTCAATGACGTATAAAAAATATACCTGCTCTGGGACGCAATTACACTCTTAAAAAAATCAATAACCGTTGGTATTGATACGTGACTCTACCGCGTGGTATTGATCCGGTATTGAGTTAATACTACGTGGTAAAAAAATTAATACCAATTAGTATTAAAATTATTACCATGGGGTATAATTTCAATACCGGTTCTATACCAATATGGTATAACTGTTTAATACCAAGGCGGTAGAGTCACGTATCAATACCGTTAAGTTTTTTTCAATACCAAGTTTCTAAGAGTGTACCAGTTCAAAGGCTAGTGTATAAATCGAGAATTTGATCGAAATGGCTATGGGGTTATTAGCGATCATATCTACGGGCCTTCAGTGTACTTCTCCACAATGCAGAAATAAAACTTGGTAACTTATAAGGAGCTTTTCCGTCCTCCAACAACTTGCAATTTAGAATTAATGTCAACAAATTCTGTGTGTATTCCTTACTTTCCCGTCAAAATTTGGGTTTGTATAATCCGAAATAACCCATCTTATCTAGTGCTTGTGTGGGCGCCTGCCGGCGCCCCCTGACAACTTGGCGCCCCGGGCAAATGCCCTGCTCGCCCACCCCCAGTTTAGGGCCTGTATACGTAACAAAGGGCTGATTGCTAAGCCATACATACATACCTACGTATGCACTAATTTTTTTCTAAATTAAGATAAATTTAATCAGTTCATATTTCCATGTAAATAAGCCTGACATTTAGCGTGGACCCAAATTCTTTAATCGTAGTGGATTTTATTATTGAACCCGAAAAAACTTTTGAACTTTTCCGGTGGAATTTTAGTATAATAAAAATGCACAAATGTTGACGAGAGTTCCATCAATGCATAATACTTATTTATATATTTTTTATTCGTACGTATTTATATAGTTTTTTGTAAAGTGCGGTTCTTAATGTCTTTCGTACTGATTTTTAAATAAAATTTTCCACCATCGATGCATAATTGTATCAAAATTATGTTTAGGTAGTTTGTCTATTTTGTATGGTGCAAAACAATTGGGTCAATCGATGAAAAGCGCACCAAAATTACAGAATAACTGGCAGGAACAATTGGGAAATCTTGACACCGCGTTTGCATCGGGGATGGATAAGTGTAAAAATTATGTTGAAATTTTTTATCTATTTTCCACGCTTATCTTCCACTATTGATACCAAACTGTGTCGAAACTATGTATCTCCCTACTCCCTTGTCGGCTTATTTTGCACCTTTGACGCAAAACGAAATCCCAATTCTGACCACTCTGTGCGTTTATTCTGTGCCTTTGGTGCAAAGTTATACTTCCAGGGCGAGCTATTTCTAACGTTACTACGGTTTATTATGTCTTTAATCAATATGCTTTTATTTTGTTACAATTTTGGAAACGGTTAAAATATTTATGTACAAATTTCCGACAGGTGAAATGCCTCAATTCTTTATTAATAACTAAATTATTGTTAACAATTCTGACTCAAAACAACAGATTGGTGGATTTCGCCTATCGCCGCCAATGTCAGAATGGGATTAATTTAAAAATAAATAAAAAAAGTAGTTATGAAACCCAAATTTACTCTTTTTACTTCTCGAGACAATGAACTCGACTGCAGTGGATGACCAATTCTGGGAACATGACAAACTGCTTCTTGCAAAAGTAACACTCGTGTCTCTTCGTAGCATTGTGACGTCTCAGGTGTTGACCTAGATAGACTTTCGAGTGACTTTTGTACTCACATTTGTCGCAGGAGTGAATCCAAACCTTATCCGTGAGGTGTCTCGCCTCCACGTGACCCCTCAAGTTTTGTGAGGTGGAAAATTTCTTGTCACAAAATCTGCACAGATAGTTCCTCTGATTTTCATGCACAACTCGGATGTGGTGTTGTAGGCCACGACTACTTAAGAAGGTCTGAGGACAGATGCGACACTGTAACCTTGGACGAGCAGATTTTTCCAAATGTGACATCTGTAAATTTAAAATGCATGGTTTAAGGTTCCCATGGATGACGCGTTGGCGCGTAATCTCACTCTGCCCCTATTCAATGTATTCAAATGCAATTTCTAAAATCGGATCAACTCCATGAGTTTTGAGATAAATGCAACGTTTGATATTTTAATGTAAAGCTAATTTTTGGTATTCATTTGCTATTTTTGCACACTAATTTTTTTCAAAAATGTATTTTCTAATTTTTCAAAACACCAAGGTTTTGTAGTACCAAAAATTAGCTTTACATTAAAATATCAAACGTTGCATTTATCTCAAAACTCATGGAGTTGATCCGATTTTAGAAATTGCATTTGAATACATTGAATAGGGGCAGAGTGAGATTACGCGCCAACGCGTCATCCATGGGAACCTTAATTGTTCCACATGTTTTTTTGTAAACTAATTTTTCCAGACATGTGTACCTCATGAACTTTTATGGCCGTCATGCAGGCGAAACTCTTCCCGCAGGTGGTACACTTGCAGGGTTTCTCTGTTGTATGGGTGAGAATGTGTCTCTCAAGTTTTGCCCTAGTTTTAAACTCTTTTTCGCAAAGTGCGCACCGAAATCGGATCGGAATTTGGGAATGTTCAATCTGTACGTGTCTCGCAAGATCGTTCTTGCGTAGATAGCTTTTCTCACAATGGGGAAACGTACATGGGATACGAGGTCGTTCGGAAGTGCTGTGGACGGCTTTAATATGTCCCCGTAAGTTGGCAGAATCAAAGAACACGCGATGACACGTGGGACACCTGGGTCGCTCTCGGTTGGTGTGCATCCTCGCCATGTGAGTGCGTAATATTCTAGAAGTTTTTAAAATTTGTCCGCAAATCTGAGCAACACATGTGCAAATTATGAGTTATGAGGAAATTGGAATATCTGCTTTAGTTTTTAAAATGTAAACGCTCACCTGGCATTTCGCTTTCGCATCGGGATCGCATCTGATTTTTGTTTTCAGCGTTTTAGGGCATTTGAGATGTTCGCAGTTTTTCTCTGGCTGAATATCCATCGTAGATTCAGTTCTACTGAAGTATTAACCTTACAGACTTCTAATTATTATTAAAAAATTTGACTTCTCAAAAAAAGTAAACGTTGAATGACACAAATTTCAAGTTAATCTGGTTAACTTGCCCAATTAACTTTTATCAAGTTTGTTTTAGCTTATTTAAATTTTAAAATATGGAGAGGGTACATGCGTATCCTTTCATTAAGTACGTCGCTTTTTTTAGTATCGTTTAACTACGAAAGTTTTAAGAGAGTGAGGGTTCGTCTGTAGTGAGAAAAAGGTTGCGCTTGCTAACCTGAACCAAGAGGAATGCACAGAAATGGTTAACAAATTCATGTCGCGTTGCATAAAAATAGCTACGATTTATTTACGCCATATTTCTATTTATATACATACCTATGTATATACACATATACATACATACAAATGTGAGCATGGATTTCATGGATTTTCTGAGAATTTTGACCAACCAACCCTAAAGTGATTGATTTGCTCACGATTAAATTTTCATGGTATATGTCTAGATTGGTCTTGTGGTTGTTACCATTTTAAGACTAAAATTTCAGCGGATGTTGTTAAATAAATCAAGTTTTCTTTGTCTCTGTACAAAAATACATCTCGTCGCTGTTTCGTGCAAGATGTGTCGGTTGAGAAACCAGCCGGAAATTGAAATTGCGGGGTAGTCTCATATCTCCAGAAAATGAAATGGTTAATCATTTAGTTATGTACATGCAACTCATATAATCCTAATGTTATTAATAAAGCCTTTTCATAACGAAATATTTGCTTCTCAAGAATGACAAATTAAGAATTTGCAACCCTCATAGCTTGCAAAAGAGTCAGACCCAAAATCTTCAAAAGTTCATAATTTATGTGTATATGTATAAGTCATACTCATTATCAACTTTTTAAACTTACAGAATTTAAACAAAAAGTTGACGTGAGTAATTATATGTCATCAGACTTGTGTGTTAGTCACGTTTCGTATCATCTGAAGAACACAGTGACGTTCACGGTCTATCTAATCAGGCACAAGTATTGATTATTATCGGACCACATGCTAAATACATACAATGCTTAGCACTTGTGAGAGATAGATTTTGTCTGATCCAAAGCTAATTAATGTAACATTTAATGCGTATTATGTGCATATGTATGTAAACGTGCAAATGGTTTTAAATTAATCGATTCTCCACCGTCACAGCATATACATAATAAAAATTCCAGTTAATGTAACTTTCTAACTTTCAAACCCGTTTTATATTTCAGAAATTTGTACAACCTGCATACATTTGGTCACCTATTTCTTTACGTTTTACCACATTTAGTTACATCGTGTCGTGCTGGTATATAGCCATCTATTTGCTTATGTTATGAAACACAACGCCGATTAAAAGATTGGAATTACAAAATTCTAGTAAGCATTTTTGCATCGACATTTCAGGAAAGCATTTTAATATTTATAAGTGCAAACACATTGGTAAGAATTTTGTGATCAAGGGCTGTAGTGAAATTGTGTATCACTTTGTGTTTGCTTCTAAGGTTATTAAGAAATTAAAAAAAACACATTAATAATCGCATTTATCTAGACACATCATGGCCACGTACAACGGAAACACCACAACTTTACAAATTCCCCCAAAAACTAAAATCCGCACGATCAACGTAAATTCGGGCGACATCATCGTTGGAGCTGGATGTTCTATAGAGTACTGCAATTATAACGAGGGATCCATAACGTTCCTGGGGGCATGTAAAATTTCGGATATGGAAGCTAACAAGGGAACCATAACTGTTGGTGCGGGTTCCTCGATAGCCTCGTGTTATCGTAACTCTGGGATAATTAATACCGAAAATAATGTAAAGATCGTTCATATGAAGGCAAACAAGGCCGTTATCAGTATCGGAACGGGTTCAAAAATTTCTGAAATTGCAAACAACAAAGGGACAATTTTTATTTCAAATGAGTGCGAAATAGAAGCTGTTCATTTTAACGAAAAAGTGATCGCTTTCGGAGAGTCGTGCTCCATTGGAAAGATTTTCTTTAACCAGGGGACAATTTCCTTGGCAAACGGGGTCCATGGGTTTGAAACTAATGGAAATGCTGGTTTTATCGTTGGGCGTGGATTGGCATACGCTAAGGACGATCGTAAAATTCCGTTTGAAGTCGAGCCTCCATCGTCGGAAGCGTCATTCTATGCGGGAAAAGGTGAACAATTTTTTATTATTGATATGCGAAGGATTTGCGACCAATTTCGGTGAAAGATATGGCCACTATAAGGTCACTATGAAGGGTTGAAATTATCTTCATTCCAATTCTGTGGATATTTTAAAAGATATCTTAAAATCATTTAACAATAAAAATAAGCCTGGGTATTTGAGTAGTCAAATTCCAGGGTGATCGTAATAGATCGTAGTGGCATAGGGTGGCATAGGGTAAAATAGCTTTGATTTTATACCTAAATCTATGTATATACCCAATGCGCATATGCATCATACGTGTTTATTCACAAGAAAGGATTGAAACATTTTAAGTACATGCACCCACTTACATATGAACTTATCTTTCAGGTCTCGTCGCCTTTGCGGAACAGTATAATGAGGACATAAGGAAATTCATTGTTATCATGTTTCCTACCAATGATTACGCGGAGCTCGATCGAAAGGCAAGGAGGCTGAGACAGGTATGAAAATATTTGTCGCAAGACAAATATGACGACAAGTGAGCGTGTATATATGAGCAAAGTTTTGATAAGTTTGCACCTATATATTACGAGTCAATAATCGTATTCCTAGTTAACTATTTATTATGACAAACATAAGTCCCACCTCTACTTCTAAAATTCAGTACATCATTTCGAAATTTTCTTTCACAGGGCAGTTTGGTTAGTGGATGAATTAATAAATTAATTAATTAATCAAAATTTCAAAAGTAATTTATCTGGGATCAATGACAAGTTGTGATATTATGTTATCCTTCATTGCAAACAGGAAGCAACACGAGAAAATTACAACTTGTCTTTCCAAAGCAGTGGAACCGAATTTTCCCCCGATCGTCAAACGCCCACTTCATCAACGAACGAAAACGTACCGGAAGCTTCATCACCCGTCAAAGAAGTGGATCCTCTTTGCCCCATCTGCATGGTGCACAGGAAAAATATGGCCTTTCAATGTGGACATCTCTGCTGTACGAGGTGCTCCGTGGGATTGTCAAATTGTCCCATTTGTCGTAAAGCAATTACACAACGGATACAAATTTACCTTTGATGTCATGTTATAACTATATTGAACATTTAAACGCTATTCAATTTAAATTTACATACTTAGATTCCGCGTCGTCCATGTGTACATAGTTACTTAGGACTCATAAGTTATGAGTGAGATTTATGTAGGAGTCATAGCAGATTAAGTAATAAAATTTATGGATAATAAACATTTGTATGAAATTCAAATCAGTTGTAATTCTTTAATCAATAAATATGTTCTGATTTTGTTGCAATTTTTGGACAGCGTTAAAGTATTCATGGGCAAATTTCCGTCAAATAAACGCCTCGATGCGCCAGCCGAATTATGAGCAGAAATTCTGACTCAGACTACCATACAAAATACAGAATGGGGGATGTCGCCAATTTCTGAATGGGATTAACTCAAAAATTACAAAAACGTAATATTCAAACTAAAGCTAAAACACATTTTTACATGAAAATTACTACAATAAACCAAGAGGAAACTTTAGTATAAGCACAAATGAAACAAATTAACTCTCTCATTTCTCCAGACAATGAATTCGACTACAGTGTTTGACCAAATCCGCGAATCTGGCAAACTTCTTCTGGCAAAAATAACACTCCCTCCAACTCTCAACATTATGGATTCGTACGTGTTGAGCTAAATTGCGTTTTGCATGACCTTTGTACTCGCATTTGTCGCAGGAATGAATCAGCTCTTTATTCGTGGCATGTTTTCTCTCCACGTGACCCTTCAAGTATGATGCGCACGAGTATCTCTTGTCACAAAATGCGCACGGGTAATTCCTCTGATTTTCATGCGCATCGCGGATGTGGCGTCGTAGTCCACTTTTAGTTAGAAAGATCTGAGGACAAATGCGACACTGGAACACGTCTCGGGCAGATTTGTCCAAATGTGTTGTCTGCAAATTTATAATGCGTATTTAATTTTAACGCACGTTTTTTTTAACTAATATTTACCTCGTGAGATTTCAGGGTTTCCACCTCGGCGAAACTCCTCCCGCAGGTGGCACAATTGTGCGGTTTTTCTGTAGTATGGCTGAGAATATGTCTCCCAAGTTTTCCCTTAGTTTTAAACTCTTTTTCGCAAAGTGTGCACCGAAATCGGACCGGATTTTGGGCATGTTCAATTTTTGCGTGTCTCACAGCTTCACTCTTTTGTAGGTAGGTTTTGTCACAGCCTGGGAACGTGCATGGGAAACGAGGTCGTTCCTTCGTGCCGTGGACGGCTTTAATATGCTCTCGTAGGTTGCCAGAAATGAAGAACACGCGATGACACGTGGGACACCTGGGTCGTTCTCGGCTGGTGTGAATCCTCGCCATGTGAAGGCGTAGGGTGTTTGGATTTTTAAAAATTTTCCTGCAAATCTGAGCAAAACATGTGCAAATTGTGACTTGGTTACATATGTATGTGGAAACTTGAATTTATGGAATAAGTTTAAAATTTTAAAATCTAAACCCTCACCTGACATTTCAGTTTCGCAAGTGTGGCAACGTCCGCCTTTTCTTTGGACTTTTTAGAGAACTTGGGACATCCGGATTTTTTAACTGGCTTAATATCCATGTAGACAAAGTTTTACGGAAGTTTATGAACTTACGGATTACTAAGTAATCGTTAAAAATTATACTTCTCGAAACCGAACCTTATTTGGAATCTGGAAGCACAAATTCCCACTTTCGCATGTTAGCTGTACTAATTTATTTTCAATAAACTTTGAGCAATAGTTTGAATCTGGCTTATTTAAATATAAAAACGGGGAGAAGGTGTCCACTCATTTATGTCCAGTTTTTCTTAGTGAGGCAAATACCTGACAACGAAAAAAAATTGCTAAGTATGCATTTACCCCACCCAAAAAAAGCGATATAAGTCGATTTCTCGGCCGTTTCTCAACCGATTGTGATGAAATTTTGCACAGATCATTGTTAGGTAATTTAGAAAAGATTTGCTAGTCGACTTGGCGAATTTTTGATGTTTACCCAAGTTATGTGCCAAAATGTGCAAAAATTTTCCCCTGAAAACATATTTATTTTTATGATTCATAAGTGGTGCATCTCAGCATGCTCGCTTATTGAAAATATTTTAGTCAAAGTCATTCCGGACATTTTAAGCGCAAAATGACTTAAATCGGTTGAGAAATAACGGCGTTATTCAAGTTTGAAAATCAAAAATTTAATGAATATATTCAGGGTGCCGATAATAACGGCGGTTGTGCAGTAAAAATAATGTCTTTGACAACCAATTACAAGTTTTAAATAAACAAGGCCCCAAAAAATGGGAAATCTTAGTGAGTCAGCGCAATCACAGTTAATAAATAAAATTAGATTGAATAACTTTTGCATCACCGCTCTCGGGATAATTTTTACTGGGTCCATTGTAAATTTAGTTTTGCATACGCATGAACTCTTACATTCATTAAATTAATTGAGCTTACAAGATGACGTTTTTACTATTGAACGAGAGTTGGCTAAATTAATCGATATTAAATATAATTGTGAACTGCGAATTTGAGAGTTGAAAAGTTGAAGTAGAGTTGAAAATCTACAATTTCGATATATAAATTTGGATATCCTATTAATTCCTATTCTGATGAAATCTCCAGACCCTTTGAGGGGGGGGGCAATTATTCTAAATGATTAATTAATGCTTCCAGGAAAAATGAGCGGTGATGAAAAAGTTATTCAATCTAATTTTATTTATTAACTGTGATTGCTCTGACTCACTAAGATTTCCCATTTTTTGGGGCCTTGTTTATTACATAGTATCGTTTAACTACGAAAGTTTTAAGAGAAGTAAGTGAATGGTGGTTTGAAAATATGTGGTCAGAAAAAGGTTACATTTTTCAACCAGAACCAAGAGGCATGCATACAAATAGCCACAATTTATTGTCGCTGTATTTCTATTTAGTAATAAATATACATGGATTTTCTTAGAATTTTGAGTCCCAGCCAGCGCAAAAATGATTTAACTTGTTATGCTAAAATTAGCATGGTACATTTCTAGATTGGTCTTTTCAGTGTAACTGTATTCTATGTTTGTATTGAGCTTTTTAAATATTCCAGAAATTACAATTTCAGAGGGTGCGGTTAAATAAATTAAATTTTGTTGTTTTAGAAAAATGCATTTCGTCCCTGTTCGTGAAAGAGTTGTTGATTACAAGATGAAAATGTGGGAAAAATGAGACACCATGTTATAATTACGCAGCCTCATATTTCATAAAATCGACCGACAACTTATGTTTAGGAACCGACAACTTATGTTTCCATCTGGCTTTCTCAACCGGCGACTTTTGCACTAACTAACAGCGGTCGTGATTTGTATTTCTAAAATTTTGAAAACAAACTCAAATATGAACAATTGGGTTGAATATAATATTCAACCCAATCTAAAAAAAATTTCCAAATGAAAATTGGTTGAGTAAATCAAGAATCAAATTATTTATTTTTAAAATGAAAAACAGTTAAACTCTTTTACTTCTCGAGACAATGAACGCGACTGCAGTGTCTGACCAATTTTTGGAAGCTGGTAAACTGTTTATTGCAAAAATAACAGTCGCGCCAATTTGCAACATTGTGACGTCTCAAATGTTGTTTTAAATTATGTTTCGAGTGGCTTTTGTACTCGCATTTGTCGCAGAAATGAATCCTCTCCTTGTCTACGAGGTGTATCGCCTCCACGTGATTCTTCAAATCTGAATGACTCGAGAAACCCTTCTTGCAAAATGTGCATTTGACTAGGTTCAGAAAAACCGGTACATGGTGTTGGACGAGTTGTCGCAAAACTCAAAACGCTCTTACACGTGTCTAATAGAATCAAAAATTACACGTACACAGGTACACGTGTTCGCGCGTTTTTTCTCAAGGTGCCCCAAATTTTTCATTTCGCCCCAAATACTGGGAAAAAACATTGTGCCGCTACCAGTGCGTACCGGTTTTTCTGAACCTAGTCATTTATAGTTGTTCCTCTGATTTTCATGAATTACCTGAATGTGCTTCCGCAAGCCTACTCTAGTGACGAAAGTCTGTAGACAAAATTGACATTTGAATGTTTCTCGGCTAGATTTTGGAATGTTTCCTCTGCAAAATGAATACGCATTATCTTTTTGCTCACTAATTTATTTGCTACAAAATAGATAATTACATCGTGATTTTTCAAGGTTTTCCTGAAAGCGAAAAGTTTCCCACAAGTGGCACATTTAAATGGCTTCTCAGTCGTGTGGGTGATAATGTGGCCGGCAAGGTCAGACTTCGCTTCGCGATTAAGCAACCCGACACAACACACGGTAAGAAGTTTAACAAATTACGGTTACCAAAGTTCGGTAAATGAGCAACTATGCAAATACTACAAATTTTATATGTCTTTATAATAAGTGCATACTATTACCCCTAAAAGTCTAGAGATGTGTTTGTTGGTGTTCGTCACTCCTTTACAAATTGCTAGCAAAAAATTGTAGAATTATTGTGCGATTATAATAGAGTTCTTTCTTACAGATATCAAATTAAATACATTTTATATTAATTTACAAACTCAACAAGTAAGAAATCCAGATGGATCTGAACCCAGGAAAGAAATGGGAATGCTCAAAGTGCTCAAAAACGTTTACAACCAATTTCACGCTGACCAGATACATGGTCACGCACGATCCCGATGCCAAGGTCAAATGTGAGGTGAGTCAAATTTAAATTGGCAAATGCGAAACTAATTTTACAACGGAGGCTTTTCTTCACTTCTGCCTTCCTTAGGTTTGTAGCGAAATTTCAAAAAACCGACGCGCTTTATCTTACCACATGTCAAGTTTTCACACCAACCAAAAGCGACCCAGTTGTGACACTTGTCACCGGGAGTTTTCCAGTTCGTCTTACTTACGGCGACATATTGACGCCCTTCACAGCACGATGGATCGACCTCGCTTCCCATGTACGTTTCCCGGATGTGAGAAAATCTACTTAAATAAGAGAGATCTTTCGCAACACGTGAAATAAGAACACGCCGAGAATCCGGTCCGATACCCGTGCACACTTTGCGGAAAGGAATTTAAAACGAGGGCTGACCTTGAGAAACATATTCCCACCCACACGACGGAGAAGCCGTACAATTGTCCCACTTGTGGGAGGAGTTTCGCCCATATGAGAAGTATGAAGGTTCATGAGGTAAGTCAGTCTGTTGTAGAAAAACTGGTTTGAAAATTACCAATGTGCATATTAGGTATGTTTACAGATGACGCATTTCGAAAAATCTGTCCGCGACGTGTCACATTGTCCCCTCTGTCCTCAGACCTTTTTGAGTAGTCGTGCTCTACAACGCCACATCCGAGTATTGCATGAAAATCGGAGGAATTATCCGTGTTCGCTTTGTGACAAGAGATTCTCCATCTCATCAAATTTAAAGGTCCACGTGGAGGCGGTACATGCCAAGAATAAAGATCTGGTCCACTCCTGCGACAAATGCGAGTACAAGAGCTACTCAAAAGCCAATTTGACCGCTCACAGAACACGTCGTCATAATCCAATGAAGCATAAGTGTTATTTCTGTGGGAAGGAATGCTTCACTTTTTCTGAACTGGCCAGACATTGTAGTCCAGTTCATACCCTAGAAAAGTTAAAATCCTTGCGCAAGTAATGGGAATGCCAATAATTTAGAAATTTGTCACTAAATTTGCGACATTTACAAAGGCTTGTTGTAGAATGAAATGGGAATCTAGTAACTGGGCATGTTATTTTATTCATATGCGAAATAAATACGATGTTGTGAGTACGTTCCTCTTAAACGTGTTAGGCGTATACATACATACGTAACATTGATGAATACCGTATTGAAGCGAACTGATTACTGTAATTTACAAAAACAGGTATTTTAGCAAATAATTTTTTTATTATTCCACATAGAATATCAAATAAATACATGTATATAAATTCTTGGGTCAGCATTATCCGCACTAAGTTATTTGGTAAGAAATAATTACCAGTCGACATACATATTTATGACGCATTGGTACAAACCAATTTTTAGTAAACCAATTTTAGATTCTGTGAAAAGCTGGTTTTAAATCAGTTTAACTGCTACTTGAAACAAGGTTTCAAGGCTTGAAACAACAGTAAGCTGAAATTCATTAGAAAACCAAATTAAATGTAAACTCTGGAATGATTAAGGTAGTTATTTCAGAGCAAATAATTCCTCTCTTAACAATAAGAAACATTTATTATTGGCTCCGAGAAGGTTTGTTTTATTAAGTAGAACTTGAAAACCGTCTTTGTATTCCCTAAGATTTGACATTTTTGTAAATCAAATCAGATTGGATAAATGTTTGAAATTGCTTGTAATAAATTAAAATCAGCATCATCATAGAATTTTCTATTTTAACTTTGCCTGACGAAGCTCACGTATGTTAAAGATAGCTCGCAATAAACCACATATTTCGAGGAAATGTGTTCCGATGCCGATGAAATTACATACTTCAATAAAATCATCATTGTTTCCTTTCCTCAACATTCTTTTACTCTCACTCACAATTTTGGAAATTTTTAAAATATGCATTTATCGGCAAATTTCCGAAGGTTAAATCAAGGTATCGATGAACCCAAAGGGTGCCAATTTAACGGGCCGGCAAAAATGTATTTTATCCCAACCGAAATTAATAATTCGTCCAATCATAAAAGGTCCAACCAATTTATTTACTACACATAACGGAATAATTAGATTTTAAATGATGTGGTTTGCGTAACAAAATACTTAAAATAAAAATTATACAGAAATGCGCTTAATTTTAATGCCTCGACAATAATTCATCGCTTTGCATGCACATGAAAATTAGTAGAATAAGCTGAGCGTAAAATTATAAGCACAATGAAGCACATTCACTCTTTCACTTCTCGAGGCAATGATGTTGACTGCAGTGTTGTACCAATCGTTTGAATCCGGCAAACTGTTTCTTGCAAAAGTAACACTCGTGCCAAATCGCAAAATGGATACGTCTCACGTGTTGAGATAAATTGACCTTTGAGTGGGTCCTGTACTCGCATTTGTCGCAGGAATGAATAATCTCTTGACTTGCGAGATGTCTCGCCTCCACGTGACATCTCAAACAGGATGATGTCGTGAATTTCTTACCACAAAATCTGCAAGGATAATCCCTCTGATTTTTATGCACTACCGAAATGTGATCGTGTAAACTAATTCTACTTAAGAAAGTCAGGGAGCAATGTTGGCAGGTGAAAGTCTCTCTGCTAGATTTATCCAAATGTGTCACCTATACAATACATCAATCAGCTACCTTGGTTTACTCATTAAAATATGTATTTACTTGTTTACCTCGTGGCGTTTCATGTAAGCTTTTTGGGCGAACCTTCTCCCACAAATGGTACACCTAAATGGCTTCTCCGTCGTATGGGTGAAAATGTGACTCTCAAGTTCTGCCCTCCTTTTGAATTCTTTCCAGCAAAGTGGGCACGGAAAACGGACAGGATTCTCGGAATGCTCAATTTTATGGTGTTTCGTAACTTCGTATTCCCTGAGGTAGGATTTTTCACAACCGGGAAATGTGCAGGCTATCCGAGGTCGATCCACTGTGCTGTGGACGTGGTTAATATGCCTTTGCAGATGGTCGGATGACGAAAAAGTCTTGTCACAAATATTGCAAAGTGGGCGAACCTGGTTGCGATGCATTCTTGTCATATGGCAAGAAAGGGAGGCAGGATTTTTTGAAAACTTTCCGCAAACCTGGAAAATATTATAATTAGAATTGCTTATTAAATAAGTTAAGAACTGGTTAAAAAGGATGGAAATTCGCAATTATTGTTGATGAAATTGCTGGTGGAAATATTTACATTGGGATGAAAGAGCAAAACATGTCAAAGAGTTCGTACGTATGTATGTAATGTTATGCCCAATTCTATGCTATATCTGTATGTATTTAGTTACTCACTTTGCATTTTACTTTAGCATCGGGGTCGTGCGTGTTGACGTGCTGCTTGAATTGATGAGTAGTCGGGAACGTTTTTTTGCACTCTGAGCATTCCAATAAATTTCGTCTTAACGGATCCATTTGGATTCTATAGAGGATGTTTCTAGATTAATGTATTTCAAATTTATCACTCCGTAATAGTGAGAACGTCCCCCATAGCTTGGTTCAGAATGATTTTCATCAGCTTACATCGTTACAACAGTGTACTTCTATTACTACACGGTAATGCCCGTTATTACCGTGAAGTGTATGCAGTCTGATCGGTGATGATTCAACACTATTTTGCTAAGAGTGTTTGTACGTTTGTATACGTGGGACGAGGACGAGGAGAGTACACATTATTGTTATCTTATTCGCGAGAGTTTTGGAGCCTTAAATTTTGAACGGCGCCTAATCAGGTAAATTACTCTTTTCCAAATATCAATGCGCTGGTGGTACATAGATATTTTTCCACCTCCAAAAGGTTGATGCATAAAATTTTACCAAACCCTTTGTCCAAAGTCGTATTGATACAGTAGGAAAAAGGGTAACAAAAATGGACCTTTTTTGTTGATGTGGGTACCTTTTTTCTATTTAAAAAGTGAACAATAATAGCTCGTCGACATGTGTTCAAAACCAATCAAAATGCAGGCGAAGTACCTGAAAGGTTTTTGATAATATCAACTTTTTCACAATTACAGTAAAATAATTTTTATTGTTTTTCGTGAACATTTTTTAAATTTTATTGTAACTTTGGAAAGCGTTAAAATATTACGGGCAAGTTAAATTAAAGGGTTCAATCATCAATGCATCAACTGAATCGCATGGTCATAATACCCATACCCATTTTTGAAACAGATTTATTATTTTACTTCTCAAGAGTATGAAATCGACTGCAATGTCTGACCAAAATTTGGAAACTGGCAACCTTCTTCCTGCAAAAGTAACACTCGTGCCTCTTCCCAATTTTGTGATTTCTAACGTGTCGAGCTAAATAGGCTTTCGAGTGACTTTTGTACTCGCATTTGTCGCAGGAATGAATCTTCCCCTTGTGTGCGGAGTGTCTCGCCTCCATGTGATTTCTCACCTCGGCTGATACCGAGAATCTTTTACCACAAATAGAGCACGGATAATTCCTTTGATTTTCGTGCACAACTCGGATGTGGTGCTGTAAAGCATCCCTACGTACGAAGGTCTGAGGACAGACGTCACACTGGAACACGTCCCGGTCAGATTGCGCCAAATGCGTCTTCTGTAAAAATAAATATGCATGTTGGTAATTTTGCACTAGCTTTTCTCACTCTATGCTTATCTATGTATGTACCTCGTGACGTTTCATGGACGCCTTGTGGGGGAAACTCCTCCCACAAATGGGACAATTATATGGCTTCTCCGTTGTGTGGGTGGGAATGTGTTGGTGAAGTTTCGACCTAAGGTTAAACCATTTTCCGCAAAGTATGCACGGAAATTGAATAGGATTTTCCGAATGCTCTATTCTATGATGTTTCATAGCTTCGTATTTGCAAAGGTAGGATTTTTCACAGCCGGGGAATATGCAGGTCATCCGGGGTCGATCCACGGTGCTGTGGATTTCATTGATATGTCTTTTCAGATGTTGAGATGATGAGAAAGGTTTTTCACAAATGTGGCAAATTGAGGGGTCCCTTTTACCGTGAATGTTTGCCATATGGCGAGAAAGTGTTGCCGGATGCTTCGAAATTTTTCCGCAGACCTAGATAATTTTAATTTGATTCGGTTATTAAGGTTCCATTATTTTCAGATGGATGCAAATTCACTACATAAATTAAATAGAATTAAAATTGATGAATGGAAATATTTACGTTTCCATAAAAAACAAAACATCGCCAGGAATTCATATGTAGTATTATGATTTCGCAAATAGATATCCTAAAATCACAAACTAATACGTAAATCAATTCTACGCTGTACTCACTTTGCATTTCACTTTGGCACCGGGGTCGTGCGTCTTGACGTGTCTTTTGAAGTCGTGGTTAGTTTTGAAAGTTTTTTTGCACTTGGAGCATTCCAATAAATTTCGTCTTGATGGATCCATTTGGATTCTAAAAAATCGATTAAATATGACGGTGTAAAATATTATGTACCTGCCATCTTCATGAGCGTGTAGCTATTTAGAGCTTATATAAATAAATGGTGAAAATACTGAAGTGTGCATTTACGAAAAATTCTTGACGTATGTATGTATTGAATATTTATGTAAAAATTCTAAAATATTTATGAAATACGAAAAAATACATAGATAAGAATTTTTTTCTCAAGTCGTTTAAATATCTACAAAATATGCATTTTTCAAGAGTATGTATCGCAAAACCTAGGAAAGGTATGTAATATTTGAGATGCATGAATGAGAGTTAAAGAACACACATGCAAAGTTTGACCGTTGGTTGTCATAAATAAAATGTAAAAGTGAAAAAAAATATATTCCGCCTTCTGATTATAGAGTTACATGACAAATTACGAGGCCGAAGTGTGGACGTGAGAAATGATCTCGACTTAACCCCTTAACGTGTATGATTAACAGCAAGAACATGCATTAAATCGGGGACGCTATAAGTATGTTGTGGTCATGGCGCGGGAGGAGAAATTCAAGAGTTTTAATAAAACTGAAAAATCAAAAATTTAACATTGCGTTGTATAGGGAAATATCAAAATTTTCGGGAAGAAAATCTTCAAATTTAGCATTGTGTTGCCATAGGAGAAATCCCTCAAAATTGCAACAAATTTTAGGTCGCGGAGAGAAAATGGTGAAAATCAATGATCTCCTAGAAACGACAATTGTCTTCCTTCCTCGTCATGACCACGATTTTTTAGGACGACTTTTGTCTTATTCCCTAATTAAACCATTTCTTATTGTTTAAACGGCAATTGTCTTCCTTACAGATTAAAGGGTTAAATTACGCTTCTCATCGGATTATAAATCTTGACGAGAAATAAATCTTTAAAAAAACTAGAAAATAATCGCTACCACAAAATGAATATATAATGAAATGAATATCTATTTAACAAGTTACTCACGTTTATCCTGTTCGAGTTTAAATCAGAGATATCTCAGTTTTCTTCTCACATTTGAGACCGAGGGTATTTTTTTAGAGAAGGTCGAGGGTGAACTGTGCGTGGTAAAAGCCCGAGCCGAGGTGAATGGTTTAACACAAGGGCAGCGACTTTAGACTTAAATTATGGTTCCGAACCCGAAGGGATGGTTGGTTATTTTTATCCAGGAATTCAAGGCTCCACTCGTTGCTATGGTTACAAAACGAACCCTTTTCACACGTCACGATGCACATTTACCTTACTTGTTCACTTACTCCTAGCTGCACCTACATATTTACATCAGTAACAATTAAACAATCCGACACCACACACCGTAGGAAGCTTAACACACTGCGGTTACAGCAGTTCGGTAAATGAATAGCTAAAAAGTACACACTTTATTTGTTGCCATAAGTATATGATTATCACTAATCATATCTGTAAATGTGTTTCGTACCCGTCAATCCTCTGAAAATGCTTGAGTTTTTGGTATCAAAAAAATGTTCCAAAATTGTGTGGACATAAGATATGTTTTTCTTGCAGATACCAAATTAACTTAATTGTTTATGAATATACATTCATTTGTAAATAGGTGCATATACATCCGCAACCTCAGTAACCACGGAATACAAATGGATCTGAAGCTAAGGAAAAAACGAGAATGTCCAAAGTGTCTAAAAACGTTTAAAACGAATCACACATTGACTAGACACATCATCACGCACGATCCAGATGCCAAGGTCAAGTGTGAGGTGAGGGTATAAATTTGCAAAAGTACAACTAATTTTACAACAGTGACTTTTTCACTTCCGTCTTCCTCAGGTTTGTGGCGAAATTTCAAAAAACAAACGCACCTTATCTTACCACATGTCAAGTTTTCACACCAACCAAAAGCGACCCAGTTGTGACACTTGTCACCGGGAGTTTTCCAGTTCGTCTTACTTACGGCGACATATTGACGCCCTTCACAGCACGATGGATCGACCTCGCTTCCCATGTACGTTTCCCGGATGTGAGAAAATCTACTTAAATAAGAGAGATCTTTCGCAACACGTGAAATAAGAACACGCCGAGAATCCGGTCCGATACCCGTGCACACTTTGCGGAAAGGAATTTAAAACGAGGGCTGACCTTGAGAAACATATTCCCACCCACACGACGGAGAAGCCGTACAATTGTCCCACTTGTGGGAGGAGTTTCGCCCATATGAGAAGTATGAAGGTTCATGAGGTAAGTCAGTCTGTTGTAGAAAAACTGGTTTGAAAATTACCAATGTGCATATGACAGATGACGCATTTGAAAAAATCTACACGAGACGTGGTCCACTGTGCCGTCTGTCCTCAGATCTTTGTGAGTAGGGCTGGTCTACATAGCCACATCCGAGTGGTGCATGAAAATCAGAGGAATTATCCGTGCGCATTTTGTGACAAAAGATTCTCCATCTCATCAAATTTAAAAGCTCACGTGGAGGCGATACACCCCACGAATAAAGAACTGGTCCATTCCTGCGACAAATGCGCGTACAAGAGCCACTCCAAACGCTATTTGGCCAACCACGGAATACGTCACATTGCAGCGAAGCATGGATGTTATTTTTGTGTGAAGAGATTCCACACTTTTAACGAATTGGTAAGACATTGTGGTCGAGTTCATACTCTAGAAAAATTAAAATTCTTTCGTTTGTAATGAGCATGCCAATATTTCAAGTATTGTGACTATCTGTAGAGTTGCGACGTGTTTGTAGTAAAACTTTGTGGGAGAATGAAATGGGATTTCGTTAACTAGTTATGTAGTATGTATGTACATACCTATTAACTGGACATGTTATTTTATACATTAGGGAAATACAAGTGAAAAGTCCTGTTGGGACAAATAAAGGTCAGAGCGGTTCTTGTTATGAAACCAACGTGGTCCCATCGTTCATTTTTGGCACCTTTGGGGCAAACAAGGATATGAACAGCTTTATGCAAAAGTCGTTCAAGAATGCAGGCATTACCCAGTACCGCCAATTGTTATGTCCAACGCCTTCCGCTAGAAGATAAAATTATTTAGACTTATTTAAGAGAGTTTTACTATTTTTTATCGAAATCCCCATGAAATTGTCTGTCATAAACCATGTTTCTAAATTTTTTGTAACCCAAGGTGGCAAAATGATGGCTTGTCAAAAACAACGTATTGCAATTTTTCAGCAACATTTTGGTAAACAAACAAATTTGTCATTTTTCAGTTGCTCAATTAAAATCGAAACTGATCGCAAGCTGGTCGATCGCACAATAAAATCATCCATGGACACTAGCAGTGTTGACGAGTTAAACAAAAGTTTAAGGGAACAGTCAAAAGGTCACAAAAAATCATGCATTCGTGGAAAATCTGAATTCGTCCGAATTCACGCCGGACCCTAAGAAAAATTCCCTCCCGTGATACGTGATAACTATTAAATATTCATCAAACTAATTTGTTAATGATTCTTTAAACTATGTAAAAACCAATTTTTCTTCAAGGTGAGATTTTATTTAGAGTTAATGGTTCTGGTTCAACCTTACGAATTTAAACCGAATTGTTTCACTAGATAAATTTAGGACCACGTGAAAAGTTTATGGCGAGAAAAGGGTCGAAAATGAATCAGTCAGTCTGCTGTACTAGGAAAGTCTTGAGGGAGTGCAGCAGACTGTTAAAACAATTTACCACCTTAAAAATAAAAATATACATGTGCATACAGGGTGGTTTAAATGTCACGCTACAATGGAAAATTTTTTAAGGGGAAAGCCCTCTAAATCTCCAATAGTTACAAGATTTTGGATTGAGATTTTTATAATTATTTTCAAAACTGATGGAAAACTGATGACGAAATTCGTAAATTATTGAATTTTAGAGAGAAAATTTCGGTAACTAATGGAAATTTACGAATTTTTCCCATCGAAAAATTTTCCATTGTGGCGTGACATTTTAACCACCCTGTACATATCCCTTCCACGAGTGAACCTTTCTTCACGCTGGGACAGAAATAGGATGCTGGAAAATTTTGGTAGAAATTGGAACAGTGTTGAACATGAAATAAATATCATTCATTGGGTGACACAAAATTTCATGTGCGTGCAGTAAAGATTATGCTCTAAGGGTGTGAGCCATGGGTGAAAAATCAGACCGAGTTATGTATTGTCATGCCTGCATTTTTCATGATAAAACATAAGGAAAATGCTCAATGAAAATAAATTGTATTTTGCATACATTGGTGATCATTTAAAAATATTTGCAAAAAATATGCACCGACATTTAGTCACAAATTTGTATGCTCTAAATAAACACTGTTTATTTATCACTCCATTTCGCTTATCGTTAAATAGTATTAAGGATTGTTTTCTTATTACTGTCGTGCTCAAGATGGAGATCAGTGACTGGTGGCTCATGTGCGCACATGAACGAACAACCACGCAGCTACATAGGCTCGTAAGTGAAGCAGAAATGGTTGGGAAACACCTTTTTGAGTACCATATTTTTTTTTACTTCGTTCCATATAATCGCTAAAGCCTAATCGCCTTAAAGTAGTAATCACACCCAATCTATAAATATTGTACATAGCTTCCACATGCAAATTACTACAATAAACTGCGAATACAATTATAAGCAGAATGAAATACATGTAATGCTTTACTTCTCGAGACAATGAATACGACTGCAGTGTCTGACCAATGTGTGGAAGGTGGCCAAATGTTTCTTGCAAAAGTAACACTCTCGCCAATTCGCAACATTGTGACTTCGCACGTGTTGCGCTAAATTTGTTTTCGAGTTGCTCTTGTACTGGCATTTGTCGCAGGAATGAATCTTCTCTTCATTCGTGGCATGTACCGCCTCCACGTGACGCTTCAAATTGTATGCGCATGAGAATCTCTGGCCACCAAATGCGCATGGATAATTCCTCTGATTGTCATGCACCTGTCGGATATGGCGTTGTAGGCCATCCCTTCCTAAGAAGGTCTGAGGACAGACGTCACACTTGAAAATTTCTCGAGTGGATTTTTCCAAGTGAACCCTCTGAAAATCACATTTTCAGAAATTTAATATTTCCAATATCTTTCCTACGAAATACGAAATAATACCTCGTGACTTTTCATGCTTCCCATCTGGGAGAAACCCCTTCCACAAGTGGCACAATTGTACGGCTTCTCCGTCGTATGGGTCGCAATGTGCTTCTCTAGGTCGGCCCTCGATTTAAATTGGTTTCCGCAAAGTGTGCAGGGAAATCGGACGGGATTCTCGGCATGATCAATTTTTATGTGTCTCGAAGCACTGCCTTTATCAAGGAAGGTTTTCTCACAGCCGAGAAATCCACATGGCAAACGGGGTCGTTCACTCGTGCTGTGGATAACTTCAGTGTGTTTACGCAAAGTGACAGAGTTATTAAACACCCGGTGACAAATGTCGCAACTGGGCCGTTTCCGGTTAGTGTGAATGCCCGTCATGTGGTGAGATAAGGTGTCTGGGTTTTTCAAAATTTTCCCGCATATCTAAACAAATAAAAAATGGTCAAATTGAGAACGCGGATGGTCGAAAATATTTTCAATTTAGCAATGTAATAGCACACCTTGCATTTCACTTTGGCGTCGGGGTCGTGCGTGATCACGTGCTTCGTAAAATTACATTTGAGTGCGAACGTTTTTGAGCACTTGGAACATTTCCATGTCTTCCCTGGTTGGAGATCCATTTTCATTTTCGACTGGCCTCCACTAAACAAATTCAGGCGTTAAATGTGCACAAGATTTTGTCAGAGGGAGTGAAAACTTTCGGATATCTGGAAGTATACCAATTTCACAAATTACATATACACAAATAAATGTACATAATTGATCGCCAAACTTCAACTACTGTTCGTCCATTATTATTAGTCGCAAAAGGCCGATAATTTTTCTGAGAAGTTATTTGGCCATATATTATTTAAATAATTTCGTCATTTGCGACAATAGCAAGACTGTTGTAAAATAAAAAAGAAGAGGATGATGTACAAATTTCTGTTCACAAACTTTTATTTTACCTGCCAGGTAACCTTTCAGAATTTTTTGCGACTAATAATACTGGATGAACAGTAGATACTTATTGGGTTACCGACGTACTTATTCCTAGATTTGTAAGCAAATTGTATATAATATATATGCACATACTTATCAAGATATTTGAAATTTTCGAATACTACTCATTGAATTTGGTTCATGTTGCAATGATTAAATAAATTTCCACGATAGTATTGTGTTAATTAGACTATAAGCTATGCAAAAAAGTATACTGCACGGAATGCACGAGTTTCGCACTTAGCTTCTTCTTTAACGCTTATGTATGGGTAATTGGTGAGAAGCATGAAGAGGTATTTAGTAACGCGAATAAATAGGTCGTGAATTAATTTTTGTTAAACAGTCTTCTAGAAGTTTTCTAGTCACTTTAAATGTTAGATACAACTCGTACCGTACGAGGCAGAAAAGTTAGAAAAATTATGCTAATCGTGAAATTTCAAATTGACAAGGGATGGATAGCAAAATTATAAAATCTTACGAAATGGAGAAACTGTAGTGATTTTGTTTAGCTGATTACTCACGTTTATCTTGTTCGAGTTCAAATTGGAAATAAACCAGTTTTTCTCTCCCATTTAAGACAAAGGGTACATATTTTTATTGAGAGAAGGTCGAGGATCACTAACGGCCGGAAACGAATGCAGAGGAATGGTTTTCACGACAGGGTAGCAAGGCATGGGCACAAGCATATTTCTGTCACCAGTTGACCCTTCGGTTCCCTTAAGGTGGACTTAAATAGATAATATTTAATAGGAATATGGGGCCCTTCATGTATTACTTACCTAATTCAGCCATTCAGTCTTTTTCCCTTCATATATTCTATGTATATAGAATATATACATTCGTTTGTATGTATATATGGGATGGTATTGCGGTGGATCGAAGTCAACCGGACAGAATTTCTACGCGCCAAAATCACGTGCCCATTTGATTAACATTGGAGGCGGGCCGAAATTCAAATCAAATCCATCCGGTTGACTTCGATGCACCGCAATAAGTACGCATTAGGTATCTCGTTCGCCCGACTTTTAAACTAATTTTTGAATGGCCTATCTTAATCATTAAAATTAGATTTTTCCAACCATAAAATTGTACCAAGCCATGTGCACGACTTCCTAAAAAGTTGGAGAAAGTAAATAAAACACTATTTTAAAAGCGAGTAGTTATAGCTCTTCTACAAAAATGAGTTAATGAATTATTTAGAAAAAATAATAAAGTAATAATTCTTCTTTAATAAGTAAATCCATCATGATTTCTAAATTCATGGCAAGTGACAATTTAAAAAAAAACATTATGAGTGTCCACCACTACATCACTAAATTCATACGTACATTCAGACTAAAATGGGGTAAACAAGGTATTTAAATAAATAACTCTATACACTAAGTTAAGATTACGTAATATTTAAAATGTATGGGAGTAATACTAATTTCATAAAGATATTTTAATGGCGAAAATACTGCAGATTTGTAATCATTATTAATACATTAAAATTTAAAAAGAATAATAACACAACCAATTATTTTAACAAATCATTAATTAATCCACTACTAAATAATTACGTGAAATTTTATTTAACCACACGTTTAATGACTGCAATGGTGATGAGCTACCAAAAACTTGTCTGAAGCCGCCACAGATTTCAATCTGATAGACTCAAAGATTACTTACAATAATCGAAAAAGGATCAGCTCAATGAAATTTACTTACTCTAATAAAAGCCACGATTTTACTTGGTGAATAAAATTACTGCGGTCAACCGAAAGAAATTCATATTTCATAACCCCGACTACTTTTCATTTTAACTTTTCAAGAGTGTGAGCTCGATCGCAGTGATTGACCAGTTGACCAAAGTAGGTACACAAACTGCTTCCCACAAAAGTGCATGGCATTCGTATCGATTCGTATTCTTGTGATGTTTCGCATGTCGAGCCAAACTGAGTTTCGAGCCACCTTTGAACTCGCACTTGTCACAGGAATGACTCTTCTCATTTAGGTGCCTCGCCTCCAGATGACCCTTCAAGTGTGAAAACCTAGAAAATCTGTCACAAAATGCGCAAGCATAATCCGATTTTCATGGCTTACACGAATATGATTTTGTAAGCCATCTCTTCATGCCAAGGTCCGAGGACAAACTTGACACTTGAACATTTCTCGAGTAGATTTTTCCAAGTGAACTTCCTGAAGAGCAAATTATTTTCAGCCTTTTTTTCATCGAAGTTTTACATTTAATCAATTACCTCGTGAAGTAGCATGAGTCTCCTGCGGGTGAAACTAGTGGTACAAAATGAGCCAAAAGTGCAAGTCTTTTTCGCATCGATTTCACCAAATTGCACATAAAAAATTACAAATTCAGTTTTGGGTGGGGGGATTAATATAGCATAGCTTTTTTGAATTATATTCAACCACACCCCCTTCAAAAATTGGGGAAGAAAATTGAGAAAAATGAGAAGGTCAATGTACACTCGGTACAGAAAGAAGTAGATACCAACTTGCATTTGACATTTGACTTCCCTCATGAGTATGAACATTTTGATGCATCAAGACTTTCAAAATTCGAAAATTGGCGGTTTTTCGACCTACATATAAATCGTTAAAAAAGTGACCTTAGCGGTCATTTTGCGGCTGACAACCTGATGCCAGATTTTTCTTCGTCAGAAGTGCCACATTTTCCGCTTTTGTTGTCCGCTGCGAAATGACCGCTACCATGACTTTTTTGGGGTCAAAGTTTCTGAGGGAGGGGCTTATACAGCAAGAGCCATAACAAACTCTGGCCACTAATGAGTACAGAGAGAGAGAAACAGAGTGAGAAAATGGATCGCGCATACGATCCTAACGCACGATGGTGGTGGATACCCACCGCCAACTACTTTTCTCACTCTGTCTCATCTTCTCCTGCGAAATATGGGAAATGATTTTGTGTTACATTTGGCCTGGTTTTTATCTAGTCCCAAAAGTGGCGCACTTAAACGGCTTGTGGGTTGGAATGTGATTGTCAAATTTTACCCTCGTTTTTAATTCTTTCCCGCAAAGTGGGCATGGAAATCGGACCGATAATATTTTTCTTCAAAAGGGCCCTTCAACGGAAGGAGAAGTGTCACGTGACTCCAAGTTTTGGCTTGATTTTTTGACATAGCTCGCTAGTCGATTCCGATGTAGCTTGAAAAAAGGTTCCATTGTTAGTTCAGGGGAAACGTCACCCAAAAGTTCCGATTCCCTGGAGTTTTTAGTTATGCAAGTTACAGAGAAACGGAACCAACTTGTCGCAGGATTTGGCGGATGTCGATTCCCCAAATAGGGATAAATATTTAGTGCGTGACACCTAATTTCATGTGTGGTATACTGAGATGCGTGTCGGTGTTCGTAAATAATGGGTAAAAAATCAAATAGAATTAATACGCTGGAACCTAATGGGCAATTAAAAGTAATTCGTTAACCTGCTTTTATTCTGTTGAAATTTTCTAAAATGTTAAAAGATGGGGAAATAAATTTGCAACCAAAAAAATATTCGATTAAAATATACAAAACCTACGATGTCACTGATGCAGATTTCCAAAAAAATTTAACAGATTTGCTATCTCCTCACTTTTCGAGAATATGAACTCGATTGCAATGCCTAACCAATTCTTTGAAGATGAAAAATTCCTTCCCACAAAAGTAACATCCATGCTTTCCAGAAAAGTGACGTTTCCCATGATCAGCTAAACCGACCTTATTCTGAAAATATGATGCATATTTTCAGAATAAGGTTTAAGGTTTAATAAGGTTTCATATGCATCTGATATATTCTGAATCCTCCCGCCAAGACCTTTCCAACGATACCCCACTTATGGGGTTATGTGAGACTTGACCTACTAACCTTTTCCGTTAGTGCGCAAAATTTTTTGACCTTGGAAAAAGTTCAAAATTTTTGACGAATATGATAATACAATCCATTCAGATCAGTTTGTACCAAATATGAAGAAAATCTGTCCACGATTGAAGAAATAGTAGCGATTTAAAGAATAGTTATGAACGAGTCAACTTTGTAAGTTGACCTCATGTCATTTCAAGGTCATAGAGTACGAATAGGGCCTGGCGCTTCCGAACGACCCAAAAGCATGCCCTGGGGATTGTCCATGCGAAGTTTGCCCGCAGTGGGCCTTTTGGTTGCTTTACAACGAAGGGAGAAAGTTGACAAGTTTTATCGAAAAAGGTAGTGCTGTCTCCCATGCCATTACATGTAGGGGGTCATGCAAATTTTAAAAACTGATTAAATCGAATAGTTCAATCCTGGTGAACAGGTTTTTGAGCTAAAACACCGTAAAATAAAATATCATGTTTTTTACTGCTGATAGCTCATGGAAATCGTCTTTTGTAGGTTTTCTCACAGCCGGGAAATCCACATGGAAACCGGGGTCGTTCAGTCGTGCTGTGGATGGCTTCAGTGTCCCCGTAAAGCGACGGAGTTATGAAATTCCCTGCGACAAATGTCGCAACTGGGGCGTTTCCGGTTACTGTGAATACTCCACATGTGCTGATGCAAGGCGGCTGGGTGTTTCGAAATTTTCAAGCATATCTAAGCAAGCAAAAATTAATAAAGTTAGAACGCGGATGGTCAAAATATTATCAATTTCACAAACATTGCATTTCACTTTGGCGTCGGGATCGTGTGTGAAGAGATGCTTAGTAAGTTGCGACATGAAATTGAACTTTTTGCAGCACTTTGGACATTCAAACGTCTTTCTTAGTGTGAGATCCATCTCGATTCGATGTATTATGGAACCTGCTGGGTTTCAAATTAAATAAGTACGTTTTTGATTTCCCTTTAATAGGTATGTATCGTTGAGGGAAAATTAATCAGAATTTTCAAAATCGGTGGCGAAAATTAATAATGTGTTTCTTTAGTATCTAAGATTCTGTCTACAGTTATTGATTGGTTACTGTGTGTTCAAGTTCATCTAGTAAATATGTACATATATTTAAGGTACGTATTACTGAAGTTTACTGAATGAGTGTGAATGGTGTATGATGTGATTCCTACGTACATTTACGCTTGTATGCCTTATAAAAAGGCTGCATTTTTTAACGATGCCATGCACTTAGGGATCCTGCTTTGATTAAAAAGCATGGGAACGATTTTCTGAGAATTTTGACACACTCATCTCTTATCGTGATATGTATGCATAAATATAAAATCTGTATACGTATTTCGCCCATGCTGGTTCCCGTTGGATTATGTATGTATGCGACATGTGTACGGATGTATTTACTCATATGTAGGTTCATATGTATACCTTATTTTAGTCCATAACCTCTTCATCCCACGAACAAAGAGAAGATTCATTACTACGACAAGTGCGGGTACAAGAGCAAGTCATAGAATGAGTCACAATGCAGCAAGGCATGGATGTTACTTCTGTGCGAAGATATTCTTCACTTTTCGAGAATTGGTCCAGCATTTAAGAGTTCATACTTTAGAAAAGGTAATTAATAATACCTTAAATCCTCTATTTTTAGCCTTTTTCATGTCTGCCCTGCGGGCGAAACTCCTCCCACATTTGGCACATTTAAACGGGTTTTCAGTCGAGTTATTAGCAAAAAATTGTAGAATTATTGTGCGATTATAAGAAGTTTTTTTCTTACAGATACCAAATTAAATAATTCTTGTACAAATCTACAAGCTCCACAGCCACGCAATCCGATGGATTTGAAGCCAGGGAAGAAATTCGAATGTGCAAAGTGTTTAAAAACGTTTAAAATCAATTACGAGTTGACTCGACACATGGTCACGCACGATCCCGACGCCAAGGTCAAATGTGAGGTGGGTCAAATTATTAGGGTTGCCCCGGGTACCGGGTAACTACCCGGTACCCGGCATACCCGGCCTGTTTTGGGATACCCGGTACCCGGCCGGGTACACTTAAGTACCCGGTCTACCCGGCCGGGTAATTTAAATATTCAATTTTCTTACTTAAAATGCAAAAATCTTACAAAAAATATAATCCGTCGGAGTTCATTTTTCTACTTGGTATAAAATAATATATTTGAAAACAATGGGTACAACCTTGGCCAACACTTATTTGGAAATTATGATACAAATTTCAAAATTAGTTTGAGCGCACTCACGTGAGCGAATTATCAATCAGTGAATTTGCATATTTCGAACATTAAGCATAACTTGCGAAGTTTTTAGAAATTTGCAAGATCACTCAAAGCTTTTGCTAAAAAGCCATTGTTTTTTCGTAAAATTATTTCGCAGACTCATCCTCGTGATCATCAGCGAGAGAAATTGCCAACCCCATGACTAAAAAATCAAAATAGATTTAGTTGATTTGAGAGACTTTCGAAGTGTTATCTCGCTAATCGATTCGCAAGATATCACATTGAAAGTCTCGCAAAATTTGTTTTGTGAGGTAAACCCTTAAGAAATAACTTTGTGACGCCTAACAAGCTTGCTAAATGATTGCGATGATAAACAAGACATTGTCGTGGGTACGCTCTTTGGGTGTCAAATATGATTCTTTCATTTATGTAATATCCACTTTCTAGCCCGATTCATTAGTCTGAGAAGTTGAAATTCTTAGCACATGCATATTGGACAAAGACATGGCAAACAAGTTCAAAGATAGGCTACATCGGTCACCAAGTTGGCCTTTGGTAGGGGGTCGTATTGGAGCAAAGTGTAACCATAGTGAATCCAACATTAGAGAATGCGACCCGTACCAATTTTTACAATAAATTACTTTCACCTGAAATTTGGTACGGAGGGTAAAAATGATATCTGCACTGTAGAAATTTAGCTTGTAATTTTTAAAACTTATAAAATTGTTGCAAATTCTAAAAAAAAGTAGAAAATTGCCCTTATTTTTAATATTTAAAAATTACCCGGTACCCGGCCGGGTAGCCGGGTACCCGGCAAAAAGTTTAGGCCGAGTACCGGGTAGCCGGGTACCGGGTAGTGCCACTACCCGGGGCATTTTTTCGAAATTTTTAGTATTTTTAAAAATTGCAATTCGGAATGAGGATTGTTGTAGTAGTCAACAACGCAAATTATGCCTGCGAAATAGTCATCAGCAAAATTGAGTTTGATATTGGATTGCAGAAAGCAACTATCTGGGAGTGTAATGGTGAAAGAAATTTCAAAATCCGAGTAAAATTGGATTTTTGGCGTGGATTTGAATGAGTGAAAACTGGAGTGAAAGCGTTTTTTGGACATTTTTGAGTGGGTGTGGCGGGCGCAAATGGGGCCATGGAGTCAAACCACTTCAGGGTTTTAGTTCACTCATGGGACCCTACCACATATCCAAAGGGCATCAAGATCTGTTATTATCAACCTCGCAAGCTCCCCTCCTAAGTGTCCCTAATAATATTAAATTAAACAGTGAAGATTTTGTGTAAACAGTTTTGGAGAACGACCCTAGCTAATCAGCTGTCGCGGAATCCTAAAAAACTCGTGAACTTATTTGGAAAATTAATGGTCAAATTTTTTAGAAAATAAATTTTACTAATCTTTTTGTGTCCCCTACTGCAGAACTATTTTATCTACAAGGTACAAGTGACAAAATAATAAAATTATTGCGTTTTGGTTAGTTAAATTATTTCTGAAGTTCGACATCGAAAACGACGGGAACTTTTCCAAAAATTTTATAAGGTCTGATGAAAACTCAGTCCGTGGGGTATAACCACTTATCAAAATTTTGTCAAAAGTACTTACAGTGCAATATACTATATGTACCTTGGATAAAAACCACGTTAGGGATTTTTAGCATCAAAGTCGTAAAATGATGGGGCCTTAAAAGTGGAAGAGTTGCGTTAAAGAGCGCATTCCATTAAGACAAGTATGAAATTAGACTGCAAAACGGACTTAAAAGATACGCATAAGGCAAACGTGGTTTTATATAGTGAAAAGCATGCTAAGTCCCTTAAAAATAGTCGCAAAGACGATTTTTGCATCAGGACCTAAGAAAAAAATACTTAGTTCAACGCCATTTTATAAGAACACTGGTTTGGAAAACTAAAAAAGGACACCTCTCCAAATTTGACCTTGCCTCATTTCGCAGAGTACACAAAATCGGAAGCCAGATATGCTTACCTATAGTTTGAGACATGGGCTTTCACATAAAACAAGTTAGAAATCTCTACGACTAAAAACCATCCCGCAATTAAAGTATGAATTCGTCAAAACCATGTCCTAACGCCTTTTGTAAAACTCATTCGAAAGCCTGTTTGGTCCGTCACAGAATTCGTCACGATGCAATGAAGCACTAATGTTATTTCTGTGCGAAGAAATTCCACACCTTTAACGAATTGGTAATACATTGTGGTCGGGTTCATACTCTAGTAAAGTTGAAATACTCACGTTTATAATGAGCATACTATATAGTAATTTGCGGATTTTCACTAAATTTGCGAAATTTCGTAAAACTTTGTGGTAGAATGAAATGGGATTTTATTAACAAATTTCTGTACCTACTTACTTACTAATGTTTCTCGATTGATGTGCTAAAGATAAGGTGTTGTTGTGAGTACGTCCCTCTTAAACGTGTCAGCCTTACACATTCATACATGCGTAACATTGATAACTACCGTATTCAACAAAATTAATAACTTTAATTGACCAACATTGGTATTTTAGCAAATATTAATTTTGGCTTTTCTTTATTAGTAAGCATTTGTATGATTATAATGTCTGTAAATAAATATATGTAGGTAGTAGGTATGTATATATATAAATTCTTGAGTGAGTACACTAAATTTACCCTCTATTTTTAAGTAATTTTTAACTTATTATGACAACATAAACAAATAGAGTGTAAGTTGAGGAATTTTCCATGTACGGATTTTTTAGTTTTTTTAGAACTCGAAAAACTGACACAACCTGTAATAGCATGCATGTGTGAAATATGTATTTTTAATTTTTTGAAATGTAATTTTTTGTATGCACATATATTACCATACGCAGCCATTGTCTCACCATCCAGCAAATCATCCATTAAGGCCAACTTGATCTCACTTCACCATGTCTCGTCTTACGGGAAATATAGAAACCCACAGTAATTTTGTTGGCTGGATGGTGAGAGGTTGGCTGCGTCTGGTAATACATACATACTTTAATAAAATATATGTACATATATATACAAGTTTATTTCATAAATAAGGCTATTTTCATTGTACAATACAACCTTTATACATATACTTAATTGATTATGTGCTATAGACATCATACGTATGTATCTCGTATATAGTATCTCGTATAGTATCTCGTATCCGTATCTCGTACATAGTATGCGAATACATATTTGCCTACATACATATGTAGCTACAGGATTTGTTACTGTCATACATACGTATTGAGAATCATTTACTAAATAATGAACGCGTGATGAGCTTTAGCTATGACAAAATAATGTTATGTTGATAAAACTTGGTCATCCTAACATCTTCCAAATAAAATCAATTTGGCGATTGTACGCATTTTTGACTGTATATGTACGTATTTAAATGTCTTTACTTAAATGCGAACTTATTTTATAATGCTAAAAACTATAATACTAAAAACTATAATGATATTTGTAAACGGTGTCATACCAGGTCAAACTTCTTCCGACAGAAGTAGATACGTAACATTCATAATTCACAAACTTGCCTCATTTTACGTTCATCGCCAAATTATGTTTACACAAGTGTAGAAGCCCGTCAATTGACGTGCAAAATAGGCCCGTCGATAAGCCCGTTACCCCAACATTATTGAAGTTAGCCTCTCCTGTTCTCTCTGCAGCGTGGGGAGAGAAAAGGAGAGGCTAACTTCTCAACTAAGCCACCGACCCAGCAGCGATACACTCGCCTGCTTTATATAGTTTAGATTCATAAATAAGTATATACATAGTTTTACATGCATTAATATTTTAACTTTTCCGAAGTATGAATCCGACCGCAGTGGCTCACCAATTCAGGAAAAGTGACAAAGTTCTTCACACAGAAGTAACATTCTTGCCTCGCTGCGTTGTGCCGTACTCTGTGAGCTACCAAATTGGCTTTCGAGTGACTCTTGAACTCGCATTTGTCGCAGCCGTCGCAGGAATGCATCAGCTCTTTATTTGTGACATGTTTCGCCTCCACGTGACGCTTCAAGGTTGATGAGTTGGAAAATCTTTTGTTACAAAATGCTCACGGATAATTCCTCCGATTTCAAATCAGGGGTAAATAATTTCTTTTCACTAAATTAAGCTAGTTATATATTTCTCAAACCCCCTTAATTGGAGAAATTTACTTAAAATAATTGCTCCTGTGTATGTGTTCACTCTCACAAATTTGAAATAGGTAGCAAAAGCGCAACAATATATTCACGAAGGATTTTTCACAATATGTTGAATGTTGAATGTGTAAGTTACTCATTTGGTGAAGTGAATGGTAGATTTGGAAAATGACACAATAAGTCATCGAGCTGCATGCCACAAAGGAAGGGTCGGTTACAAAAGTTCCCTTGGATAAAAATAACTAACCACATTCGCTGAACCGTATAAAAAGCACACATTGTTAAAGGGTTTTGACCCTCCAGGGGTGCGGTGGTATATGTATGTATATAAATGTATGTACACACATAGATTGTACGCTATTTTTGGATTCCTAACTCCAACAGATCACATGCTTTATGCATGATCCCGTACAAATATTCTCGTATGACTCTACCGGATATTCTATAAGGTACTTATTTAAATTTTTCAGAATGTTTATGTATGTATCTAAATATGTGTGTATACAGATGTGTGTTTTTACATAAGTGTATTTACATAAATGAACTTCTTTTCTTGATGATGAAAAAGGGAAGGAAACAAGCGTGAAGGCCTCGCTGAGTAAATTTGCAAAGAAAATCTCATGGTTTTCCAGCAAAGGTTATGCGAAATCTCACAACTTGACATCCTGTGCTCAATCTGCGCGATATGAGAAAGTTGACGTGACCATTGTAAACGGGGAATTTTAAATGTTGCATATAGTCAAGCAACACATACATATATGGGTCCGATTTATGCTCATCAAAAAATCAAAACTATACAATGCACGATATCGCAAAAACCGACTACAATTTAATCCCTACGTTTTTATGTATTCTACCACTACACTCTTAAGAATCTAGTGGAGTTACATATGCATGTACAGGGTGGTCTTTAAATGTCAGGTTGCAATGAGAAAAATTCGCAAATCTCCATTAGTTACTGAAATTTTGCCTGTGAAATTCAATACTTTAAGAACTTTGTCATCAGTGTTGCATAAGTTTTGATACAAATCTCAATCCCAAATCCGTACCTTATGGAAATTTACGATTTTTCCCATTGAAAATATTTCAATTGTAAGCTGACATTTAAACCACCCTGTACATATGTTTGACAATGCATGTATTTAGAAAAAATGAGGAATCACAATCTATTTATCGCGTAGTGTGGTCAATATCAGGATGAGTTCGGGACCACCTTAGCCGAATTGATATACAAAATTATATCTAATTAACTGGCTCGTGCATATATACAAAAGATGTTCAGAGATAAATATGTATTTCCATAGTTTGCACAAATCCATATTTTAATTATAAGATGGTTGTTTTGTGTTGGGGATTTCTACTGATAATATATTTTTATCTGAAATCCCATCTCTCGAACTATTACAAAGTGGATATATTATATTGTGGATTTTCACCTAAACACTGGATAATCATGTATTCTGAAACAATGAAGCTATAAGTACTCGTACGATGTAAACCTCTGGGGAATACCCACGGAGTAGTTGCACCTGAAATATTACATACATAATATGAAGTAATTAACATTTTTAGTATGTCTACAAAATCTTTATCACGGAAATCAAGTTGTACCCGATACCTTTCTGCAGCACTGAGGGTACCTGAGGATTATTTATTGCCATTATTGCTCTCAATAAATTCCTGCTCGTATTTTTCTTCATATACAAACTTCCTCGCCTTAAGAACTAGTACATATTTATTTGGCTACAAGATTACACAAATTTCAAATTTCACTTTCTATTCATTTGAACCGCGAATAACCTGGAATTACGCATCACAAGTGCAAGAGAAATATATACGTATTTCAATCTTAATTTCATAAAAAATGAAACCGAACGTGATAAGTATAATAACATTTGCTGTAATACGTGGGCTTCAATCGCAGGGTGACTACATTATTTACATTATTCAAACAAAGCAACACAAGTGCGTACAGTGGAATTATTTGTACTGGTCACCTCATTTGACGCATTCGTTAGAGACATAAATAGAGTTCATTCAACATGGAAAGCCCGTATCACTGAAAATGGACATAGTGAGGTTTATGCAAATGAGGTGACACGCACAAATAATTCCACTGTATATGTATACATACAGATATGTACATGCATATTTAATATATATGTAACTGCTTAACTCAATATTACCAAATTAACCGGTTTGCAGGAATGACTGCCACCAGTTTGGGTCCATGTCCCCCATTACCAGATTTCCCCCCAACTTCCACCTATACCTTACGACCCTTCAAAACCTACGCGTCCGACGTGGTCATCCCATTCTGCTATTTTTCTTCTCCACGGGATACTCCTGAAGTTTTAAGTCTCGCCAACTGGGCGAAGAATGCGGGTTATCGGGTCCGTGGCGTGGGCCGGATGCACAGTTGGAGTCCCATCACCCTCTCGAAATACGAGCCAGGCAACATTTGTCCCAAATTTCTCCTAGTCGACACCACCAAATATTTAACCGACATAAAAGTCACGACTGATTTTAACACGTCCCTCCACAGCGTCACTCTTGGCCCAGGGGTCACATTGGGACGCCTCTTAAAAACCTTGGAATCCCATCAACTCGGACTTTTCTCCTGTCCCGCGCACGATGACCTTACCGTCGGCGGAATGCTGGCCGTTGGGGCGCACGGATCCGGCATAAAGACAGCCACCCACCCCAAATCTTTGGGCCATGCATACGGAACATTTAGCAACCTCGTCCTCGAGATGGACGTCATCGCGTGGGACAACCATACTCGAAAATACGTCGTCAAAACTCTACCAAGATCGCATCCCGACACGAAAGCTTTCCTCGTCAATTTGGGGAGAACTTTTGTAACCAGGGTGAAAATACGAGTTGGTGCAGATCAGATGTTAAGATCGCAAACTTTTTTCACAACTGTTCGCCAATTATTTGGCACTGTGAGAGATGACGATAAACCAAATTTGGCCGACTTTTTGGACTTGTATGGACGAATACATGCTTTCAGCTTGGGAACAGGGGGTGACTCAAATGCATTTCTGTTTGCGTGGCATTCCGAACCAGAAAAGCAGACCACGTCAAAATTCAAAGATACACCGTATAATTACCATTTCGACAATTATCCCCCAGTTTTTAATACAATTTTGAGGTTGGTGCTCACCAGGGTTCCGCACATTTGGGAGTTTCTTTCTCGTCTAGTATTTCGTGTAGTTGTTGTTGTCTCGTATCTCAATGGATCCCGGGATTATTGGGGTTTGTCAAAAAACCATTTTTTATACGTTCCAAAGAATTCGCCAATCTTGAGGGCAAATTCCTTCGTGGTGGTCACATCCCGCCAAAATTTTCAAACAGTTGTCTCAATAATAAGGAAAGATTATGACGATTTGGCCTCGGAATGGCATGTCCGGGGAGAATATCCGAATGCGGGCACGTTCGATATTAGAGTCTCGGGGGTAGAAGATCCCGAAAATATTTTGGCAGAAGGGGCAGATGCAGAACCACCCATTTTTTCACCGGCAAAACTAGTGCCAAGTCATCCCGAGTATGATATCGTGATTTGGTTCGAATTTGCCACGTTTCCTGAGACGAGAAAAGCTCAGGAATTTCTGGCGAGTTTGCAGTCGCGTTTATATCGTGATATTCATCAGGTCCATGGCGTATTGAGGGCAGAGTGGGCGAAGGGGTGGGCTCACACGGGGGAACAGGCGTGGGATAATAGGACAATTTTTAACACCTTTCCCTACGTATTTTCGTCTTCGAAAGAACTATCAGAGTGGAATTTAGGAGTCGAGATTCTAGAGAGGTATGATCCTTGGAGGGTTTTTGGGAATGGACTTTTAGATAGAATACTTATCGAGGCATAGTTTTATGTATATTCAATATTAATCAATATCATATCTATGTATGTACTTGTGTGTAAGATAGAAGTCATTTTGTCATTTGATAATTTACATATCTAAATATTTTACTGAAGAATTTTAAAAATTCTTGATAATCAAATTTGATAACGTTTTAAAGAACTATCAAGTGGTGTAAATGGTGTGCATAATTCACTTAGGGGAACATTTGTTTTGAAGCATACATTTATTAAGTAGCGCAAGCTACTTTATGCGATGACTTAGTTAGTCTGTCTGTCTGTCTGTCTGTCTGTCTGTCCGTCAACACGATAACAGGAGAACGGATCCAGATAATCGAAATCGGTTTTCGCCATCATACGTATGACCCTAGGGGGAGGATCCCCTAAGCTTTTGGGGGCGGCCGGACCACACCCCCCGGGTGCCAGTGGGTGTGGTTGGGGCAAAATGAGATTTTTACAAAAATTGAATCTATGGATGAAGGGCAGTTAAATTAAGTGTTCCCAAGTTGTGCCACACCCCCTCGCGCCCAGTGGGTGTGGTTGGGGCAAAATCAGATTTTTAGAAAAATTGAATCTATTGATGAAGTAGAGTTGAATTAAGTGTTCCCGAGTTGTGTCACACCCCTCGGGCGTCAGGGGGTGTGGTCGGGGGAAAATAAGATTTTTACAAAAGTTGGATCTATGTATGAAATAGAGTTAAATTAAGTGTCCCCGAGTTGTGCCACACCGCCTCGCACCCAGGGGGTGTGGTTGGAGCAAAATGAGAATTTTCAAAAATTGAAACTAACATGTAGGACATATGAAACAGTAGGATTGATTAATTAATAAGGATTGATAAAACAGTAAAACATGTAAGATGCATAATTCTTCAGAGTAGCAACATAGAATGAGGAAATCTCAATTATTTTGTTATTTTTAAATAATTTAGATTCCTTTATTTTGTATCGCATTCTCAGCACTCTTGCGCTACTTGTGTACCCTGCGTTGCCGCAGTTTATTTAGTCAAGAGTATTGTAGAATTGAAGTAAATATTTGTATGTACATATCTAAGTTTGTATGAATTGGATGAGAATTACGCATTAGCTTATTCGCCAGATTTTTCAAGTCCTAAATTTCGAGAATCGCCTACTCGTACACCGGCACATAAAATTTGGCCAAGCCATTTGTCTAACTTCCTTGTCAAACTGGAGGAGAAAAGTTAATTTTAAAACGGAATAAGAATAACTCTTGAAAACGATTCGGTCAAATTCTACGTGTATGGAAATATGAAGTCACAAGAATCCAGGGGGCACAAAAGGCTCCTAATTTTCAGGTAGAAATTTGGAACAGCTTTGGACGATAGGATAAACATTATTATTCAGTGCGTGGCACCGAATTTTGGGTGCAGCAAGAATCTATTCGTTGTTTGTGCCATGGGTGAAAATTCAATCGGATATATTATTATGCTGGAATTATTAATGATTAAACATAATGTAAATTCTCCATTAAAATAAATTCTTTAACAGGTTTTTATTGCATTAAAATTTCTTAAACAGTTAAAAAATGGATTAACGAGACTTAAAGATAATTGGGAAAGCTTCCTCAAATCTCTTAAGTGACCTTCCGCCTGGGTCACAAAGTAAATTGAAGCAAACAACACAATATTGAAAGATTTGTGAATAAAAACTGCGAATAAAATGATACCCACAACGAAACAGTTTTACTCCTTTATTTCTCGAGGCAATGACTCCTACTGTAGTGACCATTATTATGTGACCAATATTTGGAAGGTGGCAAACTACTTACTACAAAAGTAACACTCTCGCCAATTAGCAAAATTGTGTCGTCTCCTGTGCTCTACTAAATTGAATTTCGAGTGACTCTTGTCATCGCTGGCTTTACACGTCGACCAGTAGGGACTTTGAATTTGAAGTCATTGGATTTCCCGTACTGATTTGATTTAATTTTTGATTTAAACCTTTATTCACGTGTTAATAGTTATCAGTTTACAAAACTGGTTTAAAAACTATGACACACTATGACACTTTTTTACGTATTAGTAGATGTTGGATTCAGAAATACTTTCTTGTTTAAAAAAATGCCACGTAGTTTTGGAATCAATGTTTGCGTCATTTTTATGAAACTCAATTACTCTTTTTCCCAACTCTTGCCTTTCAACCCAAGTTTTTCTAGTCTTAGCCATGACTCAATAATTGGTGACATATATCAATGGAAAGCTTATACTTTGGTCTATTCAAAAATAATTTTTTCGAAAATTAATTTCACTGTGTTCCCGCCCAACGCGCGTCTTAAAGGACGGTCCAATACATTCGTCATTATCCCTTATTCTTAGGTGAGGCAAAAGTAACAATGGGTGCCCATAAAAAAAGCGTCACCATGGTTACAGCGAAGCCTAAGTATGCTTTCGTATACACCCTTTGAAACTGTTGACAAGGCTAGAGCCTAAACGGTTAATCCTACGCAAATGGTGTAAAGAGCAATCGTGCAGAGGAGATTGAGGAGATGTGGTTTTACAGCTTTCCCGACGGAAAAGTTGCAGTTATAACAAAAGTTTTTACAAATTTTTTGATATTACAAAACAAAACTCTCAAAATTAATGGGAGATTACATTTGTGTGCATGGATTTGTAAATAATGCGCTAGTAAAAAAACTACGGTTTCACAGAATTTTGAAAATGTCATATTTTAACTGTTTAGCTAACCAAATTTCCATAATTTCGACTCGGCTGATGCATTTTCATTGCCATTTGACTACAATAACAATAATTTCACAATTACTGAAACTTTGTTAAATTGTCACAAAAGAGCAATTTTTTTTAATTTTGTAAAAAACGGAATTACCTATTCAAATGCTTGAATTTCTTAAAGAAATTTATTATTCTAACATTTTAACAGATAGTTTCAATTCTCGATGTAGTCTTCCCAGATCTATTTATACTGCGTGTGAGCGAGCACAGAAAAGGTTAACTCATTTTTTTGCCGTAATAATTAGTACAAAATGTCATTTGCGTTTGAACCAATTTCAATAATATCGAGTAACAATTACACGAGGCACGGCCCACTTGTGCCTACTGCTGGCCCCGCCACTATTACTGATGTAAATAGAAACGATAATTTTATAATTACCTACTAAAAACATGGTGCACATTATTTAATATATAGCGAATAAGCGCGTCTCCCGCGGGGCGAGACTTAATTTGGTTGTCAAAATTCCATTTAAATATTGTGTCGATATTTATTAATTACCTACTAAAACATAATGCATATTATTTATTACAATTTAAAGATTGACGCACTAAATCGTACCCAACCTAAAAATAAAAATCGTTCCTATTTTTCCAACGTATGAGTGCAATTAAGGTGTCGTACCAAATTTTGAAAAATTACAAATTTCTTCCAGCAAAAGTAACATTCATGCTTCGGATCTTCGTGTCGGCTTAGGTGCGTGGCAAAATTGTGCTTCGAGTGGCTCTTGTACTCGCACTTCTTACAGGAATGGATATTCAGCCCTTTATTCGTGGCATGTCTCGCCTCCACGTGACGCTTCAAGTCTCTGGTATCCGAGAAACTCTTATCACAAAATGAGCACGGATGTTTTATCTGATTTTCATGTGCAATTCTGATGTGGTTTTGCAGACCGGCCCTAGTTAAGAAGGCCTGAGGGCAGACGTCACACTTTGACCGGGCTCGGGCAGATTTTTCCAAATGCGTCATCTGCAAAATCAATCAGCACATTTCGAATTTTTCACACACTTTTCTAGTATTTTTAAATTATAGTTTTCCCACAACATGCTTATTTACCTCGTGACGTTTCATGGCGGTGATCTGGGAGAAACCCCTTCCACAAGTGGTGCACATGTACGGCTTCTCCGTCGTGTGGGTGGGTATATGGCTCTCAAGGTGAGCCCTCCTTTTGAACTCTTCACCGCAAAGGGTGCACGGATATCGGACCGGATTTTGGGCGTGTTCAGTTTTCACGTGCCACGTAATTTTGTCCTTGTTTAGATAGGTTTTCTCACAGTGGGGAAACGTACATGGGAAGCGAGGTCGTTCCTTCGTGTTGTGGACGGCGTCAATATGTCGTCCTAACGTACCAATGGTGGAAAACATCTGGTGACAAGTGTCACAACTTGGGCGCTTCCGACTCGTATGCATATACCGGATGTGGGAAGATAAGGTGACTTCGTTTTTGGAAATTTTGCCGCAAACCTAAGCAAGACAGAAGTGGGAAAATGCAGATTGCAAAATTATTACTTTCACTTTTGAGGCATTCCACTGGATGTGTACAACTTTCCCTGATTCCATTTTTCAGAGAGAGACAGAGATTCAGGCTGATTCTCGCAGGTGTCACTACCCGCTCGCAGAAGGGGCGTATGAAACTCACCAGTCTTTGTCTCTCTCTGACAAACATTTTATGGTGAACATTTTCTTACCAACGAGCATCTCATTTAATGTAATATGTAATGCATTCATGTGCTTAATGTGCTTAATGTGCTTATCTGAAAAATTGATAAGTACACTGATAAGCACTGTAGCGTTAATTTTCGAGCGCATAGTATCATTATAAATTCCGAAACGCGTAAGTTTTAAATTTGGGGCGGTTTGGACAGACTAAATTTGCTTATCTTAAAAATTGATAAGTACACTGATAAGCACTGTAGCGTTAATTCTCGAGTGCATAGTATCATTATAAATTCAGAAACGCTTAAGTTTTAAATTTGGGGCGGTTTGGACAGACTAAATTTGCTTATCTTAGAAATTGATAAGTGCACTGATAAGCACTGTAGCGTAAAAATTTGAGTGCACATTATCATTATATATTCAGAAAAGCTTAAGTTTTAAATTTTTTGGCTATTTATTATATACATGTCATTATTGCATAAGCTGCCTTGCTACGGCTCTTGCCTTATGAAGCGCCTCCCCCAGAAACTTTGACCCCAAAAAACTCATGGTAGCGGCCATTTTTAGTCGGACAACCAAGGCTGAAAATGTAGCTCTTCTCATGAAGAAAAATCTGGCATCAGGTTGTCAGACTAAAAATGGCCGCTACCATGATTTTTTTAACGATTTATGTGTATGTGAAAAAACCGCCAATTTTCGAATTTTGAAACTCTTGATGCATCAAAATGTTCGTATTCAAGGGGGAAGTCAAATGTCAAATGCAACTTGGGGTCTAAATCTTTTTGTACCGAGTGTACATTTATTTTCTCACTTTTCCCAATTTTCTTCCGCAATTTTTGAAGGGGGTGTGGTTGCATATAAATTAATAATAGCTACGTTATATTGATCCTTTCACCAAAATATAAGGTTCCAATTTTTTATGCGAAATTCGGTGACATCGAGGCGAAAAGGGGTTGTACAGTACACTCGGCCTTCCTCTTTTACAAGTTTACACGCTCACCTCACATTTGACTTTGGCATCGGGATCGTGCGTCAGCATGTGGTTAGTCAAATCTATACCCCTTTTAAACGTTTTAGAGCACTTTGAACATTCCCATTTCTTTCCTGACTTCTGATCCATGTGAGCTCGGTATATGTTGTTGAAAGAATTGATACGCTTAAAAAAATGGTTTGGTGTCTATGCGAACATATACATATTCACTAATCGTAAGTGTGTTCAAGAAGTATTTCAACACGGTTTTAAAGGATTCACGAACACGAAACACGTATGTCTAAACGAATTTTTAACCATAGCAGCAGAGACTAAATTTTGCACTGTCAGTTATTATTTTACTGCAAAGTCTTGACCACAGTGTGTTAAATATCGTGCGTTTTGCAGGATTGGTGGTTTCAGGAAGGTCACGCAGGTGACCTAGGTCAAGATCCTTGAAAACTACCCTGGAGAATATGATTGACAATATGTGTGCCAAATATGACCTCAAACGGTCAAATATTACGGTCAGAGTGTAAAAACGAGACCATCATTTTTAGGCGATGTGTGCGGAATTCAGCCTGAGATTGTGCGTTCAAAAACTTGCGATTCGGCGGGGTAAGGTTATCTTGCTGCCACTTGTATGCATGTATGTAAATATGAAATGAATATATTTAGACCATTCTAGTGCCCCTTAGATTATATGTACGACATGTGCGTATATCTTAAGTCTATATTTCAGTCCTCACTGGGAGGGGGTCACTATTTCTCAAGTCACGTATTTAGTTGCCTCATGAAGAAGTAAAAAATGCACACCAAACTGACCGAAATTTAATTGGAATTTAATTTACTCAAATTTAATGAAATTTTCTGAAACACGTACATACATAGTATTTTCACTTTTCGAGGGTATGAACTTGACCACAGTGTTTTACTAATTCATAAAAAGTGACAAATTTCTTCCTAAATCTTGACCTTCTTATCCGTGTCGTGTTTTGCTTCCCCGTGACGCCTCAAATCTGTGGCACTCCCGAAACGCTTATCGCAAAATGTGCACCGATGGTTCCTCTGATTTTCATGAGTAACTCGAATGTGGCCCTGCAATCCGTCTCTAGTGACGAAAGTCTGCAGGCAAAGTTGGCATTTGAAGGTTTTCCGACCAGCCTTTTCAATATGTGTCTTCTATAAAATAAGTATGAATTAATGTTTTGTTTACTAATTTGTTTCTTGTAAAATAAGTACCTCGTGACGTTTGAGGCCTCCCCTGTGGGCGAAACTCCTCCCACAAGTAGCACATTTAAATGGCTTCTCCGTCGTGTGGGTGGGAATGTGTTGTCCAAGTTCACTTCTGGTTTTGAACTCCTTTCCGCAAAGCGTGCACGGAAATCGGACAGCATTCTCGTCATGTTCAGTTCTCACGTGTCTCAAAACATGTTCTTTGTCCAGGAAGGTTTTGTCACAACCAGGAAATCGACATGGTAAACGAGGTCTCTCCTTCTTGGCGTGGACGGTGCTAATGTGTCTTCGTAAATGGGCACGATTCGAAAACGTGTCGCTACAAATATTGCAAGAGGGTCGGATCCGGTTGGTGTGCATATGTGACACGTGGGCAGATAAGGTGACATGATTCTTCAAAATCTTCCCACAATCCTAAATAAATGCATGGCAACAAAGGAGGAGGATTTGTTTATTAGTTTGTAGCTTTGTAATTAGAATATGTTTAAATTAAAAAAGAAATACCTTGCATTTTACTTTTGCGTTAGGGTCGTGTGTCACGAGATGACGGTTAAAGTCCCCTTTGCCTTTAAATGCCAACGAGCAATGAAGGCATTTCCACTTCTTTTCTGGGTTTGGATCCATTTCGATTAAAATGGATACAAAGTAGAATAATAGGGTGTCCCAACTTTGTAAAAAAAATCGCTTTTTCCGCTCACGATTTTTTCGCTCTTTTTGTAAACCGCACTGCGCATGCAATTCCGATCTTTTTTCAGCTTTTTCTGCTCAAAAATAAAATCTACTTTAAGATGATTTTTTCGCTCTTTTTACTACTTTGAGTGAAAAATCAGTCTCTCAGAGACATGTATAAGGGGACATCACCCGATTTTGATGGAATATATTGCAATAGCAGGTGAGTGTATGAAAAGTGAAGGAGGATTTTACTCCATGGCTCCACCTGCGCCCGCCACACCCCCTGAAAAGCATTGCGACCACTAAAACTACCGCATTCAAACCTTTTGCCAAAAATCCTATTTTCATTCCATTTTGGTAATTTTTGGATTTACATGATCTTAGATAGTTGTTTTATCATATCCAACATGAATCAAATTTAAATTTTAAAAGAAACTCGAAAGTTTCCTGACCACCCATTCTCTGCTCCTGAGTATTCAAGCGATAAAAAATCGGGACAGTCAAGTATTGAGCGAAAAAGCGGATTTCAGATTTTTTAGCTTTTCGCTTTTTTAGATCTTTTTTACAAACTTGGGAGACCTTAATGTCAATTCCGGAGGACGAGAACTCAAACTGCAAAATTTTGGCTCGTTCAGGGAGAGCTGTCTCAGTCTGACAAAAAAGTATTTGAGATTTGCTCTCGCAAGAAACGCGATAAAAAATTCCTAAAAAGTACAGATCGTCAACAAACTACGCTGAAATTTTTGCCTTTACAAATGCGATGAAAATTTTAATTATAATTAAAATAAAATCATTACCAAATCATTACCAAAATGCACACGTATATGACTCTGCAGAAACGGTAATAATAACCATCGGCTGGTAAAGAAATTTATTGAACCCGAAGTGGTAATAAAGAACACTTTTTGGGATAAAATTAATACCATGATGTATGACAGATGTACTACAATATGTAGTAAAATATCTACCGCCTGGTAATAAACCATACCACTTTGTGCACGGTGTGCTATTCACCCCGGTATTAATGCTTTGTATTACGTATACCCCATTATTACCAAATGTTGTACAGATTTCCACCGAAAAGAATAGCTTTTTTTGTTTCTCTTTACAATAATCTTTCAATCAATTATATTTATTGCAAAATCATTTTGAAACATGCTTGCATAATTACATATATTATTAAATTATTAAATTAAAAAACTCAAATTATAAAATACTTAAATTATAAAATTAAAGTATAATGCAAACTATTGTGTTACATACATACACATGTATACAGATTTACATAAAATTTAAATTAAGCTAAATATTTTAGAGTTTTTGTCGTACACTTATATAATTACCAACCGTTTTACAATTTTGCATTATTTCAAAGCAATCATGTATATATAACTCTTTCACGTTAGCAATACTAAACATAGAATCCGAGTATTTAACTTTAAATGAAAAATAATGTCGATCGAAGTAATCTACATGCAATTCCTGGACGACGAAGAAACAATTGTCATCGTTTGTTAATATAATTTCAGAAATTAATGCAAAGTTTGGATAAATATCTCCCATGCTAAGACATATCACAAAGTTTAATTTATAATTATAATGTCGGTACCATATTTGATTTGATGTAAATATATCAGTTTCTAAATCACAATTTACAAACTCTGGAACCTTTCTTAACAACTCAATTACGTCAAATGAGTTTGAAAAATGGGATAATTTTACACAATAAATGTTGTCACATCTTATTTCTTCAGATGCAGTATTTTTGAACATAACTGAGCTATACTGCTGGTGCCGCATTGCCAAAGAATAACAAATATTTTTGAAGTTTTTGAGATTACTTGCAAGCTGTGTGAAATAATTGTGTTTTCCTTCAAACCTCATAGTCCAAAGAGAAATTAGTGGCCCAGAGCGTCTAATTACATATGCATAGTGGCACATGAAATGGTGCTTGGGAATTAGACGACTTTCTGGGAAAATTTCTACAAACAATTTGTGATGGGAGCACACTAAATTGTTCAGCGTATCCAAACTTATCTCAGAAAATTGTCTACAGAAAACCAAACTCATTATTTCTAAAAGTTGTAGAAGTAATTCCCAAAATTTTAGATGCTTTTCATCGGAAATGAGATCGCCGATAATAATTGGCAAATGGCGAATCAAGCACCATGATTGCGCAGCTTTTTGACCTATTTTGTTCCCTACCATATCTAGCCTTATGGGACTGGGCTTATTTTTTGAGTCAATATATCCGAAATTATACGCTAATATCCGTTGATTCAAAATTTATACTGTAAAGCATCCTAAATTTATTAATTTTTGCAAAACAAGTTTAATTTCATAAGGCACTACGCCCTCTAACAGGTCGTGCATGATGTCAACAGTTGGAGAATCGAGAAAATTAAAATATTGCAGCTCATTAAAAATACAAGGACGTTGTACCCCGTGACTTTTTTGCAATAAATGATAAGCATAATTTTCTCTATTCCTAACTATCATGTCTTCATGTCTGAAATTTTTTTGAGCTTCGTCTTTGGAAATACAGCAGATTCGACAATAGTGATTTGAATTGAAAGATTCTGAAAATCCTAGAAGAGAATTACCCCCTAAGTTATCAAACACTAATGTACACAAACTACCAAAAATTGTCCCAAGTCCTGCTACCGTAATTCCATCACGCTCTAGCTTTTGCAAATCTGGAAGCAAATATTTAAATATTGAATTAATTCCGTATTTCTTTGCATCTTCAGAATAAAAAAGCGCTAATAAATTATTTTGGCTTAATTCAGAATTCAAAAAGTCTGGTAGATTTCGTAATACAAAATAAATCCCCCCTAATTTGTGAACACCCCGCTTAGATCCTAACGGGTTGACAGTTTCAAAGTCATCGTAGAAAATTTGAAGTTGTAAAGAGTTTGGGTGACCTGAATATACTAAATTTTCTTTAAAACTTTGAGACGCACTGTAGCATGAATAATTTTTGTCACTTAAGCATTGATCAGACTGAAAATAATTTTTGAAATGTGGAACAGAAAGAATTTTCTCCAAAGTTTTGAGTAAGGGTACGTACATAAATGTTTCAGCTACAAATACTTGCTTCCTTTTATAATTACTAATTCTTAATTCCTCTCTACAGCCCAACGAAATTTCTACAGGGAAAAGTAACTTATCTTTGTCTGCAAACAGTTTTTGCCTTTGATAGACAGATTTTACCTTCAGGAAAGCTTGCAACAATGATCTTATTTTCAAATTTAGTGTGTCATACTCCTGTTCACAAAATGGCTTCACAATTTTTAAAATTAAATCAAAACTCTGAGAAAAGGTGTGTGACAATTGTTTAACAAGGTAGGTAGGTAGGTAGGTAGGTATTTATTCAAGATTGATGTAGCATTAGCTTTTACAATCATCATTTTCATTTCATACAAAACATTTAGATAGATATTAGCAGTAGATATTAGCAGTAGATATTAGCAGTATGGGTGTAGAGGGAAAACCGGAGATGGTCTCGGAAAACCTCTACATGTATTGGGAATGTGGCCCAATACACCATTCGGCCCATAACTGCTCGACACCAGGTAGGAAAATGTATGGCAGTGACACATAGGCGGATTCCGTGGTGGTGGTGATATCCAAATGAGGGTGGCGTCTGCATGCGGAAGTAGACAGGTGAAGGTTGTTGGGCGGGGGCTGTCCACGGACCGCGGGATCTTGCCCACGTCCCCCATGGTAGCCGTAGCCGGGGCCGACGACACCCCCACTTGCCCCTTCCCCCATCACAACACAATCAGGTCATGGGACCCCCGTAGACCTGACCATGCCGCCCCCCGTCATGCACGACCCCCTCCGCCACTTTTCAAACAACCACTCCCCACGGTCACCACCCCGATATACCAAACAAAAACCTACCTGCGGAGTCCCTCCAAGGCGTAGATCCTCCCGTGCACTGGGTCCGGCGAATCCATCTTCGCCTGATGGCTCAGCTTGTCGTTGCTGGGACGTCTATACTGGAATTAGTAAGGCCAGTTGCAAGTAACGAAGAGCAAAATTCACTAAGTTGTTCTATCATAAATTCGATTCCTGTCTCTACGGAAATATTTTCGATACCTCCGGCTACATCCTCATTTTCATCTTCACCGAACAAACCTAATTGACTACTAACATTTGATTCTACTGGGATATCAATCTCTATCGGTGGATTGACATCTTTGTGCATCTTAATATGCCTCAAAAACCCACTCCAGGTAAAAATTTCTATAAAGCAATTAGCGTGAGGACATACAATTTTCCTAAAACTAAATTCCGCATAGTTATGTACATATTTAACATGTGCCTGAAATTCCTTATTGCCTAACACTACCTTGTCACAATCAACAGACAGACATTTCCAAAAGTTCACACTAAAATAACTGCTGCAATTGGCTGAAGACCTCCTTGACTCTTCTTGGGAGCTGCGAATCCGCCTCTAACTTGTAAATGTATACTTGGACGAATTTCCACAAACCCTTCAGGTTGACGTCATAATCTGTGCCAAAAACATAATGGGCTTTGAAAAGGGAGTCAATGGCTTCTGTCGAATTTTTCGAGTCCAGCGGAAGACTTACGCCATCGCAGACGATGAAAAAGTTGGTCAGATTTGCTGAATCGTCTCCAATGCAAAGTAAGTTCGGCTGAGTTGTCTCCTTATTCCACGTGTCAAGAATTGAGTGAAGAGGTGTTCCAGTCTGACCAGAAGAAACATTTTGACTATGACATGGAATTAATTAATGAATAATTCCTTAGTTACTTAGCATACTTTATAGAAAGATAAAATTCGACCCTTAGCGTCACTGGTTTTGCAACGGTTTCCGTTCCCTTTTCCTTGTGCGGTGCGCGGGATCAAGTACGACAAAGTCAGAAAGCCAAAAATGCTCTTGTCCCAATTACCTGAAAAGAGACGTCGTAAATTAATTGTC